TGCGTTAGCTATTGTATTAGATATCATGTGTTGTTAAGTTTACATGCTTGTGAGATAAGCTGTATGACGTGGTTTTCGACATCTAGGAAAGGAAATGATGGAAGGAAGAGTTTGACCATCTGCACTTAGTTGGTGTTCAGTAAACTAACAACCCAAGTGAGGTTCTAAAAATGGTTACAATTCCCACAAATCTTCCCTCATCGTTTGTTTCAACTATCAATACCTATAGAATTGGAGTTGTATCATTTCGTTTGTGGTTCCATCGGCAATCTCGTCCTGTCTCGCATAAATGTTCTGCATTATCCTTCTCCTATCCCCATCCTGAACAGCATTAGAGCGTCCTATGGCCTTCCTATCTTGGTTAGCAGCTTAGTCATCTCCCGCCATACAGTCCCTTCCCGTAGAATTGTCCTGTCCTGCACTATAATTATTTTAACTGAAGCACCATACAGTCTTCCCATGCGAGACACGCAGAACACATGTCGCGTGTCTCGATCATCGCGTTTCGCCATGTTTGTCTCCGCTCGCCTTAGATACTGCGCCTGTCCAGCGGGTGAAAGTAAGTCTAATTATCAGTGCAAATCCTATTCGGAAAGTAGACAATTTGCTCTCACGCTGTTGCCCTCCTTCTGCAAATTGCGACGCGCTGTGCATACATTAGTAGCACTGGTTAACAGATTTGTCATAAAATTACTGTTGCTTCTCTTCTGTTTACTCGCGTATTTTATTATTTTAACCAGTCGCCGAAGAAATCGTCGAATTTGTCTTCCAGCAAAGATTCTGGTGGTAAAAGTGGCAGCCATCCGCCAAAGGAGGAAAAGCCTAAAGACGAGTATGACAATTAAACTTAATTTTTATGAAAAAAGAAAGCATTACTGAAATAGTAGCACACGCAGAGACCGAATGGTTAGCGCGCGGAACTCTGGTTAGGGAGGTGCAGGTCACTATGTTCTTGAGAAGAGCAGGAAACTAAAAATAAAGGATAATCATCAGTGGTATGGGCTTCTTGGCTAAACAGCAGACTTAAGTTTCTTTTTCCATCAATTTATCCATTCCGGAGAGTATTTAAGTATTTTACCGTTTATTTATCTAGCACTTGGCTGGCTTTTCTTGTTATCCTTATTAGGTGCGAATGAAAATTTAAAAAAAAACAGTAGCGTGCAAAGAGTTTTACATTATTTTACAAAATTTTCCGGTGTCGTCTTTTATTTTAATGGCTGTTACTTATCGACAGAATCCTTATCCATGAGATGATATTGTCTCAAGTGAAACTTTTCAAAATCACCAGTTTGATTTTTCCAATGTTTTATCCAGCAGGAAAGATGCAAATGCCAAAGAAGGAACTCGAAAAAAAGATGAGCAGGATAGAAAAGGCAGCAAAGACACAAAGGTAATGACAGTGCTCGTTAAAAGCACAGAGTCTTCATACTGAAAATTATAAAACGAGTATAAATTTTGTCTAGGGTGTCCTTGGTTTGACTAGGGGTCTCCATCGTCTAACTTGTACCAAGTCTACTGTGAGACAAGCTTCCGTTGATGGATTGGAAGGGAAAAAAAGAGGCTTTCCTTTCTATTCCGCCTCCCATTCATCCCCTTCATAACTCATCTTTTTCTCTCTCGCGCGCGCGCGCTTCCAGGTACAGTTAAGAGACTTGTTAGCTACAATGTGCCTAACCGGGTCTTAGAAAGTAAATGATTTCATGGCTGGCAATCGCCGAAAACCTCCCTCAAATTGCCTCACCGATGAAAGGAAGATGGAGGTCGGGGGGGGGGGGGGAAGGGAAGACGAAGACGGGGACGCGTTAAGCACCGCTAAAACCTGTGAGCGGGCTATCGTTAGGAGATAATACTGAGTGCATGTTTTTAAATGTGAGTACTTGACTGCCTGATATTTTCATTACACCAAAGGTTTGCTATTTTTGTTTTGAAACAGGCATCATTGTCTTCCAAAGAGAAGTCTGATTCAAAATCTCCTGCGAAAGGAAAAGAGGAAAAGGTTGGTTGCATCTGAGATTCTTTTTCTCGTTTATCTTGTAAAAAAGTTACATGTCATATGTGAATTCCGTAATTTTTATTGATTTCCTCAGGGTCGACCTGAATCAGGAAGATTCGGAAGGAGGTCCGACAGCCGACGCTCCGACGAAAGACGACCAGAAGACAGACGAAATAGCAATCGTAGAGACCGAAGAGATACTGGTGATAGTTCCGGAAGCGATCGAGTACGTGACGATCGCTCCCGAAAAGAAAGCGGGAGTGACGGAAGCGGGCGACGCGATCGAAGACCAGAGAGTCGACGGGATTCGCGACCAGCTCGAGAACCCGAAGATAAGCCGAAAGGAAGAGAGCCCTTACCTAAAGCAAGCGATGCTGATAAGGGCGGGAAAAGTGGTGGGGAGAAAGAGAAGGAACAGATAAAAACCACATCAAAGGCAAATGAAACGGAGAAAAACAGAAAGGAGGAAGACAGCTCAGTAGTTGGTGATGCAAAACCCTCCAGAGAAGAAGAGAAGGGAGCGGCCAAAGACGAGAAAGTGCGAAGCGAAGAGGAGACGAGTAGGCAAAGACGATTACGAAACAAGGTAAATAAGCGTCAACTAGCAGATTGGCAATTCGATTTTCAGTTTTCAGATTTTTAAATCACACTTAAGTTTGCTTTGCATGGCCACACGTTTTCCCGCCCATAAATTTTATTTAGGTCGTCATCTGCCATCTTTTTTTTCGTTACCCCGCGCATGACTCTTCAATACACACTTTGCATGAACAACGTTAGTGACTTCTTTGGAGGAGACCAGTGCTAGTACGGTTCCCTGTGAGATGTCATTCCAAGTCTGTTATCTTGGGCTCTGTTATTCGGCCAAGATATAGAAAATCAAGATTGAGTTACCACCAGTGAAGAATCTGTTCCTGACATGCTGCCACTAAAAAATATGATTAACTCTGTGCAGTAGGATTCTTGGCCGTCAAAAAATGTTGTATTTGTAATTTTCTTCTTTTTTTTTTTTTATTTCTGTTCACGAGCGACAAGTTTATGTCTGTTTTATCTTAGGATCGTCCTGATCGAGCCATTTATCAGCCAAGATCAGCTTCACGAGGAGCAGGCTCTAAAAGTGACGCTTCTAAAGGAACTGAATCATCAGGTTGGTAAATATCAGAAGTTTTTCACCTGCTGCGCTTCCTGTCTCCTTCGTAGTCTTTCTTTGGGATGTCACGCAGTATAGTCCCCCAACAGATGTCTTTTTTGAATAGAGCGCTCTAACGAAAAGTTGCAACAAGAGGAGATTAGTTTTCCTCAAGATAGTGTAAAAAAAGACGAGTATTAAATTTTGGAACGCAGAAAAGGGAAAATAGCATTAAGTAATTGTGTCCTAGACCTGGAGTAATGATGATTAGACAGAGACATGAATAATTATCAATGATTATTTAACACAAGTGTTCCTTCAGAATTCATCAGGAAACGAGGTAATTTTTCTTAAAGAATGATCTGTGAGCATTACTTCCCAGACTTGAGTGGTAAAGATGTGCTTTCGTCAAGCAAATTTGCACATTTCAATGTTTACGGATGAGATAGAAAAGCTTATTCCGGTAACCACGGCATGAAGCGACTAGGAGTATCACTAATCCACCCTGGATGGGATTCTAGTCCATCGTAAGGTTAACACCCCCCCCCCCCCCCTCCAGAATTTGATCAGTCTTTCCTGACAATTCAACGGTACCCATATGTACTCCTGGGTAAAGAGAGGCGCTGAAAGAGAGAAATGACTTGCAGAACACAACACATTGATTCAGCTTTGATCTCGAACCAGGACTTCTCAATCCGATTTTTTCCTCGACTTTCCATGTAATTCATAACTTTGCGAAAGAAATGAAATATCAAAGATTTTCGATTTTTTTCTTTTAGAAAAAGAGAGAGGCAAGGACTCCAGGACCAAGGAGAAGAATCGTGAAGCAGAACGTGAAAGTAGAAAGAACCGTGATGATAAACCGCGCGATCGATATCGTGACGATCGAAGAGAGCGTGACAGAGACCGTGACAGAGATCGACGAAGCGATCGTGATAGAGATCGTGAACGTGATCGTCCGCGAGAAAAGACGCGTGAGCGTGACCAGGACCAAACTGAATTCACGAAAGAAGAACGAGACGAGCGGAAAAAAGCTGAAGCCAACGAAAGCGTCTCCGACGAAACTAAGACAACAACTTGTGAATGAAAAAAATCCATCAATCCTTGTTTTTAATCTTGACGCCAAGTGCTCGTAACAAAGACTCCTCCGAAAAAATTAATACTTGATAATGCCACTTTAAAATTGCATGTTTAGACACTTTTTTGCAACCGTTACGTCAGCAGTTATGTACATTTAAAAATATAAATCTAATTATTGAAGACATAAAAAAACAATTTTTCTTGCTTTTTGTTTAGTAGTTTAACTTTTAAACAGAGCTAGCGTACAACAGTGACTTACAATTCCATGAAACTGGTGAGTTTCTGGCCGTAGTAAAACTGTGCGCGCGCTACTTACAGGTGAAAATTGTATATTACAAGGGAATTACTCTAGTTTGATTTTACAATCTACTGCACTGCAATATTGATATCAGTATTCACAGCAGTGCGTTTGTTTTGTACTTCACAGAAACTAGTAACATTTCCGGCAAACAGTTCCAATCAAGAAAAACTTGCAGATATATGATTTAAAGAATTCTAGTTATATTTCTGGTACCTTCAAGTTTTGTAATCATCAGCTCAGAAGTCCCGTCCCCACTCTGCCCCGTCCACCCTTTGGATCCTACAACAACCATGACCCTTCCTATATTTAGCAAACCACACCCCCATTCCCCACTACAATACATTTCGGCAGCTCTCGAACCGGACTACTCGAAAACCGTGAATAATTGATTAACGAAACTAAGTGCCGATTGTGTTTGTGACAATAGGATCACGTGATCTAACTTTCTTGGAAAGCGCCTCGCGGTGGGAAAGTTTTACTGCGACATTTAAGGAGGAACATGGCTTATTTTTTTTCGATTTTCGTTAAAATTTTTGGTATCATGGCCTGGTTTCTCAGCCAGGATATTCCTAAGGGGTTGCCGGACGATCAGCTAACGAGTCTACAAGTGAGCGGTCTTAGTATGGATATCCTGCGCTTCCTGGTAAGGACACTTGCAGCTGTCGATTAGCTTGTCGTTGATATGATTTTCAGTGAATGGACTAGGTCGGTGGAATGGCCTCGTCGATTCACAAAAAGTCTAGCTGGACTTCAGCTTTTACACGCTGACACATAAAGTATAAATAAAGCGATCACAGCCACATTAGAATTCATTGAGTGTTTATCATAAATTGCGAAACTTTTAAACGGAGAAGGATGGTCGATATCTATATTGTTAAACTACTTTTGAGTTGCGATCTATGACCTAAAAAATCCTCCAATTTTAAACAGAGAGCAAAAACGGACCAAGCAACTGAGAAATCATTTGGCCCGCTTCCGCCCCTAAGCTTTGAAAGCGTCGCTCTTGATCAAAAAGTTTATTTTTAATTATTTATTTCTAGGGGTATACGGCTTCTTTATTTGGGTTCGGGGAGTCTGCAATCGAAAATGTTAATTGGGGACTTCAGTGGTTATCATGGATGCACCCTAAGGATGAAGAATCAGAAAATTTATTGGAAATTTGGAATGAAAAGATAGCCAACATCCCTGTACGTTTTTATAAACCAAAAACCCTTGGCAAAAAAACTACTGGTGTGGTTTATTTTCATGGCGGTGGATTTACTATTGGAAGTGTTGGTAGGTTATATCAACCCTTTAATTCCTAGAAGTGATCAAATAACATGTAACTTCTCCTAGTAATATCCATACATTATTCAGCAAACAGGTAACGAGAATACCCAGACTTATCAGGTAGAAATGGTTATCTTGATCTAACACTAAGTTCCTATAAATTATATGAAGGAAATGTGTAGCAGCTAGAGGGGAGAATTAACACTGATCAGATCTTGGGAGTTAGAGGGTTGATAGGGTAATTTTTCAGTGCCTGCTGGTAACATCAGGAAACAAATTTTTGGATTGGAAAGGACAAAGAGAAGGGGGAATGGAAGCCTGGAAAAATTGAGAATGAGAGGTGAAAGAGAGGTACTAGGCCTGGACACAACATATTACAATAAACATAAATGATTAATTTAGCAACATGATGGCTCCTTTAAATCCTTTCTGTGGGCACCACATTTCCAACAAAATTAAGCCTTGAAACATGCCCTTTTCATCTTCTCAAAAATTTGCATCAGTTCTTCGTATTAATTGTTTTTATGAATTATTGTTTCAGATCAGTTTCATCTATTCACCCTGCTGTTAGCTAAAGAAGCAAATGTTGTGCTGGTTTCTGTTGAGTAAGTGTTCCACCCACTGAGTCTGGATTTCTACTGATGCATGGTTTTACAACATGATCTACTGAACCTTACAGTGGGCTCAGATTTCTTTCTGTCACCTGTCACAAATGTTTCCAACATCTTTCTTTATTTGACCACAGAGCTCATACCATCTTTCTTGCCTAGAATCTTGATCCACACAAGATACTTTTGATAAGCTGATCCTAGCTACATATGCTTTGGAAAGCAGCTTGGTGGATATGCAGGACCTGAAAACCAAAAACTTCTCCTAGTTAACTCTCCCACCCCTGGATCTTTTTATTAATTCTCCTTACTGTTTGCCATACAATTTTAATGATGTTTGTTTGGAGAATTTGGTATTAGATCAAACAATAATTCTCTAATTGATAATTTTTTTTGATTCTCATTACTTATCTTCTTGATATTGTATTGATATTGTTAGGAGAAATCTTTCTTGGTCACTCTATAGAGTTAAAAGGGTTATATGAGCTTAATTGATAAAGCATTCGGAATAACAAAATCAGAACCTTTCAAGACTCAATACCTTACACCTTTGAGAATGAAAAAATTATATTTTGTTCTTTATCAGCTTTATCCCTATGCTTTTAATAAGTGTTAAATATTTCTCCATCACGCACACAAGTATTTTTGGTATAATAATTTCTTTGGACACAAAAGAGCAAATAAATACATTAAATTGAGAACCTAAAAATTAACAAAAATCAGTATACTTGGTGGAATTGCAAAAAATGACCAAAACTTGGTTTGTTTTTGTATTTCTTGTGTTCTATTCATTTGATAATAAAAACTACTCCTAATTCTAGCTCCTTTGCTCACAATGACAGGATAAATTCAAGATAACAAGACTTACAACTCATCACTACTCTGTATGTCTCTAAACTTTGTAGATACAGATTAGCACCCAAACACACTTTCCCTGCCCAGTTCCATGACAGTTATGCTGTTGTTAACACCCTGCTGGCCACTGGAGCGAAATATGGTATTGATACAAACCGTATTATTGTTGCTGGAGACAGTGCTGGTGGTAATCTAGCAGCTGCAGTTGCTCTCAAGCTTCGAGATGAGGACAAACATCTGGCAGCTGAGGTAATGTTACCTTGATCTACCAACCAGCCTTCGTAAGACCCTATTGATTTCTTTTGTAAAGGAAAGTTACCCCTAAATACCTCTATTACCTAGGTTATCATGGCAATCACAAGGTCACTGTGGTAACAAATCTTTCATGCAAAGCCAGCTACTTAACTGATCTCAGCTCATCATTGTCTGGCCTATTGCCATTTGAGCGATGAAACACCTTGCATGCTTGATTCAATGCAAACTTTATCCTTTGCAAGTCAGAGCCAGTTCTTTAGGAATTTTTCTTCAGTTGATGCTTTATTTCCCTTCACATACTGTTGTTAAATGAAGTATTTTAAGTTTACAGAACAATGTATTTGTGAAATGATTACATATGAGTTGCTATAATTGTTGGTTACATCTCAAAGGTTGGCTTTATTCGGGACCATGCAGTTGTTAATTATTGCCTGAGGATGGAGGATTTTAGGGGGGAACAGAGGGGATCAGTTGTCACAAAATTGATTGCCAATGAGATGGGGGGGGTCATGGGGGGGTCATAAGAATATTACAGTGCCTTGGGGATCAGGTAAATTTTATCCTGACATGATCAAATTCTTTTGATCCCCCTCCCCTCACTCCTAAGGCAAAAATGATTACTTGGTTTCAAGTGGTCTTAGTATTTTCTTGTGGGAAACATACATTTTTTAAATTATAGATCTCAACTAGAAACTAAATGTCAAAGATTGGGTGATTATTTTTAACTTTTCTTCTGTTTTGATTGCAGATTCTCATCTACCCTGCACTTCAGTTCATGGACTTTTCACTTCCCTCGTATCAAAACCATGGCTCTCGACTCTTGTCATTGGAACAATTGGCAGGTTACTGGTCATATTACATGACAGGATCAGCTGACACGGTCTCATCCTTTTTGGCGAACAATCATTCCAGGCATCTTCGCAACACAAAGTACTCCTCTTACATTGGGGTTGGTGAAAAGGGACAACAAAATCAACAGAAGAAGCCATTAGGTGGAATTCCAGTAATTGTTTTAGATAGTCTGGTGGACTATAGAGCATCACCTTTAATGGCAAATAGTTTAAAGGGGCTTCCCAAGACGTTAATCATTACATGTGAATTTGACATCTTAAAGGATGATGGTCTGTTGTACAGGGCTCGTTTGTTGGATGCTGGTGTCAAAGTGACCCATTTAAACTACATGAGCTACCATGCCTTTTTGGCAATTCAAGCATCACCTTACTTTGTAGCTGAGGAGTTTAATCAGGCATTGAGAGATATAGTTGACTTTGTGAAAGGAGTGTAAAAAAGTCTAAAAATATGCATAAATTTGATTAGCAAAACATTTCAGCCATTTTTGAAGAAGACTTTGGTTATGAGAAATGGTTGTTGTAAATGTACGCTTCTAAAAATCTCCGGACTGCTTAGTTATGCTGACATACGTACCATAGAACTTTCAAGAACATTTCATCACGTCACGCAGTCATTACGTAATAGTACTTAAATAGTTCTTTTGTAAGCCTCTGGAATGTTCCAGAACACTTTGTGAATGTATATAAAGACTCGGTTAGGTAGTAGTAGTAGTATTTGTTGTTGTTGTCAGGGGTGACCGACTGTTTAGAAAGCTATGAGAGAGAGTAACAGTAGAAGATTGCTAATTTCAAGAAACGTTGTGGGAAACCTTGAGTTCGGCTCAGGGGTGAGCTAAGATATTGACTGTAGTGGGCTTAAGTAAGTTTATCGAGCATAAGTACTGTACTGCCTTCAGTAGTCGCTTGTTATTAAGAATATCAAACACTTGTTTATTGAAGTTGTTAAGTTTGTAGGATTGTAGTGTTTTTCTGTCGGTTAGATTATATCCATTCGTAACACATTGCATCCTCTTCGTCTTGATTCACATCTTGAACAGGGTATAAAAAAAGTATAAATGTCTAGTTAAGTTTATTTAAGCAAACAATTTTATGAGTTTTTTTTTAAGACATTGCATGATCCTATCAATCTTGATTCATTCGTTCAAGAGAAACATTTTTGACACGTTTTGAAATGTTAAACTTCCGCACAAGAGTAACCCTGGACTAGACTAACTCTCAGGGTCTTAAAATACTAAACTGGAGGAGAATGTGCTGATTTTGCTCTGACATCTGCAAATGGTTAGACATTCTAGTCTTCTCGGATAAGGACGAAAACTGATGATCGGAGATAGTAAAGTAGACGCTAAAGAACCCACACACTTCTTTCAAAGAGTAGGAAGCCCAGCTCCCAGAGTTGTGATCTGGCCTTGTATTCCGAAAAAAAACTTCTAAACTGGGGCACCTGTCAAAATTCCTTTCAAGTATTGTAGACTGCTCAATGCAGTCTGGCCAAAGTCCCTTGCAAAGTATTGTTAAAAGCGTAATAGAGCATATTCACTTATATAGCGAAATTTTCATTTTATGGAAAATGCGCGAAAGAAATGCATCATTGTTTTATTCATTCCATGTTTGTTTATCAGCCTGACTGAGTGGCGCTAAAAGCAAGTGACGTTCAGCAGCCGATTGGCGAGTCAAACACGTGAAAAAAATATCGTAATTTTTCAGAACGTGAGTTGTTATGGCTTTTCTCAAGGCTGGAAATCCTTGTATAACACCGTAGGTTATATAAAAATGCTACTAAACGATGACAAAACAGAAGTTCTGATGATTGGCTTTAAGTAGCAACTGGCAATCGACATAATTACAACTGGATAATCTGACTTACTACCTAAGTCTACCATCAATGGTAAAGAACCTAGGTGTGTTGTTTGAATCCACTTTATCGATGAATACACATGTTAATAAAATATGCTCAACGGCTTTTAATTATTTGTATGATCTAGGAAGAATTAGGACATATTTATCAAGAGAGTCCACCGAGACAGTTATTCGTGAGTTTGTATTAAGTCATGTCCATTATTGCAAAAGTATTTTTTATGGCCTGCCAGCTTATCAGTGAGACAGGGTAATTTAGTATTTATCAACTGAGTTGATAACCTAGACTTTCATTCAACAAAACGAACACTGTGATTGGTTGATGTTTGGTCATGAGCCCCTGATCAAATACAATTGTATCCCGACCGGGCTACAATTGCGCAGTTGTCGCAAGCGCGCCGAATGTAGCAGTATGGTTTTGACATATTATTGTTTGAGGGAAAGTCTAAATATATAACAAAGCACTTAATGTATGGTCTCTCGGGAAACAAGTTAGTTTTGTTTTCCTGAGAGTCCTGATGTTTCCCGAGATGAAGTCGAAGTATTTCCATCGGGACCATACCTTTATTGTATATTGGCCACCGTTTCAACTCAGCCTGTTGTACTCTCCCACCGACGTAGCACCGCAATTTCTTTAGAAAGTTACCCCCTTTAACCATTTATCAGTAAGAGAAACTACAAAGAGTCCAGAATGCAGCTGCCAGATTAATATTTCAAAAACTAAGACATTGTCGAACAACTCCTCTTTTATGTAGTCTTGACTGGCTGCCAATTGTTTTAGCATAGAGTTTTAAAAGATGTTACTATTGACGTATACAATTCACGGTTGTGCTCCTGATTACATTGGGGAGCTTATAATCATTGTTATTTTATTATTATTATTGTCATTATTATTATTATTATTATTATTATTATTAATTGATTCATAAAACACATTGGTACTTGAGTTTGTGCTGTCCTAGTCAAAGGAAGCTTTAGTCGTTGCGTGACAGTAGGATCATATGATCCAGCTCAATACGGAAAAAAAATCTCGCAAAGGGAAAGTGCGCTGTGACATTCAAAGAAGATCATGGCTAACTTTTTCCTTATTTTCAGTCTAACTGTTGGAATCTTTTTTGGCATTATCGTGGCCTGGTACAATAGTCAGGAAATTCCAAAGGGATTGCCCGACGATCAGTTGATGGGTCTACGAGTTTTCGGTACTGGTATGGATATACTCCGCTTTCTGGTAAGGACACTTGCAGCTGTTGATTACTTGTCGTCGATAGAATTATTATTGAATGTTGGATTAGGTCGGTGGAATCACTTCGTCGATTCACAAAAATTTTTGTTGGACAATTCACTTTTCTACGCTGGCACGTACTGTCAAGGTAGAGTAACTAATCATTGCAGCCACATTAGAAATCACATGTTCATCACAAATTGCGAAATTATTTAGTTGACGGAGAAGGATAATCGATCGGGTTGCTATAACTCTATGACTCGGAAAATCCTCCGATTCTAAACAGGGAACTAAGAAATAATTTGGCCCACTTCCACCCCTAAGCTCTAATTGAAAGCGTCGCGCTTGATCTAAAGCTTATTTTGAACTACCGGTATTCTCTTTTTTCAAGGCGTCTACAGCTTCAGATATTGGGATCGGGGAGTCCGCAATGGAAAATACTAATTTGGGACTTCAATGGTTATCATCGATGCTCCCTGAAAGTGACGAATCAGAAAACCTCTTGGAAATCTGGAATGACAAGATAGCCAACATCCCTGTACGTTTTTATAAACCAAAAATTCATGGCAGCAAAAGAACTACTGGTGTGGTTTACTTTCATGGCGGTGGATTTACTCTTGGAAGTGTTGGTAGGTTGTAGAAGCCCTTTAGCTCCAAGAAGTGATAAACTAACAGTCATGTAACTTCTCCCAGAAATATCCATCATTATCCACCAAATTAGACAGGTGATGAGAATATCCAGACTTATCAGATAGAAGCAGTTACCCACATCTAACACCAAGTTCTTGTAAATTATCTAAAAGGAACTGTGTAGCAGCTGGAGGAGAGAATTAACAATCAGATTTTGGGAGTTAACCCTTCAACTCCCAAAATCAAATGATTAATTCTCCCCTCAAGCTGTTACACATTTCCTTGTAAAGTAGTAATGAGAATTTGGTGCTAGATTAGGATAACAACATCTACCTGATAAGTTTGAATATTCTCACTACCTATTTGCTGGATAATGTGAGGATATTTTAGAGGGAAGTTTGATGTTGATCACTTCTGGGACTTAAAAGGTTAAAGGGTTGATAAGATAATTTATCAGTACCTGCTGGTAGCATCAGGAAACAAAACTTTGGAATTAGTTTATGGAGGAAGAATTAAAGAGAAAGGGAATTAGAAGCCTGGAAAAATTGGGAATGAAAGGGTGGAAGAGAAGAGAGAAAAAGGATCAAAGAGGGATTACATGTGCAGAAACAGGATTTTGTGAGGGTGGAGGGGGGGAGGCAGACAAGGAACATGGCAATGTTTGGAAGCTGGAGCTCTAGACACAACATATTGCAATAAACATAAATGAATAATTTAGCAACATGAAAGCTTCTTTTAATCTCTAATGTGGGTACCTACATGAACCCTGGTTTTTTGATGTTGTTAAAAATTTGCATCAGTTAACAATAATTTTTTTTTATAAACTATTTCTTCAGATCAGCATCATCCATTTACTCTGCTGTTAGCTAAAGAGGCAAATGTTGTACTGGTGTCTGTTGAGTAAGTATTCTACCAACTGAGTCTGGATTTCTACTGATGTATGGTTGTACAACATGATCTACTAACCTTGAAAGCAAGCTCATGTTTCTTCCTTTCACTTGTAGCAAATTTTGTTGTGCTCTATTCATTTGATAATGAAAATGAATCCTAATTTGAGCTCTTTTTCTTGCAATGACAGGATAAATTCAAGATAATAAGGCTTACAACTTACCACTGCTCCATATGTCTCTAAACTTTTCAGATACAGATTAGCACCCAAACACACTTTCCCAACCCAGTTCCATGACTGTTATGTTGTTGTTAACACCTTACTGGCCACTGGAGAAAAATATGATATTGATACAAACCGTATTATTGTTGCTGGAGACAGTGCTGGTGGTAATCTAGCAGCTGCAGTTGCTCTCAAGCTTCGAGATGAGGACAAACACCTGGCAGCTGAGGTAACAGAACCTTTAACCAGCCTTTCAAGACCCTATTGATTTCTCTATGCCAAGAAAGATACCCTAAAATAATTTTTTTGCTTAAGTTACGATGGCAATCACGAAGACACCATGGTAACAAATTTTACTTGTGGTCTTACCAGTGGAAGCATCCATTTCTTACGTTACAGATCTCAACTGGAACTAAGGGTCAATGATTGTGTGATTCTTTTCAACTTTTCTTCTGTTTTGATTGCAGATTCTCATCTACCCTACACTTCAGTTTATGGACTTTTCACTTCCCTCATTTCAAAACCATGACTCTCGACTCTTGTCATTGGAACAATTAGCAGAGTACTGGTCATATTACATGACAGGAACACCTAACATGGTCTCATCCTTTTTAGCAAACAATCACTCCAGGCATCTTCACAACACAAAGTACTCCTCTTACATTGGGGTTGGTGATAAGGGACAGCAAAATAAAAAAAAGAAGCCATTCGATGGAATTCCAGAGGTTGTTTTAAATGGTCTGGTGGACTATAGAGCATCACCTTTAATGGCTAATAGTTTAAAGGGGCTTCCCAAGACATTAATTATCACATGTGAATTTGATATCTTAAAGGATGATGGTCTGTTGTACAGGGCTCGTTTGTTGGATGCCGGTGTCAAAGTGACCCATTTAAACTACATGAGCTACCATCCTTTTTTGGCAGTTCAAGTGTCACCTTATTTTGTAACAGAGGAGTTTAATCAGGCATTGAGAGATATAGTTGACTTTGTGAAAGGGGAGTAAAAAAAGTCAAAGTCCATTTACAAAAAATGTTAGGACATCACATACCATTTGTCTTGATTCACATCTTGAACAAGTATAACAAAGTATAAAAGTCTGCTTAAATTTTTATTGGCAAACAATTCTAGGGAATTGTTTGAGAACAAGAACATTGCTTTATATCCCATAAATCTTGATTCATCCACCCAAGAGAAACCTTATCGACTCTATAAAAAAAAGTTAGACATCCACACAAGAGTAACCATGGACCAGATCAGCACTCAGGGTCTTAAAATAACTTAGAAAAACATGCTGCCTTTGCTATAATATCTGCAAATGGTTAGACATTCTAGTCTTCTTGGATAAGGACAAAAACTGATGGCTCCATCTCCTGCATCTTCTCAATACAGGTTAGCAGGATGTGTGGTAATTGTGAAGAAGAGCTCCCCAAAAAACCTGTCGGCCGACTGTCGGTCAACTGTCGGCCGACAGGTTACCGACAGTCTACCGACAGCTAACCAACAGGTTACCGACAGGTTAAGAAAAAAGAAAAATTGTGTTAAAAACGAACAGTAAACGTGACATAACAATCCGTAATGGTGATGTATGACTCGACAGACTTCACCTACTTACCGATCGACGGCAAAGTTGAAAGTATGTAAAGAAACGTTTCTTCCAAAATGTTGTTATCAGATGCATATAGGATATATCACTTGCGTAATTTACAACACACCAGACAATCTAAGAATCGCATTGGAAGATAATTTAATCGAAAAACTCGGCCAAAAACTCTGATAACCATAAGCTACGTATCAATACAAACACTTTCGTTCAAATCGCCCAACAATGCAACGCTGCCTCTTATGGTATGTTATGTATGTATCAATAATGTTTACCTTGTGCATTTGTGTTGCTAACATCGTCCTCTATCTTGCAGGTTTGGGATGAATTGCTATTTCCAATTTCAAGTTTAATAAATGATACAACTGTGAATCTTTTTACTCGTCATGTTAAGTAATAAATTACTATACGCAACAATTCGATAATTAGACTTGGATGCGTGATGCGATAATTGATTTAGGCGCGCGCCGCTAAAATCACGATTCTACGAGTGAAGTATCTTGTATATTTCACCACTCACAAAACGGCTCCTTTAGGAGCCACCAAATCTTGAAAGTCAATTTTCAACGTATTATACATGTTGGATGTTGTATCAAGCGAAAACCGAGAGAAAACATTAAGGTTTGTGTTAACGTTTCACGGACAAGCTACCGACAAGCTACCGACAGGTTACCGACACATTACCAACAGTCGGCCGACTGTCGGTCCACTGTCGGCCGACAGGTAGCCTATATTTCGGGCAAAACCTGTCGGCCGTCTGTCGGCCAACTGTCGGCCGACAAACGGCCGACACAGTCGGCCGACAGACGACCAACTGTCGGCCGACTGTCGGCCGACTGTCGGCCGACTGTCGGCCGACAGTTGACCGACAGTCGGCCGACAGGTTTTTTGGGGAGCTCTTCTTCACAATTACCGGATGTGTTAACCTTTTAACTCCTAGAGAAGATTAACAAGTAACTTCTCTCTCTTATATCCTTAGCTTATCCAGCAAACTGTTAATGAATCAAACTTAACAAGTAGAAGTTGTTTTCTTCATCTGATAACAAATCTTGCAACTGATTTACAAGGAAATGCATAGAAGCTGGACGGGAAGAATTAACAGTCAGATCTTGAAAGTTAAAGAACTGCAAAAAGAAGGGAATGTAGTTCCCATTCTGGCCTTGTATCCCACAAAAAAAAATTCCTAAACTGGGGGACTACCTAAAGAAATTTGTGGACTGCCCAATGCAGTCTGGCCAAAGCAAAGTATTGTAAAGTGTATCAGAACATATTCATTTATATGGCGTAATCTGCATATTATGGAAAATGGACTATAGAAATGCATCATTGGCTTCACCTTTGTGAATCATGTTTGGGAAGTTAGACTTTCCTTAGGTATGTTTCAACCAAAATAAATTTTCTAAACATCTGAATCTTTCCTGCTTTGTTTACACATTTTTGCAAGCTGTTTCAACTTTTCTTTCAACAAAAAAAAAAAAAAAGGAAAGTAATGGGAATGACAAAAATATGCACAATTTAATGATCAGCATTGCTCAACAACTACCTAAAATATTTATAGTCACTGGAGTGGCTAGGTAATCATATTTTAAGAATTAAATATCACAAATTTTGACAAATATGTTCACAATAAATATGCACAGATAGTTCACTATCTCCTACAAGTATACATCAATCTTATAGCATTAGTAACTTTGTACAAATTAGGGAAAATATATTCAGCAGTGTTAAAGTCATTCAGAACAGAATCTTGTAAAACTATTTACCTCCGGAGAAACTTTTCAGAGTACATACATTTGTGTTTAAAAAAATATCTTAAAAATTATTTTCTAGCATTGGTTAAAATGACAAAGCCCATGTTTTTAAAAAATCCAATGGCTAAGAAAGTGTGACATACAATATATCTACAGGGTACTTGATTATAAACTAAACCTACAACTAAAACCAGACTTGAGCGCCAAGTTTAGGCTTTCCTTGTCTTTAATGGCGATGTTAGAGACTGATATTGTTTTTTTTTGTTTGTGTAATGTTACTGTTAAACAAATAGTTATAAAACAGCTTATAGAAGGTGATTAGTCATTACACACTATATTTCTTTTTCTGATGAACCTTAAAAGGAAGCCTTGACTTTCAGGGGTAGAGCCACAGTTTCTCCAAGGGGGTCACAATATACCAAACAGAGGGTAATCATCATGTTATCTTGGAGACCTCCACACCACGTTTTACTTAATGAGACAAGAAAAGGCTTACAAAGTGGGGGGAGGGGGTCTACAAGCACCTCAAGAGCCCTCTATAGCTATGCCCTTGTCTTTGTCTACTTTGTGTACCACCTGCTATCCCATACTTATGTATAAATATTACACATCAGCCATGTGACCTTTATACCTTTGCAAGGTTTCATTAAGAAATAAGGGCTTAACAGACCACTGTATAAGAGTAGAACACTGGTAAATTACAAAGGGCTGGAAATGCAGCCATTTCTGCAGCATAAAGCAACTTAAAGTCATAAGTATTCATTTAAGGCCTCCTAGGAGGAGAGGAAGAATCTTGACCAAGAACAACAGACCTCTTACACTTGACTAAGCCAACTGTTAGGCCACTGTTTTCCCCACAGCTAAGATGAAGTGTGCTATGGTTACTAAAACTAGCTGGATACCATGTCTTTAACATACTGTACTATATCAGCAAATGCCTCATCCCCCTCATCTGTCCTGGCTGGTCCTCCCTCAGCAGCTAATGTCACAAACCCATGAAAAGATTGATAGTTCTTGTGTTGGACTTCAATGTTTGCATCTTGCAATCGTTCTACATAAAGGATGCCTTCGTCTCTTAAAACGTCAAAGTTTGCTGTAATAACAAAAGTAGGAGGTACTCCTCTAAAGTCTTCTGCTATTAAAGGAGATGCTTTAGATTGGGTCAAAGCTTCCAGTACAACAGGTGGTAGTGTTGTTTTCTGTTGTGGAAGCCATGAAATGCCTGGTGTAGACTTTTTTAGGAACCCCATATACTTTGTTCCAAGGAGATGTTGTGAGTGATTCCCAGACAGAAGAATCTCCATGAGGTCTGTGGAGCCATTAAGGTATAGTGAAACAAATTTTACATGCTCTTCTTGAGAGAGTATGTCATTGACTGCATTGGTAGTGTATGATGGCAAGTTGAAGTCAAGGAACTGTAAAGCAGGATAGATGAGAATCTACAAGAAGAAGAACAAGAGATCTAACGACAAACTTGATCTACACATTTGATACTAAGTCCTGAAATCTGACCCAGTACCCAGTGGTGGCAGGCAAGCAGTCTTCAGCACCAGTTTGTCTTTCTTGCGTCCATAATGCTGCCTCCTATTGTTGAACACCTCAAATGCCTCAAACTGCTGTATAAAGTTTTAGCCACTCAGTCAAGTATTCAACAGAACCATTAACCCTTTACTTCCAGAAGTGATTAATAAATAACTTCTCGCTAAAATATCCATGTATTATCCAGCAAACAGGTAATGAGAATATTCAAATTTACCAGGTAAGAGTTCTTGTTATCTTGATATACATGTAACACCAAATTCTCCAAACTAATTTACAAGGAAATGTGTAGCAGCTAAAGGGAGGGTTAACAATCAGATCTTGGGAGTTAAAGAATTAATAGGGCAATGATTAATTCCAGTTTCCTGCAAATTGTGTTTTACAGCTTGAGGTATGTGATTATTCACGAAGGTTTAACTTCAGATTTACTTCCATTTCACTCATGTAGAGGTTGCTTGCTTTAGGCACTGTACTGTCATTGCAGCCCTGAGAATAGTGATTGGTTTGAATCTCATTCTTTTTTCAATGATCAGGTTTCATTTTCTCAACTTCTTTACTTGTGCTTCAAATATATGAGTTTCCTAAGATTATATTCTCACTAATATACCTGTGCTGATTTTATACATACCTGTGCTTTCAAATAATTCTGCCTACAATGCATCTCAGAGACTTCAGCCAGGTAATGAGAAACTGCTGCAGCCAAGTTTCCTCCAGAACTGTCACCAACCAACATGACTCGTGTGACATCAACTCCGTGGTCTTTTCCAGTGTTGAGGAGGCCAACAGCTACATTGTAGCAGTCATTAAACTGGATTGGATAAGTATACTTAGGAGCTTGCCTGTAACTAAAAGGAAGTAAGTATGCTAAGGTTAATGACCTTTAACGTTACTTTGCTTTCCAATAATAGGCAAGCAATGAGGTTGGTGATTTACAATAAATACCAAATTTGCAATGCTGTCTTTTTTGCAAACCTGTCAGGAAACAGTTTTAAATTGTTTTAAAGCATTAAGAAGATCCCTGTTCTTGTAATCGGAGGATCAATTTGATTGTTTTTGCTTTTAGATGTCTGTTACAGTAAAGAGTGGCAGCAGGATGAAACAAAATCACAAGTTTGGCTGTGAGCCTCAAAGAGAGCACATTATTGAAAGGTGCAGTAGCCCCTAACTTCCACACGTGATTAAAAAGTAACTTCTCCCTACAATTTCGATACATTATCCAGCACTCAGATAATGAAAACAGACAAACTTATCAGCTAGGGACTTTCATCTTGATAAATCGCCAACTTCTCTTAATCAATTTTCAAGACTATACAAAGAAGCAAGAAGAGAGAATTTAGACATGACCAGTAGGAGCTTAAGGAAGGTGCAAAACTAATTGTGAAGTGACTGCAAAAATGAACAGTAGTGTTGCAGTCCTCTTACTTTTTACTTTATTACATATTAGCTGGTACACACTTGACCATTGTAAATTGTTGGAAAACAAAACGAAGCAAAGTACATTTTTTAGTAAATTAGCCAGCAGAGTTTTATCAGCCAGAGAATTATAATAACGTTTCTTACTCCGAACTCACAACAATGACTTGAGCTGACACTGCCAGTCTACGGCAGAAATCGTCATATCCCTCTGAGGAGAAGAAGAACTTAAGCATTAATCATAGGATTATGATTAGAAGCTTATCACGTTCTGCCTGTCTGATTAGTTCTCCACAAGGATGTAGCTAAAGTTTCTAACAGGCGGGTATTTGGACCGAAGGCCCACTCTAGCGTACCTTTGGCACACTATACCTAGATTTGAAGGTGTAAACAAATGAAATAAATAAATAACAATCTTCTGACAACATTTTCGAGAAAGAAGTAGTGCTTCACAGCTAGAAAAATTGCGTTCACAGCCGGGTAATTTTCCCGGCTTCTGGCTATAATATCTACATCCCTGTCTCCAGAGGTATTTTTTCTTTTCAGTCTATTGTGAATGTTGTGAACTTCTAGGACATTACAAAAAGCAGCTTTTCATAACAGGAGGGGTATTCATAATGGTGACAGGGATGAGTGGAGTTCAATTCTATCTGTTTTCACACAAGTGGTTTACAAAATTGAACGAATGCAAAGTGGGAGTCTGATTTCTTAATCACAAGTATGATTACAGACATTATCACACGCAGGTCATAATCAGTGACTGAGACTGAGACAGAGACAGACTGAGACAGTCAGGACATTTTTTTCTTAATCAAAAAGGCACCTTTGGCAATCAAGAGGGCATGATTACTTGATACTGATTGAACCTTTTTGCTGTTTGCAGCAACAATTACATATATACAAATAAGACAACACAACATCCCGTTACCAATTAATTAAAACTGTGAAAAAAATTTGAGAAAGAATTTAGACATCAGTGATGAAACGACATACATAGACAAGGGGTGTCAACTGTCCTATTAAACTGTTCTATTATGAGCATGAGGTGTACACTGTCCTATTGGTGCTCAAATTGGGCTGTTGATAACCAATCAGGTTCAAGAATGTTGTTATTATAATAGTTTTGATTATAAACATATGTATGTTAGGGAATACTATAGCCTCTGGCAGAGAGCAGCCTTTTCCTCCCTGTCACAATGACATAGATGTAACTTACCCAGGCTTCCTATGGCCCATCCTCCACCATGAAAGTAAATTACTCCTGGTAAAAGAGTTTCTTCATTGGATTTGCTTTCAGGAGACCCCTTAGTTTTGTTCACTGGCTTGTATATCCTTACACGAACACCAAAAATTTCAGTGTCATTTATTTCCAAAACATCAGAGTAACTATTGTTCTTGTACAATCCACTTGCAAATGCTAACACAGTTGCCATGTTGGAGTAATAGTTTTCACCCAGTCCAACAAAAGAGCCAATGTAAGCCTGGAAGAAAATCACTATCAGTCACCAGTGTACTAATTTGAGCAAGGGTAGTCTGTATAAGTTTTTGCTAAATTCCTTGTTTTACATTATATTTATTAGCTGTTGGACTGAAGAACTATTTGTAAACTTCAATATAACTTATTCTGAGCCCTTTTCAAATTTCATTATCTTTACCCTAAATTCCCAAGATGTGTATAGAAATTCTTTGTTTAGGCTCCTCTACATTTGTATATTAATTCAAGAATTTCAGTGTTATATATGTATCAAGACAATGCCTTCTTGTTGCTATGTTTCCCATTTTTCATCACTCATTCTGAGGAGAGGTATCATATGAATCATTTCTGAGAGGTAACAGCTAATTTAAGGCAATTCTGTTTAAATGATGACTTCAGCTCCAAAGGTCATTAAGAGAGTTACTGTCACAGACAATGTTAACAATCCTTTGAAGACTTCAGACCCTCTTTGCAATCCTCAAATTGGTCTAATTTTGCAAGGATCTAACACTTGTGACTTGTTTTAAAGAGAAATATTATTGAAGAGCAACACTATTCTCCTGAAGGTGACATACTCATTAAATTAATGATGAATGGTACACAGTTGCCTAAAGAGAACTGCAAGTTAACAAAGCCAAGATGGTTTTTAGGGTTGTTTAACCAAATGGTCATTTTGCTTCAGCCAAGCAGTCATTCTACCCAGCTGGATAATTTTCCAAACAGGTGGATTTGATTGATTAATCAAGAGGAACAGAAATTAACCATCACACATCTTGCATTGTGAGTAATAATGCTCTTCATCTGGACATGTGAATCATAATCTAGGCCTCACACCTTAGGACTGTGGGCTGTGGAGTGGGCCTTAGTATCCATGGGGTTGGCTATGGGTCACAGATCGTGAGCTACAGGGTACAACTCTGCTTTAAAAAAAAAAAAACCTTCCTTGGGGTCTAATGTTATTATTGTCATGACAGAATGCATCCTTATGCAAGAACATACGTCAAGAGGTTGTATACTTTCTGTATGCGCTTAGAGTTATAACTTCCGGAATGGGAGAGATCCTAACTGTAAATAAGAGCCCTAATCAGATATTTTCCGAACAAAGTAGATCAGTCAAATTAATGTTTATTCGTTTGTCTCACGATCGAGTCAGGTCAATCAGGCTGTCAATTGTACGTACATCTATTGATCGTGATGTTCCGACTGCTATACTTCGTCTGGCGACGAGCTCGAAAGTAGACATGGTCTGGTGCTACAAGTGTGTTTTGGCGCGCTATTACTGGTTGATTTAAGATCTGTGTTAAACAATAAATCCTAAGAACAATTGCCATGTACGAACTTTTGAGAAGTTAAGAAAACTTGTAACACCGAAATCGACAACACACTCAACATATTCGTCACCTTAAAAAGCATTTGGCGAAGCAATCACCGCACTAACTGAAATATCTGAGTGTTATTTTAGCGATTAAAAGAAACTTACCAGGTCCCATGCTAACACGAAACTAAATCCAACTAACTTGAACTGCCATGTTGAATTTATCGGAAAATCGTCTGGTAATGCAACGTTGAATAATCTTTGGTATACTCTGTTAGAAACAATTGCCAGTAATACTACGAAAACACAGAGGAACACGACAAAAGTCCGCATATTCTTTACAGTACCTCCAACTTAACAAAGTGGGATTCAATATCGAGCCCAGGGTCATTTGACTCCTTGTCAGCGGACGTACCTAGTAATTCTTCATTCTACTCATTTACCTCTTTATTATTACTAATGCTTGTGAGCCCTCTTTGCCGAGAACTCCGCTATCCAAGTACTATGGCTATGATGGTCGAAGGTGAGTGTACCGTTGATTTATTGGGAGTTTCGGGAAGAAAGGCTCTAGATGCGTGCGTTAAAGTAATCCTAGTCGAACGAGCCTGGAAGAAAACTTGTCCAAGGTCGAACATGTACGACGACCTGTCCGAAGAGCCAAAGGTTGAAGATTTGATGGAAGCAAACCATACAACCATCGATCGAGATTTGCTCTGCGAAAGGACTCCCTGCATTCAGAAATTGTATATGGATGAACATGGAGCAAAAGAGCTCTGTGGACATAACAGAAGCGAAGTTCGCGAGGCTACTTCCAAACACAAAAGGGGAATGAAGCAACACGTTACTGAACTCCGAGCTAATGACTCAATTAGTGAACACACCGAACACGAAAGACTCGAAGCTACTTGTAAGGGTTTAAAGGAAACAAACAAGGGTGTAGACGAGCTCGGAGCCGAAGGCATTGGTGGATACGACGGAAGAAAAGGAATCGAAACCAATTGTGACCGTGTAAAGGAACTGAAGCATCCTGTGCATGGCTCTGGGTTTATTATTCATGACCATGTCATTGTCACCAGCAAACATGTAATTAAACCAGTTTTAAACGATCAAGGAGAAGGATACGAAGTCTATATTTCCAATGCCACCTTTGGTATTCTCCCATGCAAGGTTTTATATGTTGACGAACGCCAGGATTTGGCAATACTCCTTTGCCAACAACTTAATTTAGAGAAAAATGGAATCCGTTCCTTGTTGCTGACGAACCATTCGTTGTCACCAGTTGTGCCAATTTTTTGTTTTGGTTATCCCTTGAGTTATAAAGGTGACAGAGCACTTGCTGTTTTTGGCAAAGTCTGTTCACAAGAGACTTCATCAGACTCTCCACTTGTCCCACTAGATTGCCCTCTTGACTCAGGAAATTATGGCAGCCCAGCACTCTGTTGGATAAGTGATCAGTTAAAAGTAGTTGGTGTGATAACACAGAAAAACATTCATGGGATTCAAACTCAGAATTGGAAAGATGGCATCAAATGTTTACAGGAATCATTGCCGATTATTGCCAATCCTCAAATACAGCGCTACCAAACAGCACCTTTGTTGACTTCTGACATAGCTTCAGAGTATTTGGGGATACATAGGCTATATGACATTCTGAAGACACACAGTCCCTTTTGTGTAATTCCAGGAATTTGCTTAGTTGATTTTATTAAAACCTTTGCCAACAAACATGAAGGCAAGCATGAAGAAGAGTTAAGGGAGATAATCAATTGCTTTGATATTCTTTCTTAGTAATCATTATGAACTGCATTTTAACAATAGATTCTGTTGCTGTGCACCTGTTCAGTAATAGATCACAGATGATGTCAAAATGTGGTAAGAAAGTAGCTCACAATACTTTGATGTCTTCTGTGATCTATAGCTGTATGGACCAACAGCAACATGCAATCTATTTGTTTTATAAAGTAAGGAAGAAAGAATTGGTAATGGCAGATCAAGATGTGCACATGAGACTACAAACCTTAAAGGTTAGTCTTAGGATGTTGATATCTTACTTCTATGAATCACAAAGTTGTATGTGTGAACAATCGCGAGATATTGGTTAGGATGAAAGAAGGTAGTTTAGAATTTGATCTGATTTTACTTCAACTTTGAGGTAAAACTGCATTAAGTTTGAGGTGGCCCCTAACCTTCAAATCACTTCAAATAAAATTGTCTTTTCTTTCTCTTTGTTGTCACTCAGGAAAAAAGGCTCTAAAAATGTTCCAACCTTCGGAAAATTTGTTTTTGGGAGGCTGAGGTGGATTTTTCAAGTCATGGCTCACAACCATCTCTGGCCTTTTTGCCTTACAAGTCTGTGGTACATAGTATGTAGGCATGTGTCTGGACAGTGGTTATAGTCTTGCCTCAATCATCTCTGGTTTTATACTTCTTTTAGCTGTGATCTAGTGGGAATTTTTCCAATTGCCTCTTTGGGCTTGAAGTGCTTAGTGGAGGATAAACTTTGGTAGAATTTATTGATCACATGGCCCCCAAATCCTTCACCACTGCCAGTTCATTGTTTATTTATTTATCTTTCAGTCTGACCAATTCATTTACCTCCCAAAAAATGTGTGGGTATTGTCTCATGAGTTTGAACTGGTGCCGTTTTCTTCATGTTCATGTGTTATTCTAAACGAGTGGTGTCAGCTTCATTATGTCTTGTTTATTTCAGTAGAATACTTCTACCATGCAAAATGAATTTTGAATTGAAGTGTACTTTGAAGTATGAGAAGTGTGATACAACAAATAGATAATTACTCAAGGGGCTGGAACTCCTTGTTTCTTTGGAATGTTAACTACAGTATTTCTGTCATATTTGAAAACAAATTTCAGGTTGAAATGTTTTCAAACTAGTTTGACTTGCATTTCACGTTGCCAAAAATGTCTAGATCCTTCAATTTGTATTTCTTGATTGAGGCTGATGATAGGAATTAACTTTTATGTTCTCTGTTGTTTAGGGAGATGTGAAATGGCCCCAATACATGCAGTTGGTACTATTGACAGAATGAGTAGGTGTGACATTTAATGTGGCAAGCTGGTATTCACAAGATTACAGGCTGGTGCTATTTTTTTCATCTGAAAAATTTACTCATGCTTACTTTTACCCAATTGCACCTGAAATCATGTGATATCAATACAAAACATCAGAGTACCTTTAGTTCTTGTACAGTCTTCATGTAAACGCAAGTGCAGATGCCATATTGGAGCAAATGTTGTCACCTCATCCAACTGGAGAGCTGAATATGTCACACAAACTTGAAAGATGATAGTGTTTAAAAGTTTATAAAGAGCCATCATAAGGGCAAGAGAGGTACTAATAACTTGTCGTTAGCCTCTACAGGAAGCATGTTGTAGGACAAATCCACTGGCATACATTTCAGTTTAGCCTCATTATAAAAGATTTCCTTACCACAAGGCAAAGTTGCTCTTGGTTTCTGTGATTTTCTTGACTGAAAATACATTTTTGACAAATACCCATCTATTTCATTTATTTCAGGGAATTCTGTAATTATGTTGTGAATATTTAACAACCATTCACCAAAGTACAAAGTAACACTGGCACAGAAAGCTAAAATAGAGGGTGTTTTTAAAAGGCTGTAATATTGTTATGGTAACTTGATGCTAATTAAAACATTTTTTGAAAAAACTGGGCATTGTTTTATACCATTTGTTAAAGAGCAAACAAAAAGTCTGATAGAGTAGATCTATTACAGAACTGGTGTTTTACCAAATTCACTTGAGTCACTTTAAATGCAAACTCACCTGGTCATTAAAGCACCTAATTGTACACCAATAAATAGTCTGTGGTGGTTCACCCTGTTAAACTGAAAGCAGTGGTTGGTACCACCACCAAAATACAGAAAGCTTCTATGAGAACCTGCACACAGTACTTCCTTTACTAAGCACCTGGGCACTTTTGGCTAAAAGGAGGGTGCTTTTTCTCCTGTGCTGATTCTGCTGTAGTTGAAGCCTTAAAAGTTATAATAAAGTGGCAATAGAACAAGATTTCCTTGCATCCCTACCATTTAAGAAAGTGAGGGGGGGGGGGCACTTATTCAAGAGGGGTGTTTGCTTTTGAAATACCTATTGTAGCCTAGGGGTACAAGCCGGGTGCTTACTTGGGGGAGGGTGCTTAGTAGAATGTGTGCGCTTATCCCAGGAGATATTGTATTCCACTGAACTCAGTCATCAGAAACTTGACACAAATGATCAACAATCAACATCCAAAGATTATGGTGGAGGTGAGGGATTACCAAAATTAGCCTTGTTCCCAATCCTTCTTAAATACAAACTTCACCCAAGAGTGACTAACATCTAATTTTTCCCGATTGTATCACCCCTGATTGAGATGTAAAGGTCATGCAAATAAAGGAAATGATCGCGCACATAGAAGGTTCTCATTAGACTTGCAAGCACCATAGGTAATGTGTAAAGAACATTATGGAGACTGCTTGAAATGTTGAGGTCATGATAATATAACATAAAAACAAAGTAGGAGATAATTGAGCTTTGGAGTCTTGAACAATACAAAATAGAAGGTAGTCTATGACTGCATTTACCTACTGTTTTATAGCTGTAGAGTATTTTAGTAAACAAGTGATGTAGCTCAAAATGCAGAGGGGTTAATAAACAGCTCTTGTCAATGCCAAAACTGTGCCAAAAGGAGGACTTGGTTGGAACAGAGTCTATACACCAGTCAATTTACCGGCCGGGGACAGGGTAGGAAATTAATAGAAAAGGTACATGTATTAAATTTGCATCAAATGTATATGATTACAAAATGCCCCATCTTTGTACGCTCTGCGTACCTAACACAATGGACAATACTTACTCCTTGTCTTTTTTTCCTTTAATGTACATTCTCCTTCAAAGGATATGTTAGACATATCGTACAACGCATATGTCAGAACTTTTTACGACGTAGCTTTTGCCATTTTTGAGTTTTTTTTTTTGATAAAAAATATGATAACTTTGTTAGCGTGTAGAGTGGTATGTTGCTTGCACTGATCAGATTGCCGCGTTAGGGTATGTATCTTGTACCGATCAGATTGCCGCATTAGGGTATGTATCTTGTACCGATCAGATTGCCGCGTTAGGGTATGTATCTTGTACCGATCAGATTGCCGCGTTAGGGTATGTATCTTGTACCGATCAGATTGCCGCATTAGGGTATGTATCTTGTACCGATCAGATTGCCGCGTTAGGGTATGTATCTTGTACCGATCAGATTGCCGCATTAGGGTATGAATCTTGTACCGATCAGATTGCCGCGTTAGGGTATGTATCTTGTACTGATCAGATTGCCGCGTTAGGGTATGTATCTTGTACCGATCAGATTGCCGCATTAGGGTATGTATCTTGCACCGATCAGATTGCCGCATTAGGGTATGTATCTTGTACTGATCAGATTGCCGCGTTAGGGTATGTATCTTGTACCGATCAGATTGCCGCATTAGGGTATGTATCTTGCACCGATCAGATTGCCGCATAAGGATATGTATCTCGCACCAATCATTTCACAGAATTTAGATATCTCGCACCAATCACAGCGTTTCTGAATTTTTTCTCGCAAATGATGTCATGGGGGCTGTACACAAAGAATGATATTAACCAGAAATTTTGGGTTCATTTACAAAGTGTAATGGTTTGTGGCCTTCGCGAGAACCTCTTCGACTGAGGTCGAGATTTATCGGAATATCCCAGAAAACTTTGCACAAACACAAGGATCCGATTCCTGGTAACTCATTCATTGTTTTTAAAATTCTCTTGACGGAAGCAGTGCCCCCACCGAATACTGATTAATTGAAGAAAAAAAAACATAGAAATAGAAATAAAGTAAAAACAAATAAGGATGCCGAAACTAGATTCCAAGGGAGAATGTGTTTCATTGTCGTCGAGTCCGCCATAACTTGGTACTAATCATCAGCATCAAATTTGAAGAATCATAACTATATTTTTGACGGAAAATAGTATGACTCTAGCTATTTAAGCATTTTGTATTCATTTCTTATTGTTAGTTCTCTATTGATTTGATCGATTCGTTCCTTTCAAACCTTATTCACAACGGATATTGTCGATAAAAATAAGTCATAAATGTCAAGTCCTATGATGCTCATTGAACACCCAAGTTTTGTCACCTTAGCAACGTAGAGCCACGGGTTTTTTTCTTTTTGTAGAACGCCACCTTTGGAATGCCTGATATGTTCGGAAGGAGTCAATAGATAATTGCAAAAATGTTTAACTGATCCTACTCTTAGCATTTGAACCGCAGTGATTCCCTTTCCTTGTGGAGGAAAATTGACTCACTGCCTATGTTGTCGAGAACGGACTGTATGAAAGAGGTCAAACCGGAAAAGAAAGAAAGATTAGTTACCTTCATTTGCACTGAACAATTAGTTAATTAAGCCAGGTTTCGCTCTGTTGAAAGGAATATGCCTCGGTGTCTGATACGAACACGTACAGTATTTTCTCGAGCACCTCAGCATATTTGGTAATAAGCTTTCCTCCAATTGTGCCTGACAAGATATAACCACGTTACCTTGAACAAATTCCATGAGTTTTGTCTACTTTGGTGTCCTAACGTCACGCAATAACGTACAAACTGGTTCTAAGGCTAACTTATGGATCCGACGTCTTCGATCAGGGGTTATTGTTACACAATACACGACTCGTAAGATATTAGTCGATAATGTTTTTTCTCTTCCTTGTTATCCAAATATGGAAATTGTAAAGAAAAAATAAGTACATTTATGTTTTACTTCCTTTTGCTTTCCAAGAATTGACCAAGACTGTAATGTGAACTTTAACCAACAGTTTATATTCAGTTCTACGAGGATTCAAAGGTAAATATTTATTAACTGTCTGGTTTATTGTGCTCGTTGTAAAGAAGCAAGAGAGCTTTCTTTGGAGCTGAACTGTATCAACAGAAAGACAGAGCATCCCCAGAAAAACTCCGCTGAATTCGCCTTGAAGATGGCAGCAACTCCGTTCTCGCTCGAAGGAGTGCTAACATATTTAGCAGAAACGTTCACAGCCGGTGTGATTCAATCTTATCAGGGGCAGGGAATCCTTGAAAACCTCCCTTTGACAGAACGACAAGATCCTTTGCAAGATTTTACAAAGTTCAATCCGCAAGACACGGTCTTCCAGGAGTACGATGCGCCACCAGACGACGATAGCAAAATGGCATGGAAGAGATCTCGGCCAGAAAAATGGTGGATGTCGCTTTGGAAGGCCATGAAACACGCATTTTACATTCAAATTGTAGGTGGGATGGCACTCGGTTCGCTTGCTATTCTAATACTGATTTTAGACTTTAATTCCGTAGATCTCTGCTTTGATAAGCAGTCTACAAATTGGAAGGCACTTACTAAACGGACTCAGGCAGTGATAGTTACTGCGGCAACTAGCGAAGCCTACGTTGTTCAAATGTGGACATTTCTTGTCGTACTGGTGATGTTTGGATGGCCGGTGATTAAGAAACTGAACCTGCTGACCCTGAATTTGCTCGGTGCGTTTCTTGATAGCTGCTATAGACTATATCTTCAGGTTTATGGAAACTACATGGTATCCTGGAGGTCGCTTCCTCTGAACGGTCTGTTCGTGTCGCTTTTGCTCATGAACAGTTTACTACTTGGTAGAGAAGTCGCAAAGAATAACGAAGCACTGACAACAAGGAGATCTAGGATAAAAAAAACCTTGAAGGTTTCTGCGATGCTGACGGCTCAGTTTGCTTTTGGCATACCGATCACATTTTACCTTGTTTATAAGCTGATTCCGTTGTATAGAGAAGCAAATGAAACCATAAGAGCGATCATCGCTGGCGGACTCCCGCTTGTAACTGCCATACCAAAGGTCATCGTGCGTTTGGCGGCGCAAAGAATCGACTTCTTTCACCCAGGAGACGCGCACGTGCTTTTGAGTGTCCTGTATTACGCCTCCGCCATCGTTTTCCGTGTGATGCAGGCAGATCTCACCAGCCTTCGACTGTTCATAGCGCTGAGCTTCGCACACGGCGCGGTGGATTTGCTAGAAAGGGTGACCATTGTTTTGCGGGATTACTTTTGGTATTTTATTTACAAGAAACTGAAACGAGACGGTAGAGAGACGTTCATTGCCGCAAATAAATTTCGCACCCCGAGGAGTATGCGCTTCATCGCAGACATGAGCATTCAGATTATTCTCGGAGAATCAACAGCTCTGATCGCAGCCGTTGGATTCATACAGCTGTTTAAATTCATGTACTCCCCTGAAACATCGTCCTCATCCAACGTCCAATTTGTAACACAGTTTTTTTTTCGCGTGTCTATTGCTCTAAGTATCGATTTCTTCTTCAATTCGTTCTCGTTTTGGTTGCAAATGTCTTATTTAAATGTTGCGGTGGTGCGAGTTTGGAAGAAGAAATGGCGTAAGCATATGCTTGTTGCTTTCATTTTGACTGCTGTGACGTTGTGTTACTACACGACTCATTTGTTTGCAGTGGTTGAAGCGAAGAACACTACAGGCGCCAAAAAGCCTGCTTTTAATTGTACAAGGCCATTTGCAAAGTTTTAGATCGTAGTTTCGTCGAGAAAACTACCTCCTTCCCATTCCGGGAAATATTCCAGTCTTTTTCCACAAAACAACGCCATTGACTTAGTGACGTTAATAATCAGTAGTTGAACAAGGGTTTACTGTGTGACAATGGATTTCAATCATTTTTTTGGATGTCAATTGAGTAAATTTCCCATAAAAAGCTGTGGAGGCTAGTCAGTGCACTTCAGCAATACAACATAACCAATTAATATGAATTTAAGAGGAAAATTCTTAGTTTTTTCAATTCTAATATTTAATATCACAAACATGTATTATTATATCATATTGTGTTTTGTATTTTATATTTTATTAATGTATTATTTGATAGCATGTAAATTTTACATTCTTATTAGAATTTATATTTTCATTGTATTTTATCATATTTAACACGAAGACATAACTTTTGTAGCTACACTCAAATTTCGTGTTTAAATTAAGTTTGTGTAAGTATATGTACCAATCGTGGAAGCATTTTTTTCTTCGAGAAGCGGTGTCTCTGAAATTTACTTTTAATTAAAAATTTTTTCTCGAGATCAAATTTGTTGGCACTCCATGGAAAAAGATTTAGACAGATCAACCGATATGTAACATTTGAGGTAAAACCAAACACTTCTTTTAAAACAAAGAAATATCATACCTAGAGTGTTTTAACCCTTTAACTCCAAAGATATGATTGTCAATTCTCCCCTCGAGCTGCTACACATTTCCTTGTAAATTAGTGACAAGAATTTGCTGTTTGATCAAAATAGCAACTTCTGCCTGATAAGTTTGAATATTCTCATTACATTTTCGCGGGATAATGTATGGATATTGTAGGGAGAAGTTATACATGTTGAGAATGTCTGGGAGTTGAAGGGTTAAACTCACGACACATCAGAGTATCAGCATCAAGGTTCTTCTAAATAAAGCACGAGTCTCCTCACACTTGACTTGAAAGATATGTCTTTGGGAAAAAAAGCCACAAAAATTTCATGCTTTCAAAATCTGTACCTCCGACATGAGCACTAGGAACAATTAATCCAAGAGTGTCTCAATGGTTCCTTCAGGCACACGTCATCCCCACGCACTTTCGGTTCCAATCTCCACACTTTCTCTGACTCTCGCAGGGGTAAAAGGAAGGGGGGATATTTTTATTTCTCCACAAGAAGACGTTCGCCATATCTTTACCCTATCTCGCATCTCAGTCTTTCTGAAGTGACCGAGTTCTCTTTAAGCTTATTTTCAGCTATAATCTTTGTTATAAATAGCTCAGCTGTCTCCCTCTCTCACATTGATCCCTGTAATTCCGCCTTCACACTGTTTATCTCTTTCTCCAACGTCTCTTTCTCGGTTTCCAGCGCAGCTGTTCTTTTGAGATTCACCTGTAATCTGTTCTCCAGAGTTTGAAGAAGAGGTCCACACATAACCTCCATGAGCTGACACAAAGCCTTGGTAAAAACTGCCAAAATAATAAAAAAAAAACATTTAATCAAAACAGAAATAAGGTAAGAAGAGATACTGAGTAATGCAGAATTGGGGGAAGCAAAGAGTGGGGAGGGGGGAGTGGGGAGGGGGGGAGAGGGGGTGGGGTGGGAGTGAAGTGGGGGAGTAAGGATAGTAGAGGGTGAAGAGGAATGTGTGGGGAGATGGGTGAAATGCAAGTAGGGTGGAATGACCTGGAATAACACTGATGACTTTTTAAATGACAGAATAAACTTATTCCCTCAGCTTATTAATTGACTAATTTTGATCAAATACATTTGAAGACAGAGTACTGCTGAAGTTTTCAAGATTAAATAAAAAGGAGTTGAAAATTTGCTATTTCAAGAATTCTGTCCTCTGCTAAGAACACACACTCAGGAACTTAAGGCAAGTACATTGCATAGTCACAAAAGAGAAAAAGTACAATATGTTAATCACTTGCAACACAAAAGTTCATGGAAAGATATTCACAGGGCTGACTCAACAAGGGTTATGGGAGTAAGCAATTTGTCCATCCAAGAATCCCACCTCTACCAAATTTTCTAAAACATTGTTCACAAAATGACTAAAATCACATTATAGATTCAATAAATGCCTCTACCAACCTGTACTATTATGAACTGCTGTTAATAAATCCTTAGAGCTGTTAAGAAAAATGGTAAATTTAAGTTTCATACAAGTGGACAGAATACCCAGCTGTGATCACTTGAATAAAATGACTCAGAGCAGAAAAAATGTCTGAGCATTTTGAAAGAACCTTGGCTGCATTGTTCAAAACACAATTTTAATTGTGAAATTATGAAATAAATCCAGGATTAGTTTTAAAAAAAACTCTTCAGAGTTTCTTTTTTCTTTTGAGAAGCCAGGCATGAAAATAACACCAGCCAACAATGGGTAAAATTTGTACCAGAACAAGACAAGTATTTTACTGCTTTTTATAATTAAACCAGCCAGCACTTTTAAGCTTCAAATCAAGTAGTTGGTTAAAATGCTGGCCACCGCTACCTCTGGAGCACACTGTTGCTTCGCCATACCAACTAAATCTGGATTAAGGCAGAGCAAGTTTTGATAAACTTGACTCATGACTTGTTCACCCTTTCCACACAAAAATACTTCATAGCATATCTTATCCCAATAATCTACTCTCACTTGGCATTTTGCAACCAAGACAGAACTTCTCCTTAACCTTTCAATTCAATGTCAAGCAGACAAGAAATGATATTAAAGAAATGTATCAATTAGGGGACTAGTTTATCCAGTTCCAAATTCTTATTATATAAGATCTTGGGAGTGAAAAGAGTTAAATGAACATGGACTAATAACCCCTTGAACCTTTAAACTCCCATGAGTGACCAAGACAGAATTTCTCCTTACAATATCAATACAATATCAACCAGTTAAATATTGATTTGGGGATAATTAGTTGATCCAATACTAAATTCTCTGAACTAACATCATAGGAATTGTATGGTTGACAATAAAGAGAATTACAAATTTGATCTGGGAGTGAAAGGGTTAACATCGATACAAACCCTTTGTCTAGTGTCATTGGTTTCTGTTAGTGTCTCTGTGGATAAACATCAGCACTAGGGAAGATACTAAGCTGTACACAAAACTAGAAGGTAAAATGACAATATTTTTTTAGCAAGCATTTCTGTTGATAGAAAACTTACTTCAAAGTTTTACTATATGCCTCTTCTTCTTCCTTTAATGAATAAAAAAGAAAACAAGGCATCAGCAATGTCTGTCTGCATTTATTAAGTGGTCAAGTATTGGAGTAAAGTACTGTCATTGGTTCAAGGGCAACCTGGTGCAAATCAACAACCATTATTTTCTTTTAAAATCATCTTTTTCATATTTGAAATGATGGTTTATATTTTAAGCAATAAGTGTTAGATTTAATTAACATTTAAATAAAATCATGCATTAAAATTTATCAATTAACTACTCTGGATAAGTTTCCTGCTGGACTTCACCAGTGATCAATTGCATAGTAAACCTAGTTGACTGTAACAGGTAATTTAGTGTTAACAACTGAGTTGAAAACATAAATTAGCCACCATAACAAGGTTAAAGGCTGACATTTTGAGCATTAGCCCTTTGTCAAAAAGGGCTATCAAAGGGCAATGAAAGGGCAATTGAGTGACCAAGACAGAATTTCTCCTTACAATATCAACACAATTTCAACCAGATAAGTGGTGAGAATAAAGAAAAATATCAATTTGGGGATAATTACTTGATCCAATACTTAATTCTCCAAACTAGCATTACAAGAATTGTATGGTTGACAGTAAAGAGAATGAAACATTTGATCTGGGAGTTAAAGGGTTAAACTCTTTACAGTGGCCAATTTATGTTTTCAACTCAGTTGTTAACGCTAAATTGCCTGTTATACTCTCCCACCAATGCAGCACCACAGTTTCTTTAGAAACTTATCCTCTTTTTATCTAGTTGACTGTAGTTTTGGTAGGTAACTTACAAATGATTCTGGAGTCCAAATAAATCCTTTGATAGAGAAATGAAAAGTTTATCTATGCATGTATATCTATGCAAAGGTGGTCTTCACAGACTTCGTTTTTTTTCCTGAGTTTAGTTTTTGAAATGAATCACCCTACTTTAAGGAATCATTCTATCACCTCACCTTTGATAGTATTTGTGGCAGTTCTGACAAGCTGTTTAAAGTAGCCTTTGACAAAACCTCTGTATGAACTATTTGAAGCTCAATGTCAGCTCGCTGATATCTGATGCAATAAGAAAATACAGAGCACTTTGTTATAAAAAAAAATACATATATATCACATGGCCTAAGGCACCCTTTAGAAAAAACTGAGATCAAACCATCTAAATCAAGTCCACATATCAAATTGAATTAGATACATGTAGCTGCAGAGCTTACACCTAATCCATGACAAGAACTGACCAAAGATACCCCTACAGGGCTGTCACCAAGTTTGAAAGTATGTGGCAAATAAAAGACAGTACGGATACTATGTTATTTCATCAGATTACATGTCTGTGAACTATTCAGTTAAACTTATAGTAAGCATGAACATCCACGCAAATTCTGAACATGGAATCCAATTATATATTTAAACCAGACACTGGTAGATGATGCTTTCAATTTGTGTCTTGAACAAAACAGATCTGAATGCTGCTGCTTGGAGTTTGTATCAGCTATTTCAGCTGGTTTTTCCTGGTGACTATAGGAGTATGGAAAGTGAACTTACTGTGGAGGACTCCCCTCAGGCTTGATGTTCACTGACTGAAAACAATACACTTTTAAATGGCCACCCTGAAAGAATCATGAGGGTGAAAAAAGTTACTAAACAGGGCTCCAAGCTTAACTTTTTCAAAGTTACCTTTGGAGAACCTTTAATAATAGAGTGGTGACAAGATATTAATGTTTGGTTAAGGAAAAAGAAACTGTAACCTTTTAACCCCTTAGATTGACCAGCTTCTAATTTCTCCTTACAATATCAGCCCTGAATCAAACATTTAGATCACGAGAATCAAGGAAATGATCACCAATTTATAAAGCTCTTGATTTTAAACAAATTCTCCTTGTCAGCACTTCAGGAAATGTATAAAGAACAGTAATAATACATAATATGAAGCAGACAAGTGTTGACAAAGAATAGTATCAATTAGGGGATTTCTAATTGATCCAATTCCTAACTCTCCAAACTAACATAAGTTGAATAGTATGGCAGACAGTAAGAAGAATAACTAATGACATTTGGAAGTGAAAGGGTTAAATACTACATGTAAGCCACTCACCAAATTTGTATCGGTGTTGAAACAAGAGAAGATAAGGCCAACAAATCCTGCATCCATAAATTGGTAAGAGGCCTGAGTCCGTAGGTCTATTGCACACATAAAAATTACTTCATTACTGCATCAATTCACAGTCTACCTTTTTTTACACTAATAAATAAAGGAGGTAAGTTTCTAAAGAAACTGCAGGGCTGCATTGGTGAGAGAGTATAACAGGGTAATTTAGGATAATCAACTGAGTTGATAATATAAATTAGCCACTGTTAAAGAAATGTAAAATGGTTTCCATGTTTACATAGTCTGATGTTAACACGTAGGAGGTTGGGAGAACACAAGATAAGTGTACGAAACCACAATGCAAAGCGGAGTGGTTTCCAGCTTATCTCGTGTTCTCCTAACCTCCCATGTTTACATCAGGCTATGTAAACATGGAAACCATTTTACATTTTTCTTATAAAATAACTAATGAAAGAGGAACGAAAACCGTGTTTACATACGCTCATGTAAAATGGTTTTATGGTCAATCAGAGTGCGCGTACTATTTGAATTATTTTATAAAAAGAGTTTAAAAGTGGACATTTTCAGCATTAGCCCTTCATCAGACCTTCATCAGAGCAATTGAAGAAGGGCTAACACTCAAAACTCCAGCTTTTAAACTCTTAACTGTGGCCAATTTACATTGTCAACTCAGTTGATAATACTAAAATTACCCTTTTTCCCACTACTTACCACTTAAGTGTCATTTCATTGTAACTCATTAGGAAAGCATGATATGCATTGACAATAAGGACATCCATCTCATTTGGGCAAATCTCTTGACCTCTGTCTATAACTGCTTTTTTTCCTTTTCCCAATTTAATATATCATCCCTCTAATGTCTAAAGATAACAGGGGTCCTAGCCTAACAGTCTCATGAAGCTGATTATCAGACAGCCATTAGACAGTTCTCAAATAATAATATTTATTTCTTGGTGAAAGGGTTTAACCCTTTAACTCCCATGAGTGACCAAGACAGAATTTCTCCTTTCAATATCAATATAATATCAACCAGATAAGAGATGAAAATAAAGAAAAATATCAATTTGGGGATAATTAGTTGATCCAATACTAAATTCTCTGAACTAACAATATAACAATTGTATAGTTGACAATAAGGGTTAAGGCATCAGGCTTGACTTTATACTAATGATTGCATGCTATCACATCAGGAACTTACCAACATGTGATGGCCAAACTGTAATGTGAGGATGAGAATGATACCAACCAATCACCCTCATTGGTCGCTGTTTTGACGTCAACATACCAAGCCTCTGAAATATCAGAAGAAAAGTACTGCAACTTATCTGTTTAAGCATTGCTTTTATAACCATAAATGAAGACTTAATGGTTTGTCTCATGATTTAAAGTCCCCTTAAATTATAAAGTCAAACCATCAATTGAATATTGCAGCTTGTTGACCCATTTCTTCGACCAGTTAAGATCATGATAGTTTACCTCTGCCTGTGTTGAGGCATCTGACAATTGTTCTGGAGAAATCTCCACCCGATCTTTCCGCTTGTCCAGTCTCTGAAGCATGATAACTGAATAAATATGAGCTACTCTCTCATCCTCAACCTAGAAGAGGAACAGAAGAAAGAGATCATACACCAAATATATGAGAGTACAATTTAAAACGAAGAGCATTTAGATCGATATATGGAGAATGGAAATGTCCCGGGGAAACGAAAATCAGTAGATTGTGACAACCAATGTATGGCTAAATAATGAAATTAAGCCAGCTGTCTTTGACTCGAATACACGAGGGATTGTGGGTTTTTAACCAGCAACAGTTCGAGAAATCACAATTCTGCAGACTATAGTTTCTTAATGATAAGAAAAATTCCAATACATATACAATTCTAACCATATACCCACAATATTTACAAAGTTTGATTTCACTAGTGAGGCACTTAGGGTGTTTACAATTCAAAAGAAGTGACTTTTATACCCATTACTTCAAAACAGCTGAAAGGTGGCAATGACGACAGTAAAATACCTCTCCGATTAACAAGCCCATAACTTCTTCCCTTTCAGTCGATAGAGCGTGAGTCAAACAAACCATATAAGCATCTGCTTCAATCTTCACAGCTCCGACTGCCATCTTGCACTTCTCTTCCGGCGTCATTGTGCAACGCCGCTGACAAAGGATACCTCTCACATTTTAGTGACGTAATTATTTCCGAACGATACCCCTAGGCCCAGTCTACCAAGACCAGGATTTTGTGGCTCTTCCCAGTGGGGGAGGTAGAGCTGAAAATGTGACGATAAAACAGGTGAAATTTACGAATTCTATTTTTTATGGCCTCAACTTACCTTTTGCAGTTACTTGGGTTGCTTCGCAGAGGGTGTTTCAAGATGATTTGGTTATTAGAGATTTTCTAAAGCTAATGTACGTTAGCCCAATGCTTTGAAAAACAAAGTGAGACCCAGAAAAGACTGAGAACATTTTATAATGATGATGTAAGCTTACCGATCCGTAACTCCTCAAAATTCCTTACTTTCACTATTCTTGAATTTCCCGTTGTTGACAAGCGGCTTAACTATGACGTCATCAGGCTTACAGGAACAGCTAACAGCGGTCACGCTGAAATAGGTTACGTTGCTTTCTTACTTTTCTGATCAGTTGTTTATGCATAGAACCCAAAAAATGTTTTCCAACAGGGCTAAGTTTAACCACTTTCTGCAAACTTTGAGTGTTACACTACTTCATGTGGTGCAGTTCTCTGGAGCCACACACATCCCGAGCATCATCATTCTGTATCAATTGTTCTTTTATACACCTTTGTGGCCGTTTGTGCTTCTTTATTTGTCATGGACGTATCTCGCCGAGTGGAAAACCCCTGAACGTGGTGGAAGAGATCTTCTGAGGAATTTCATGAGACGGCTCCCTATTTTCAAGTTCATGAGGGATTACTATCCTATCACACTCGTTAAAACTAGAGACCTCGATCCACAGAAGAACTATATTTTTGGATATCATCCTCATGGAGTTTTCACCGAAGGAGCATCGATAGGATTGAATACAGAAGCATGTGGATTTAGTGAAAAATTCCCTGGAATCATTCCGCATTTGTCCGTGACCTCAGGTACTTTAAAATATCTTAACAGGCATTGTTGACGTTTCATTGGGTTTCGTTTCTTTTCCTTGTGTATGAAATTTTCACATTATCACCCTACTATTATTATTTATGAATCAGTGGTGCATTCAGCAGTTTGTCGTACTCCTTCGTGTGACCCGAAATACATTTTATACAACTTTTATACTCGTCATGAAGCTTAGACTTCACTTCGTGTTGATTTGCATATTTTCCTGCTTAAAGTAAAATCTAGATCACTGGACCAATGGACTAGTGGAGAGAGGATCGTACCTCACTTCATCCGCTAGATTAATAAAGGAGTCTTTAAGGAGTAATATGTTCCACAAAGCCATTTATTTCACATCACCATCATAAAAAGGTACATGCGAAATCATGACGTCGTACGTGTTTTGGGATCTCAAAGATTAACTGACCTCTCATAAATTATCTTCACGTGAGTATAAGGACGCCGACATCTTTAATCTTGCCCGGCACCCTTGCCACTTAACCTGCTATGTTCTAGCATACTCTGATCTCTTTCCTGGTACGTTCAGAGGCTACACTTATTTATTATTATTATTATAAGTTTGTTTTTCTACTCTTTGGAATCTCAAATCGCAAAAAGATGTTAATCTTGTTTCAACTTGGCAGAGAAAGAAAGAAAAAGTTGGAGCATACTTCTCCTTGAAATTTGTCTCACAGTTTTACTTTGACTCGGTTCCCAATCCTCGTGAGGGGAAGGGTCACGTAAAATAGTTTTCAGATTGCTGGACAGGTTGGCAAAGAGTTCCAAGCTGGTGCCCTTTACATAATTAATATTTTTGAGCAAACTTTGATCGAACCCCTGTCAACAGCTGATTACAGAGAAAAAAGGAGACTTAAAGCCATATCTCTGATTTACGTATACTTGTTTATCGATTATTCCCGCAGTTATACTAAAACCCCTGTTATACCGGGACATACTGATGAGTCTTGGCGTAATTGATGTGTCGCGTGACAGCTTGGAATACAATCTGACACAGAAGGGGGCGGGACACTCGGTTGTCATCGTTGTGGGTGGAGCAGCGGAGATCCGTGAAATGGGCTTTGACAGCTACGCGCTGATAATGAAACGACGGAAAGGATTTATCAAACTGGCTTTGCAAACCGGGTTGGTATATGACTTTGTGTTTCTGCTTTTAAGCCAGAAGACTGTCATTCATCTCACGTTACAGTCATCTTATCCAGGAGCGAAGCCAGGATTTTTCATGGGGGGGGGGGGGTCAAACTGTGTCTAAAGGAGGGTACTCGCTATTTTTGCCACCGGAATATTGTAGGTTGTTTGCTCAAAAGAGGCTTACGAAGCGGAGATCAAGGGCACCCCGGACCCCCCCCCCCCCCTCCCTTGCTACGCCCTTGTTATCCTTTTGGCATTTGTCTTTTTTTTTCTTCCGGTAATTGTTAACATAAGTTTACTTCTTGTTGTTATAGTAAGAAGATCCTAGTCCTCCATTACTCGGAGTTTTGACATGAACTGTAATCAAATGGAGATATCTATCATTTTCAGGTGCGATCTTGTCCCTGTGTTTGGCTTTGGACAGAATAATCTTTATCTTAATATAATTGGCGGCAGTAGTTGTTCCCAATATTCACGGCCTCAACTTTGGTTCAGAAATTTCACCTCTTACCTCAGAACTTGTTTTCTTCCGACACGATCTCCAATCAATGTCGTAGGTAAGCGTATTTTTCATTTGTGAATGTTTTCTTTTTATTGAAAGCACTTTTATTTACAAGTCGAACATTCCTTCTAGGATTTAGGACCAGCATGAACTGGAAAACTGTATGATAAAAAGATGACCAATGCAATCCCAAATTAGCACCCATCAAACCTTTGTTTTGTGTATGATTTCTACTCACGCCGATTGCATAATGGTAGTTCAGTAGCATTACAATTTTCTTTTCCGCAGTGGGATCGCCTATTTCTGTTTCCAAGATTGATAAACCAAGGAAGGAAGATATAGACAAACTTCACACACGGTACATAGACGAACTAAAAGAATTGTACGAGAACTATAAGGACAAATATCACCCATCAGAGAGATCTGAGTTGTTGATCATCTAGTTACTAAAAGGGAAGTTGTTTGAATTTTTTTTTTTACTCTCAATAAAATGTCACTAATATACAGTCGTTTTTATTTGTTCTTCCTTGGGAAACTCACCCATACCCCCAGCGGAAACTCCCACCAGATTTCTCATGCTGAGATCCTTTCGCGTTAACGATGAGATGTATCGTGGGTCCTAGGGTGCGTAGGATTTGAGAATCCGTAGAGCATCAATTGTTTCTTTTTTTCTGTCACGTCACCGAAAAATGAAAATAAAACCCATTTTAATGGCCGGCTGCAGTTAATAGCTAGAGAAATTGCAGAATATTGATTAAAAACCGCATCCGTCAGTCTATTGTTGGAAACGCAATAACTTCCCTACTGCAAACTAGCAAAAGATTTATAAAAACAATTTTGTAGCCTAAGCAGATTGCGGGTTATTTACGTGGCCCTAGTTCACGTTACTTGAACGCATGGCAACGTTAATTGCGAAGTGAACGGGAAAAAGATTCGCCGACATTGCAGCATCAAACCCTCGGCTTGCATCACTCGCTTCAATGGGTTTATCGTTCGCCAAGAGGCTCCGCTGACAAGACACATCCTTCGCAAACAATCGAGCTTTATGGGCAAGAACTAACGTTGTATGTCGTCCAAGCAACACACTTTATTATTTATATTAATCGCTTCTTCTAAAATTCTCCGGTAGCAGGGAAAGGTAGCAAGAACCCAGCTCATACACTCCGCCTATCCATTATCCCTTGAGAACTACAGTTCCACAATTCCAGAATTTTTGGTTGTGTGCTTCAACTACGTACCATGTTTCCTCCTTCCATCGATTGGGTAAACATCATGCTACGCGTACTTCAACTGCTTCTTTTTGTGTGAAACCCGAAAAATGCCCCTCACTATCGATTACATTCTACAAACTTTGAGCATCGTTCTGCTGTACTACGTAGGATTCTTATTCTCAACTTGAATCGCCATATTGGTCAATGCTTCATTACGATTTAAATTTTTAGTAAACAGCCCAAAGTTTTTGCCTATTTTGACATTATTACAGTTTTTGATTCGTCCAAGTATCCATTCTCTGTCCATTATTTAATGAAAAACATGTATACGACTGATCTTTTGACAAAATGTTCATCTATTTCATTCTTAGTTAGTTGTAACAATAAATTTGGGTGTAAAATCTGTATCCCTGGATCAGTGGTTAAGTGGATTACGGACTGCACCTCGACGTAACTGTATTCCATGTACTCAATTATTCAAGTATTTCATCAATTACCAGGGAGCAAGAAAAAGTATTGACCCAAGTTCCCAGCTTTTCCCTTTCCATATAACACATTTGAATGCACCTAAAATGGAACCCACGGCAGGAATGAGACCGAGTAGACACACCGCACCCATGAGCAGTCCTAAGGCAAGTTGCAGTGTAAGAAAAGAGACAAACGCATATGGGGCTTATTCGGTTTGTATCTGACTTGCTTGTTTTCTGGAAACTTTTCGTTCAGGTATCCTAACAGCCTTGTTATACCGTGATATCGTGATGGCCCTTGGCGTGATTGATGTGACACGTGACAGCTTGGAATACAATCTGACACAGAAGGGGGTGGGACACTCGGTTGTCATCATCGTGGGCGGACAAGCAGAGATACGAGAAATGGGCTTTGATAGCTACGTGCTAATAATGAGTCCCCCCCCCCCCCCCCCCCCCCCCCCCCCCCAGGCTCCGCTTCAAGGATAGTCGCTAATCGGGAGGTATAATCTAACTTGTTTCCCCTTTTTGTGAATATTCTGTATCCTCCATTACACGGAGTTTTGACATGGACTGTAAGTAAGTACGGAAACTTTTATCATTTTTCAGATGCGATCTTGTCCCTGTGTTCGGCTTTGGACAGAACAATCTTTATCATCATTTTATTGGCGGCAGTAGTTGCACCCGATATTCACGACCTCAGCTTTGGTTTAGAAATTTCACTTCTTGCCTCGGAACTTGCTTTCTTCCGGGACGATCTCCAATCAACGTTGTAGGTAAGCGTATTTTTCATTAATGAATGTTTTTATCTTTTATGCAGTGGTTTTTTTTACAAATTGAGTATCAAAAGCAATCCGAGATAGCTTAAGTTTTGCTCTACTTCCCTCTATGATTGGTCCAGAAAACTCGTCCCGCTTTCTCAACGTACCAATCAGACGCAGAACTAGAACCAATCACGAATTGGTCGCTCGCGTTTTCCCGCGCTCTTGGTTGTTTTAACTTGAGTTCTCATTGGCTCTTTAAGTTATTTTCCTTTCTCCTGAGAGGCCGTTGCGATTATTTAAGTTTTGGTGTTACAACACTCGATCGAAAAGAGCTCCAAAGAAAGACCTATGCAATCCTAAATTACATTCGACACAAGCTAGCAACCAACAGATCTGTTGTTAGTGTATGATTTCTCTTCACATCAATTCTATAGTGGTTAGTTCAGTAATGGTTTCACTTTTCCTTTCCACAGTGGGATCGCCCATTTCTGTATCCAAGATTGAGTGTCCAACGCAGGAGGATATCGACAAACTTCACGCACGGTACATAGACGAACTGAAAGGATTGTACGAGAAATATAAGGACAAATATCACCCATCAGAGAGATCAGAGTTGTTGATCGTCTAATTTATATTAAACGAAGTTGGTTGAAGTTTTTTCGGTTTTACCCTCAACAAAATGTACCAAATTACAGTCGTTTTGATTGGTCCCTCTTTCAGGAAAACTCACCCGCAAACTCGGAAATTTCCACCATATTTTTCTTACCTAAAGGTCTCATGGTGTGTAGAGAGTTCTGTTGTGCATAAGGATCGAGAATGTGCGAAATATTGTAAGTGATAAATTTCCCACCTCGAACTACCAAAGGAATACATGAATAAACTCTCTAGCCTCTAAGCTCATGGCGGGATTTTTTCACGTGTCTTTACTTGAAATTATCTAAACACATACGAGCGGTGAAGCGAATGGGGGGAGACTCCCTGAAATTGCGAAATTAATTGCAGGCCACGAGTGGCATCAAACTCTTAGCCTGTGTCACCCGCAAAATTAGGTTCATCGCTTTATCGGAGGTTCCACTAACAAAATGCACCCTTCGCAAACAATCTAGTAAGGTGGGACAAAACAACCGCTATATGCCGTTAAGGAACTCACACTGTCATTCATGGCTTTTATCGAAATTTATCTGTAGGCAGGGAAAAGTAGCAAGAATTGTGAGAATGCTTGACTCAGACATTCCGCCAATCCTTAATAACTGAAAAGTTACAATTCCACTATTCCCAGATTTATCATTATTTACAGTAACACACGTTATGACGCAACCAAAGGCGCATCGATAGGATTGAATACAGAAGCATGTGGATTTAATGACAAATTCCCTGGAATCATTCCACATCTGTCCGCGAAGTCAGGTATGCTCCAATCGATTCGAATCTCCACATTTTAATGTCGTGTTTGGTTGATGCTTTGTTACGATTGAAAATTTTAAGTTAAACAGCTTAAGTGTTCGCTTATTTAACCATCAACGTTTACAATTCGTCAAATAATTAATTTCTCTTTCATTCTTTAATCAGAAATATGCTTACATCCGATCTGTTGACAAAATGTTTAGCCATTTCATTCTTGGTCATTTGTAACAAAACATTTCGAAGTAAGATCGGTATCCCTGGACTAATTGACTAGTGGATTACTGATCGTTCCTCGATGTATCCGTATTCCTTTACTCAAATGTAAAATTATATCCTCAAATTGGTAAAAAGAATGGCTTCCCAGCCAACACGAAAAAAAGTAGTGACTCAAGTTCCCAGTTCTTCCCTTTTCATATCCCACTTCTAACTGTAACTCATATGGAACCCTCCGAGGATAATACTGAGAATAGCAGTAAAACGCCGTTATTCATGGCATTTGTTACGATTCCTCCGAGGGCAGAATAGCGAGGATATAAACCAGACATTCCGCTGATCCCTATCAACTGTAAAGTTTCAATTCCAACGTTCCAGAATTTTTCAATATTTACAATGGACGGACCAATCAACGCAAGCTATGACGTATAAGATATCTTCGTGTTCTTCTCATTAGACTTGACAAGCATCACGCAATGCCAATTAGAGCTGTCCGTTTCGGTCTAAAACCCGAAAAATGTCTCCAAGTATCGACTACATTTTACAATATTTGAGTATAGCACTGCTGTACTTTGTGGGATTCTTAGGAGGCACTCACGTACTGGGCATCCTTACGCTTTACCAAATATTTTTTTATACACCCTTATGGCCGGTTGTACTTCTCTATTTATCATGGACGTATCTTGTTGAGTGGAAAACCCCAGAACGTGGCGGAAGAGACCTTCTGATAAACTTTGTACGAAGGCTCTCTGTTTTCAAGTACATGAGGGATTACTATCCTATTACCCTCGTCAAAACTAGCGACCTCGATCCACAGAAGAATTATATTTTTGGATATCATCCCCATGGAGCTTTTACCGAAGGAGCATCGATAGGATTGAATACAGAAGCATGTGGATTTAGTGACAAGTTCCCCGGAATCATTCCACATCTGTCCGTGACATCAGGTACTCTAAATCAACTCGAATCGCCATATTATCGATCAGGTTTGGTTGACTTTTTACGATTGAAAATTTTAAGGAAACAGTCAAAAGTTTACAGTAATTTTACTATTACAGTTTGTGTTTCGTCTGGGAATTAATTTATCTTTCTTTCTACTTTCGGAAATATGCGTACAACTGATCTGTTGAAAAAATATTCAACCATTTAAATCTTGGTCATTTGTTACAAAACATTTCGGTGTAAAATCTGTATTTCTGGACTTGTGAACTATTGGATCACGGATCGTACCTCGATTTCTTCATAATCCTTTAACTCAAATATTAAAACACCTTTTCAAATCAATATTTCGTCAGCTTTTCAGTGAGTACAAAAAGTATGGGCTCAAATTCTCGGCCCATCCTTTTTTTATATCCCGACTGTGCCTAAAGTGAAACTCCTGACAGACACTAGGTGGCCAAACTACACCCTTGTAACCCTTATATAAGAGATACAGAAAGGCAAAAGAATATTTATCTCTAGTTTGCTGTTTTTCCGGAATTTTTTTGGTGCAGCAATCCTTAAAGCCTTGTTATACCGTGATATTCTGATGGCCCTTGGCGTAATCGATGTATCACGTCACAGCTTGGAATACAATCTGACGCAGAAGGGGGCGGGACACTCGGTTGTCATCGTTGTGGGAGGAGCAGCGGAGATTCGTGAAATGGGCTTTGACAGCTACGCACTGATAATAAAACGGCGGAAAGGATTCATGAAACTGGCTTTGCAAACTGGGTGTGTATAAGACTTGGAGTTTCTTATCAGTTGGAAAGTCGTCTATTACCAAAGGTTTCATTGATTTACTATCACTGTAATTTCGATTATCAGTATTTCCAAAGCATCATTGTCCAGCCTATAACTTTATGGGATCCATCTTTTCACGTCTTATCTGATTTCACCAATAAGTAAATCTGACGACGACACGGATGGTTTATAAAAGCCTGACGCGAAATAGAAAGTTCGTACTTAGCTCAAACTCGTGGGGTAAAAAGGAAGTTTCTTGCCTCTTAGGAATTCGCAGAGACGTGAACCTTTTCTGAACTACGCTCCTTGATTTCCGTTATTCAGCATTTTTCAGCTTTTTATTTATTCGCATATTTATTCATTTATTTTTAATCTTTACCATTAGTTTTTATCAATTTTTGAGAGGCACCCTCTGGATTGGTATTCCTGGTTGTAACTGTTCAGTTCTCCATCACTCAGAGTTTTGAGATGAATCGTAATCAGATGGAAATGTTTATCATTTTCAGGTCCGATCTCGTCCCTGTCTTTGGGTTTGGACAAAATAATATTTATCAAGTTATTGGCGGCAGTAGATCCTCTCAATTTTCACGATTTCAGCGTTGGCTCAGGTCTTTTACTTCTTGCTTAGGAACTTGCTTTCTTCCGAAACGATCTCCAATCAACGTTGTTGGTATGCAGAAATCTTGATAAGCACTTAATGACTGGCCACAAGGGAAACAGTGAGTTTTGTTTCCCTAAGACCTTCAATGTTCCCCGATGTGACGTACTTATACTTCAAAGCTCAAAAAATAGAACAAATTGTAGAAGAGTGGCGCACAAACTTGCCCCGATTTCAAGGTGCATTTCCCCATCATGTTTGAGTCGAAAGTTTAAGTTATTTAGAGGGAGTTTGTGAGTTTTGACTCATGACACGTGATACGTTCTTCCCTCCAATTGGAAAGCGCTTTTAAGTTGGGAGGTGAAACAATACTTTTGATCTAGCTTGAAACTATTACGACAGTCATTTGGTAGTCATAACTTCTACGTTTTTTCAAAAACTGTGGAAGGACCGTTAGTTCTTTCTGCCTTCATCATAATTGACATAAGTGGCATTTATAAGTTCAGTAGTTATTTGTTTTGAGGAGACGATCTATTCAGTACCGGTTTTAATTTTCTATTACACAGTGGGATCACCTGTTCCTGTGACCAAGATTGCCAACCCAACACAGGAAGAGATAGACCAACTTCACGCGCAATATTTAGAAGCACTTACCGATCTGTACGAGAAAAATAAGGACAAGTATCATCCAACAGGGACTTCAGAGTTATTGATCATTTAGCTATGAAAGTAAGCCTCAAAAGTGTTGTTCCAGCATCAGTAAATCAAGTCTGTTTCGTTCTGTTTTTTTCCGTTTTTATCCTCTCACACAAAGACCTTGCCAGGCAAGTGTATGGTGACTACATTGAACAGAGAACAATTAAAACTGGCCGATTTTCTCACAGCTTCCTGTCTTTGCCTATTGTAAACCTCAACTTCACACTTGCATTTCATTGAGATAATCGCGGTAAATATTTCCGATGAATTTTAGATGGAGAGAGTTTAACAACTACGCTTGCAGCAGTTAGCAAGAATTTAACTCTTGTAGTGTGCCGCTTTCAGTCGTTTGTCGCATTAATTCGAAGATATTCTTTTGTGTACGAGGAGGTTACAAAGGTTGTGCTTCTTTAGCATAGAATTCGAATCAAGTTTAGCGAGAATGTATTTAGAAGTCTTTAATGAAGAGCTATTATAAGCTGATGATTTATTTGAAAAAATTATTATTATGCTATCAGCATTGTCAATCTAAAGCGTTTGTATGCTGATCTCGAGCGTGAAAGTAAACCCTTCTCAGCGCGAGTTTCATTAAAAGATCTCCATTTCGCTTGTTTTCACTGACTTCTTTGTGTACATGTACCTAAACAGCCAGTCCACATTCGTGCGAACGAGATTTGAAGAATGCATAAAGAAGAATAGTTCAAAAAAGAATGTTGTATAGCGTTTCTCCCACATTATCAAAATTTCGAGTCTATACTAATAATCGCGATTTCAAACTAGAATAGGTTGCGCGGGTCGGTTGCGCGCCTGGAGTGCAGGAAAAAATGAGAGTGAGACTGGGGCGGAAAGCAAGTCGCGGTCGCATAGTTACGTTTTCAAACTTGAAACAAAGATGGCGTCTGGAAATCCCTTGATAACACTAGAACGAATGCTTAATGGCAGGACAACGTTAAAAACACAGAAGGTGACACACACAAATATCGTGTGTAAGTATAGATATTTCCTTTTCTGACATTATGCGTGAGTGTGAAATTTCCAACCAACTTAGTGATTTTGTTCTAGATTACTTGATCACTAATTTGGTTCTATTGATCAGCTGAGTTGATAATGTGAATAGTGGCTTCCGCAGAGAGAAAATAAAGCTGACGTTTCAGAGCGAGTAATTTATTAACACTACGACGAATGCGATATGCTAAATGACAGGATGACAGCTCTGACAAAAGGCTAAAGCTCTAAATGTCAGCTTCATAATTTCTCGACGGCGTCCAATTCACATTGCGTTACTAACGCAGCTGATAGAAACAAACATCTGTTCCTTTTAGTGACAGTAGAGAAAGAAATTAAAGAATTTTTGAAAGGCTTCATTTGAGGGGAAAGCCTTCAGGCTGAAGGTTTGAATTATCCATCATTTTCTTCTTCTTCAAGTGATACTGTTATTATAAACTAAATGACCCTGTATATTATTGTCGGTAGGCATTGGAACAGAACTTTTAAATGAAATACAACAAGTTATGAGAGAAGATAAAGGAAAAGCTGTTCGAGAAGCTGTAAGTTAATGTTAAGCAAAGTCCACAGCACAGAATGGGTTTCTATAGAATCATTTACTTGCACAGAGCAGCTTAGGTGTTCCCTGTCCCTTCATATATATTTGTTTCTGTTGAAACTTAGAGAATTGTTGTTCCCTTAAAATGAGTGATATTCTTTTCTTCTGAAGTTAAAACAACTCACTAATATTAACCCTTTAATTCCAAGAGTGACCAGCATTTAATTTCTCCATACAGTATCACTCCTGAATTACACATTAAGACCAGGAGAGTAATGGAAATGATCAACAAGTACAGGAGCTCTTGATTGTTAAGCAAAATCTCCTTGTCAGCACCCTAGGAAATGTACAGAAAACCATATGGAGAATGTGCATACTGATCTTAGGGTGTAAAGGATTAAGGAATTACAATGTAGCTTTCCCAAATGCAATTAGAGGTGTCTTGACTGTTTAAACTTTTTTTTGCTCAACAAGGTTTGGCTATTCAGCCTTCCTGAGGATAAAATTACAGGATTCTTTCAAAAATCGTGCTAGACAGATTCAAAATAGCAAATCAAAAGTTATGAAAAAAAAAACCTCTCTGTCCTGGAAATTAGAGTATTTTTCGGAGTGTTTTTCTTTGTTAATTTTTTTCTAATCAAATTAGTACCTATTTCAATATATTTATTTATTTTAGTGTTGATTAAAAAAATTTGAATGTTCTGGATAAACAACAGGTTGCTGCAGCTGAAGCAAAAGCACGTGCGGAATTGAAAAAAGCTCTCCAAGAGCAAAAAGAACAGATGGAGGGAGAGAGAGATCATGCACTGGAGGAAGCTAGACTGGTAAATGACATTATCACATGTATGAGTCTCTCTCTAGCCATATAATCTTTGGACAAACACTTTGTTGGGTAAAGGGAGGGGAACTGTTGAACAGCAAGGCTTATAGGTGGCAACATAAAGGTAGTTGCATATCCAATTATTTAGGCAATATTTTTTTATGTAGACATCATGATCAACACTAAGTATCACTTTGAAAGGTTATAACTAAAAGTGTGCTTTAAAAACTTGATGATTTTTATCACTGCTTTGAAAAAGTATACAGAAAGATTCAGCACCACTTATTGCCTTCTAAGATTCCCAAGGCAAGAGCAACCTTACTGTTAGAGATGTCTTCAAATGTGCTAAAAATGTCCAATGTTATTTGGTGTCATTCTGCAACCACTGAGTGATGTAAAACTGTTAGATTATCTCTTTCAAAATCTATAGGTCATCATTAACATAGTTGCCACTAAGTAATTTGGCATTATCAACTGTGTTGATAACTTAAATTGGCCACCATAAAGAGTTTAAGAGCTGACGTTGCAAGGGTTATCCCTTTGTCAATCGCTCTGATGAAGGACTAACACTCAAAATGTCAACTTTTTGACTCTTTACAGAGGCCAATTTGCATCATCAACTCAGTTGATAATAGTAGATTAACCTGTTATTCTCTCACACTGACGCAGCACCACAGTTTCTTTAGAAACTTACCCCCTTTATAGATGCCACTGAGTTTGGTGGTTATCACTGTATGAAGGACAACTTCTTACTCTCAAGATCTCAGTATCAATTCTCTTTACTGTCTGCTATACAATTCTCACAATTGTAGCTTTGAGAATTTGGTGTTAAATCAAACAATATCTCCTTGATTTATGTTTTTTTGATCTTCTTTTCACCTTTCTCTTCAAAAAGTGTAGAGGTATGAAAAGGAGCAAATTTCTCTCGGTCACTCCTGGTATTATAGGGTTAAATTTTTTTTTTTTTCAGCAAGCGGAGGAACAAATGGCAGAAATTAGGTACAGATGTGAGGTCGCAGAAAAAAAGCGGGCTCGCTCGGCGTTGGAAAGATTTCAAATAGAAAAGAGTGATGCTTTGCAAAAAGCAGCTGAAGAAGCTGAGAAAAACAAACAGGAAGCTCTGAAAAATCTTACGGAGACGCTCGCAAGAAAGCTCAGAAACGAAGCAGCCCTTCAAAGAGAACTGGCTGTTAGTGAAGCACTTGCAGTTGCGAGGGTAATTTTAAACGTTTACGTAAAGTTTATTTCTTCAGTATCTGTTCAAGGACTAGATGACAGTGTTTACAAATACTTTAACTTTGGTTTTCTCTAGAAAAATGCCGAGCGTCGTCGACAAGAATCAATCGAAGAAACAAAACTAGAATGTGAAAGAAAATCTGCCGCAGAAGCGTCAAGAGTTGCGCGGGTCCACCAGAACAAAGTGAATGAACTCAATCAAAGGTACAAACAACGTCATTTGATTTCGAAGTTCTTGGTTGAGTCTCTAAACGTTCCATCAGTTTCATTAAAGGAACACGTGACCGTGCTGTAGTGCCCCTGCTGACCTTTCAACTCTCAAAAACTGATTGTTAATTCTCCCCTCTAGCTGCTACACATTTTCTTGTAAAATAGTTGCGAGAATTTGGTGCTAGATCAAGAAAACAACTTCTACGGGATCAGTTTGAATATTCTCATTACCCATTTGCTGGTAAAATGTGCACGCTGTTAGAAGGTTGAGTTGAGTAAAATTCGTCTAAAAGCAAGCGGTGGGGGTGGGGAGAGGGGGTAGCGTTTACATATAGAAGATGAAAACAGAACAATAGGCCGTGTGTTTTTTCTGTGGGGGAGGGGGGGGGGCGCGGGAAGGGAAAGAGCGCGGGAGATGGCGTATATTGATTGGGTATTACGGAAGACGAACGAAATCGGGGACAAATATCATCTGTAGGTTGTCCTTCCGACTCTCCCACCATTTTTCGCCGCCTCCTTTTTCGGCGGTCTTCATTGGCGGGCAACCTGAACTAAGCTGCATTTGATTTCGTTTGTAAGAAGCTCATGATATCTGCACCAGGCGCTGCCCCGAAATAATGCGGGCTCTAATCCTGTGCTGCAATTTTTTTTCCAGGATTGATCAGTTGGAAAGAAATTTAGAAGCTGAAAACGACGCAAAGCTCAAAGTAGAGAATTTGTTTCAAGTAAGTGTTAAGTACTGAGTGACGCGAAAAGTTTGCGGCAGTTTTATTTCGGTGGTTGTCAATGGTTTTTTTTTGTTGTTTTACCGCAACGGATAATTTTTGGTTTGAGGTGACGAAAATTTCTGTGGAAAACTAATTTCAATTTGGGATTGGCAATTTAAGCTTCAAAACCTTAACAGGGATAAGATAGCTAATATTCTCAAATTTTATAACATGTCGAGTTATGCAGAGGGATGATACCTGGTGGTTGATTCATCGATGAAAATTCCGAGTAGGTCCAAATACAAGAATCCGATTTGAAACTTGATTTGCAGGTGGAGGTTTTCGTTTAACTGCTGGTAGGAAATTTGGCGGCCTTCTTGCGGGTTTTAATTGTGCGTGGTGCGGTTCGACGATGAAGCGTGAAATCCGCAAAAATTTAAATTCGCAAAGTGTGAACGCATTTTTCGAAATACATTGATTAGCGTGTGATTCCAGACCAAATTTCATTACACTTTTAAATACTAATGCTAATCGTTTCGCATTCTTTCTTAGACAATTTTTTAATAATAATTTCCAATTTTGAGAATTTTGTTTGAGATGGCTGAAGAGACATCTAGTTGTAAAATTTACTTAGTCGTGGACTTTTTAATACGCTTTTTAACGTTTCCAATCATTGTGTGAGTCGTCTCTAATCGTTCGTCAGCTTCTTCAGTAGTAATGGGGCCAGTGATAGTCTTCACGCCTTCTCCATTTTACCTACATACTCGAAATCTACTGGAGCTTGCTCGACACCCCGCTTTCTTTCGGAAAAAGTTTTCTTATAACACTTTTTAAAAGGAAACGGATCTATACGTGATAAGAAAAACGAAAATTCATTTACATGTTTTCATTCTTGAACCACGCATGCCGTTTCACTTTTCGCCTTTCTAGCGTACGGAGAAGCGCGTACGGAGAGGCACTTTTCTCTTGCAACATATCCGGCCACCAATAACAGCAAGATCCTAGTCTCTCTCGATAAGATTTTTCGAGTTCTTGCTTCAAATCTTTAAGGAAGCAAATTGGCTTATCTGCCATCAATTGAACTTGTGTTGCAAGCGAGTGAGAAGAATTTTGCAGGTCGTAACACATCACATATAGGCAACTTTATATCGTGACTAGCCGCCCTCAGACATGTAAAATACTTTCTACCTGTTACTTAACATTAACAATGCCGTGCTTTGTCTTATAGAGACCTTTGGCTCTTCAACTGCAGATGATAACTTTCAAATTCAGTATCAAGACTAAATTCATTTTATTTTGAAAAGTTTCAACCAGCTGTTAAAACATTTTGATGCGGTCAGTAAAAAAATTGTCAAAATTTCGTTTGTGATATGCAACAAGCTTCAAGAACCCGTTTACAGAGCAGAAAGGATGTAATTCATTTAGAATTGACAACTGTGGTTGCAGTCTTTTTTTTTTTCAGGCTGTGAAGTAAAGCTGAAATTTCGCGAAAAGAAACTCCAAAACAAAGCCCTCTTTATATTAACTCACAGTTCTTGAAGCAGATTAAATTTGAACGTAGTTGTTTACACTGAAAGATTTATTAAATATAAATAAAAATACAAATTTTATCCTAAATGTTACACAATTCTTTTTCTGGCAGGAAATGAAAGAAGACTACAAGAGATTTCAGAATTATACCAGAGGATTTCATTCGGACTTTCTTATGAAATAACCAACGTATTTGTGCAGGATTATTTTAAAGGTGTTGGTAAATATTCAGAAGGCACTCAGTACACAGTCATAACAAGCTCTAGAGGAGTTATTTGTACCCACGCACGATCTCCCAGAATCAAATAAGAGAATTTGTTTTGTTCACGGGGAAAAAATCATTAATTCTCTCTTATTACGACGAAAGCATTATAAATGTTGCCAGAAAGCATTATTTATACATGAGAAATTACTGATAGTTTGATTTTAAATTTCTATGTGGAAAAAAAGGTATGGAACATACAGAAGCCGTAATTCTTCTATAAACTGCTGGGTTTGGACGATCATAATTTATTTTTTTGCTCTTGACCAGAGTTGCTATTAATTTTGACTCGTCGAGCACTATTTCCAGATAAAAATTTCACCCCTTGCCAGCTAGTGGTATAATTAATTCCCAATTCGTTAATTTGCCATTTGCCATTTCAAACGTACGCAAAGAAAATGAATTGGCACGACTGTTCTTTAAATTAAAGATTGGGTTGAAAAAAAAAGGAAAACAATCTTGCCTTAATCTTGATGGACAGATTTTCTAACCAGTCGGTAAAATCAATTTGTTCTCTATCCGGTTCAGGTAGATAACCTACTGGGCTTTGCCAAAACAAGACATTGTTTTGCATACGGTTTACTCGCCATTAATGTACGCATTTTCAAAGTAATGAAACCACAAGAGTGAAATTCCCTGTGCGGTCGCAAACGGAGCATCAATTTGAACTCCTTTTGTACTTTTTCATGTCAGCCTAATGGAAGGTTTCAATTGGAAACGAAGAACGAACCAAAAACAATATTGCAATCGCTCAACTCTGCGAGCGATCACTCATGGTGAAGATAAGTTTAAACGTTATAATTTATGCATTACACCTCAATGATAATAAAGTACTTTTTCATCGTAAATTCTTTAATAAATTCAATGCGTTATTTCCTGAAAGTCCCCTATATTTTGACGGCGCTAATTTCATTACTACTATCTGTAGTACTTATTATGTCTTTGAGGGATTTCTTCACTGTTGTTCAATAGTGAATCCAGTTCGCTTGCGGCTTCTGATGTTTCGCGATTTTCACGAGCCTCGTCCTTCTCCAACATGTTCTTGTAATAAAGAGTATTGAAATTCGATACAAATGTTAGGACGGGTAGTGCGAGAGTCACCGCGCCAAATATTGCACAAGCAGCCGACATAAGTTTTGCTAAAGGGCTGTGAGGTACCATGTCTCCATATCCTATTGTTGTGATGGTTTGTATTGAGAACCAAAATGTTGCAGGTACACTATGGAAATCCGTCTTGTCACTTCCCACTTCGATATAATACAAAAGGCTAGCTGTAACAATCACACTGAAAAACAGACACAGAATTAAAAGCCCTAATTCTCTGAAGCTCTCAAACACGCAATACCCAATTATCTGAAGACTCTTGGAATAACGGGAGAGCTTGAAGATTCTAAAAACTCGAACGATCCGTAATATTCGTAGCGCTGCCACTGAGCTTGCTTCGGACTTGGTGAGAAGAAGCGAAACATAGAACGGAGCGATGGCCACCAGGTCGATAATGTTCAAAATCGACGTAAAAAAACTGCACTTGTTCGGGGAAGTGAACAGCCGAACTAAATACTCGATTGTAAACCAAGTGTTGAAAGCTAATTCTAGAAGAAACCAGGTGTCTTCGCTCCAGACCGGCTCCTCTGCGGTGTCTGCAAAATTAGCGAAGTCGGCTTTCTTTTCTCTTATCGAGGGTACAGTTTCTGCGATAGAGACTGCAATTGCCACGACGATAACGCTGACAGAAAATATGGCTAAACACGATGCCGCAAACGACGTGTCGGGTTGATCAAAGAGTTCCCAGATTTTGCGCTGAAGTTTATTTTTAGGAAGTTCTCGTGGACTTTCGTTTATACTCAGATACCCTTCCTTTAGTCGAATGTCACTCAAAACTTCATCTCCCAGTTCGAAAAACTCAATTTCTTGCTTAAAAATACACATCGGGACTTCAGCCGGCCGCCTGAGTCGTCCACTGGACTGGTAATAATAAAGGATTGCCTCAAAGGCCGATCGATTGCGGTTGAAGAAGTACTCTTTAAATTCCGGTACGTAAAACTTGCTTCGCTTCTCCTCGTTGCCCAGGAGCGTGTCTGGAAAACGTGATAACGTCGTCTGGCGCGTTTCAAATATCATGCCGCTTACGTTTATCACTACACGGTCGTCGTAGATAACGCTTCGTACAGAGCACATCTTGAACGCTATGATATGGCTTTTGGAGGTGCACCCTGCACCAAAGCGACGTGCGAGCCAGGAGCTTACAATTTGATGGAAATTTCACGTAGAAAATGAGTCATTTTATAGACCGCTTGAAAGTAAACAATCTAACATACCCAGAGCAGGTTACGCACCTTGCCATCATCACTTAGCTATTCGCTCGCTGGATGTTTAAGGTAGAAGTGTCGCATGAATTATTTATGCATCATTCTCGTAGCTCTTCTTCAACGCTTGGAGCTACAAAGAAAAGAAATCCTGTGATGTCAAAATGTGATTTATTCGTCTTGTAGCTTTAGAATGGCCATTTTCAAAAGATAAGGTTTTTGTTTGAGTAATAAAAGTCGCTATAGAAAGGGCTAATGCATAATTCAGGTTAAAAAGCGTGATTTTCTAGTGTTCCTATGTGTAAATTCAATGACACCTGTACTTCAAAAACACTATTTTATCACCAAACCACAACATTTGTTGTTCTTCAATCGATATACTGTGACCCTATTCACAAATTATTTGGGTTTATTTTATTTTACACGAGCATTTCACTCAAAAAAGGTTATTGTAGATGGACATATCTGCATCGCAGCGCGGTGGGTAAATTATTACGAAGTCTAACTCTTTAGAATTGAAATTTGACCAAAAAGACATTTTTTATCCATTTCTCCGCATTTGAAAATAAGATCGTCTTAACAATGCGACGTAGAAAATCGCGAGTACGAGTCGGTGAAATAGGAGTTTGCACATCATGTACAATAAATTTGACTCAACTCACCGGTGTTCGCTCTGTGCGGCGTGTGAAAATTACGTTTACATCTTTAAAATGGCTTTGTTTAACGTCTACAATAAGTATACCACAGATTTATTCAAAGCTTCCATAAAGCAGTAGGGAAAATTGATTAATTAAAAATTCGTCCCGTGTTCTTATGTCGAAATCCTTAGTCACTTCCTCCACGTACACTGTTTTTGTTTAAAATTGACGCAAAATAGTCTTACCACAACTTGAGCTTTGAGTTCCTCAATTACGATATTCAAACATTGCTTTTCTTCAAGTTTCTTTAGTATTTGATCATGGTCATGTAGGGCTGAACTGATCTGTAATGAAAATTAGGAAAGTTCCTTAACGCAAATGATAGCACCCCGGTAACGGGTTAAGGAAAAGCTTGTTAAATATACCTTGTTGTTGAAGGATGTGTACTTATAGGAACGCGTCTCTGGGTAGGATACGCGTTGAATCGAATGATCCTGAAGCCTTGATGGATTTGGGCGTTGTTGTTTTTTCAATTTTGGAAAACGGCAGAAAATGACTGCAGTTACTTAATAAGAAGCTTAGTCAAATTGCCGCCGGACAAATAACATGAATCATTCTAGGTAATTTCATACCACGAATCACATGAATTTGCATTTTCACGTTATTTTTCGTGAAATTTCATGTATTTAAGCAAGAAAATTGGAAACGATTCAATAAGAAAAGACAGCGCATTTTGGCAAGGAGATGATGGCATAAATGCCGGACAGAGTTGGCAGGTGACTACAGGGTTGTTTGGAAGCTGAAAAAACCAAACGTAACAGAAAGTAAAAATAGGACGTTATTACAGAGGTGTAAAATTTGCTCAAAATGCTTAACCAACCATGAACTGAGAAATAATCGCTCGTTACTCGTAATGGGCAGTGATTGATACTTGACATGTACTCTTGGGATTAACACTCCATTGAAGTGCGTTGATAGCCAAGTGACAGGAATATCTAACGACATAACATTCAGGATCATAATCACAAGACGCGCACTTAGTATTTCTTGTAGGAAATTCCTCCCAAAAAATAATATTTATGAAGACGATTGATGCCGATTTAAAAAATTATGAATTTATCTATTTTCGTCCATTGCGTTGATCAATGAACTTGCTGGGTCCCATAAATTTGCTGGCCATGTCGCTATGATCGCTGTTTTCGTTCGCACTTAATCTTTGACACCAACACAACCTGTGAAATTGTAATTTCTTTCATAATTGTGATTTTTGTGTCTGCGATTAGAAACAAGTCTTACTCAACCGAGAAATTCGTCAGACCCCGGCGGCTTGGGAGTATTAAAAAAAATAAGCCAAGGATCTGTAGTAGAGTAACTCGAAAAGGGGGCAGCCGATTAGTGGACACCACTATAATGGCGAGGCACCTGCGATCGCGAAATAAAAAAATGGTTTCATCGCAAACCCGAAGCGCGCGGTTTTCATCTTGTAGAGGAAGTCAAGGCCTCCGGCCACCAGCCTCGTATGATGTACAACACTGTGAAAATAAGCTATAGTTACCAGAGTTTCGCCTTCCCCATTCGGTTTTACTCTGATGCTATCAAAGCTATCAAAGCCTTAACTTTGTATCCTTCGCTACATATCCTAGAAATCACTAACAATCTATTTCACGTGACTCGTTCCCAGTCGTCTTCAGAACGTGAACGGCAGATGAGCGTAAACGGGAGAGGAAGTCTTCTCTTTCTTTTTCCAATCAGCCCTTTCTTTCACGCTGCACTCCCGAACCACACGCGTTTTGAAGAAAACTGGATTTGAGGAAAATTGTTCTACTCCGACCAAAATTACAGCTCTGAAGAAGCGTGGATTTGAAACTAATAAACCCAGTATAGTTAAAATGTAAAAGTTCCTCAAAGCGACAAAGATTCATATTCATGAAAGGTTTACTCTGATAGATCGAGAAAAAATTGCCGACAAACCCCATGTACTTGGAGGACTGTATTTTTGAGCGAATTCATTTTCTAATTTTCGTATTTTGTCAAACGACACGTTTTTGAGTATCATTTTCGAGCGTTGACTTCACTTCATTATGTGTAAACTAAAGGTAAATTGCTTTTTGTTAAAGAATCTATCATAATTAGTTCTCTCGTAATACTCTATTTGTACAACATTTCCGTTGAAAGAGCACGGGAATAGTAACAATAACACGCAACTTGGACATTTTCGTATGGACGAGGCCCTAAATGTTAATTTGAATAAGAATTTGTTACTGACTCACTAAATTTACACTGATTTATAATGCAGGCTCTTCAATAACGCAGTTTAGGCTTACGGATGAATTTTGCTAGAATCGAGACTACGAAAATAACTTTACACGGTGACTGTCTGCTGTTTTGTAGGCGACCACCAACTGCACGCCACACCGAGCATCATAGCCAGTTTATGTGATAAAGGTTTACAGTCAAGTCGCCCGAGAGTCATCTCGCCCGAAATTTTAGTTATGTCGCCCGAAAAAAAAAGTGAAGTCGCCCGAAGAAACAAATGCTAAAAATATCAGAATTACAGCTGTTAATAGGCAATAACGTTGAGAAATTTTTATCAGAGAAAAAGTTTCTCAGGCTTACGAAACGTCCGTGAGTAAGAAACGATTACATACCAAACGAACAACGCTGCATTTTGTTGTTAGAAACGAACAACATTTCCCTTTGTTGTTAGGGACGAACAACGCTTTAAGAATCTTCATGATGTTGTCGGAAACAAAGAGCGCTTCAGTGATAAAAATTTCTCAAACGTTATTGCCTATTTACAGTCTGAAATTCTGATCTTTTTTGTATTTGTTTCTTCGGGCGACATTACTAAAATTTCGGGCAACATGACTCAGGTTTCGGGCGACTTGACCGGTTCCTGTGATAAACTATCGCAGGTTCGACCAAGGTTTTGAAAGTCTTTTGTCAAGATGCTATCTTTCAAATCGCTGAAGCCTTCTTCTACGAACTTCATCCAGCGAACTTTCCTGGGGCGTGACGCTTTCCGGGGGGTACGGCGCATGTCTCCCTGTGTATCCGTTACCAACGTGTTCTTGCGGGGGAGCAGAAGGTTCTGGATCCGTAGAGTAGGATTCCGCTATCCCCGAAGGGTACGGTGGAGACTGCGCGAACGCCCCGCCTGTATAGGGAGTAGGATCCGGCAGGCGGGGATAAAGACCTCCTCCCTCTCGAGGGTAGGGTGGAACTTCTTGGGAGGGGTAGGCTGAGGGCCCCTGAGTGGAGTAGGGTGGCGGCCGCGAAGAAACACCACCAGATGAAGTTGCCGACCAAGAATTATAACGGCCCCCATTTTGAGGGGGGTATGGTGGGGATCCGGAAGATGGTCCTCTTCTCTGAGGCTGTTGGTTATCAGACCACCGAGAGGGCTCCCCTCCTGGGTTATCTAGGCTCTCTCTTATTGCCGTCTGTATCCTTGGGTCATAATCATCCAGGTTTGGCTGTCGATTCATATGTGTTTCTCGGAGGCTTGCCCTTATAGCTTCTCTGAGTTCTTCATCAGCGGAATCAGAGTCATCTGGAGGCTGTCTGTTTCGTCTTCGTCCTGTAGAAAGATTGGACTTAAGATGAGGGAGGCTCACTTAAGTTTTGATTAGAGATACTGATGTTTTACAACAAGAACAAGGTTCACCATGGTATTCAGGCATGAGTAGTTGCATTTGTACTTTCAGGCAAGAAACTGTTACCCTTTACACCCTAACATCAATATGCATATTTTCCATAGTGTTCTCCATAAATTTCCCAAGATGCTGAAAGGGAGAACTTGTGAGGAAAAGAGCTTCTTTGGTTGATAATCAGTTCCTTTCTTCTTGTGTTTTTATTGTGTGATTCAGAGGTAATATTGCTTAGAGAAATTAGATAATAGTCACTCTTAAAGATCAGAGGGTTAATTACTCCTATGATTTAAAAGGTTAATACCAAAACTCTTTATGTGGAGCCTGTTTCAAATAGTTAGTTTATTTCTTGTTAACCTGTTGTCCCCACATGGTAGGTGTATGATTGTCTCATTCTTCTTGTCACTCCTGATCCTAGCAAAAAATAGAGATAGCACTTAAAATTCTGGCAAAGAAAAATAATGTACAAATAGAAATATAAGTTAAACTTAAAACAACACTTCTTAACCCTTTACACTCTTACTTCAGTATGCATATTCTCCATACCGTTTTCAATAAATTTTCTAGGGCATTGGCAAGGAGAATTGTTTAACAATCAAGAGCTTCTTTAGCAGCTGATCATTTCCTTTCTTCTCCTGATCATAATCTCTGTGCCATTTTTGATAAATTTTCTAGGGCATTGGCAAGGAGAATTGTTTAACAGTCAAGAACTTCTTTGGCAGCAGATCGTTTCCTTTCTTCTCCTGATCATAATCTCTGTACCATTTTCGATAAATTTTCTAAGGCATCGGCAAGGAGAATTGTTTAACAATCAGGAGCTTCTTTAGCAGCTGATCATTTCCTTTCTTCTCCTGACCATAATGTTTGATTCATGGGTAATATGATGGGAAGAAATTAAATGCAAGTCACTTATTAGGGTCAAAGGGTTAGTTGTACCCCTATTTCAGTCTCATCTCAACTGAATGGGGGGCACTTGGAACTAATTTTACCATATCACCCCAATAATTGTTTGCTATAACATAACATAGAACACACTTTTCCAAGTAACAGTGATAAATTAAGGTATACATTATGAGAATAACCATTCACAAAATGACCTAAATAGTTAGGGTAAATTTCCAGGAGCATAGTTGTATTGTGTTAAATTATTTTTAAAACTTTTGCATGGACACTTAAAAATTAACAGTAAGGAATTGTTACTATTTTCTTTTCACTCATTACAATATTACATGGTTTTGAAGAAAAAAAGGTCTGCATATTAACTCAGTGTTTCAAGCAGTGGCTTTCAAACTTTGAAAAAGAACTGATAGCAGAAACCAGAAACCAGAAACCTGAAAAGGCATTATAAATTATCAGATCATTTTTGGATTCTGCATTCAAAAGAAAAAAATTATGAGTGATGTGTTTGGTGTAATGTGTTGATTGAATAGGAATGGAGGTTTTCCAACAAAGGAACAGGTCCTGGTTTTTCAAAGGTCGAATAATGCTATCCACAGGATAAATCTCAACATGATGGATAATCTCTATTAAAAATCTATCTGCTGGATAGTAATTTATCTGTTAGATAGAATTATTCAACCTTTATACAACAATTAGTTAAGTTTAAACTTGACTGGTACAGAAAATAAATAACCAAGCAACAATGATGCATTTATTGAAAGATGTTCTTTTCATCTTGTCACAAACATGTGACAAAGAGAAATTTTTGAGTTCTAAGGGCAAAATTAATGTCAGACCACCAGATTTTGGACTTTGATGCTCAACCTTTTAGCCATATGGACTCTCCTATGAGGACAGTTGTTACTGGGTTCAAAGATAACACACCCACTGTATACTGCAATGCTAGGATTCTCATGTGAGTAAATAGTAATCCTAATAATATCAATACAACAACTACTTCTAATAATAATAATACAGAGGATTTATATGGAGCTGTTTCTGCCAAGTATCCAACAGCACTTTACAATATTGAAAGTTAAATAATAAATCAATTAAAAATAGGATATCAATGAGAGTAAGAAAGAAATAGAAAAATAGAATAGAATAATAAAGACGTAAAAATTTAAATTCAGTGTTGAGATGAAGAAAAATGTTTTTCATCCATAATAGCACAAACATCATTTCAGACAAAATCTAGCTGGCTTGCCCCTGAATAAGGGAAATGACGCTAGTATAGAGTAACTTACCAGCACCACTGATTGTATCCATGATATACTTTAAAGGACCTTTAACGTACATCATTCCCACAAGAATACCAGCTAAATGACCAGTAAATGAGGCATTAGGAACAAGAAGCTGAATGACAATCAACTCCACCCAACAGGCCCACCTCATTGGTACTGGGAACATACCCATCACCATGGAAACACCAGAAGGAAGGTTGTACGTTGTAAGAACTTTAAGGGCAAAGATGACACCTGAAAAACCCGCAGCACAGGTGTAAATGTAAGAAAAGTCCTCAGTTACGTTCGCCAGAACCATGTCTAAAGCAACAAGAACAGTGTTAGTTAAGGCAGTGAATACGGACAAGATGTACAGAAATTTCGGACTTCCCATCCTTGGTTCAAGCGACATGCCCTTCCAAACGAACGAGGCCATGTTGTAGTACAAATGAAAGTCGTTTAAGTGATAAAAGGCAGCGAAAATGATTCGCTTCCAGTCGCCATTGTACCAGACATGATGGGCACTAACACAAGCTTTTCCGAGAGATGGAAGGTTGTTCAAAAGCTGGAGATAAACTGCGACGTTTATACCGATGAAAGTCAGTGTTACAGGAGGAATCCTGTTAAAACCAATGTTGTAGAGCTGGCTGGCCAAAAATAACAATCCGATCCCCGGGGATCTTCTTCGCCCCGGCCGGAACATTGTTCATCATAAAATATCAGGAAGGAAAAGTTCCTTTCTGAAGTCGACCTTTGGCGTATTCGTTTCCCTTTAGCACGTCAAAATACAGGTGTAACTCAGTGGCCTTATACTCTACAGTGGCTCCCAAAAAGAAAGGCTCTTCTTTTATACTTTTGTAAATCTGACGTGTCAAAATTAATTTCGATTTCAAAATGCCTTACTCATCACTTTTTCAACCTGCCCGCCATCTTTGGTAGACTCGTCTCAACCAGCACCAGTGTAGTGTTGAAAATTCGCTAAGGCAATCTAAGAATACCAAGAGACTTCTTCATTGAAATGTGACAGAAATAAAATACAAGGGCCAACACTGTTCTCTCGCGCTATGAAAGTGTAAAACTTTGAAATAAAAATAAATATAAAACCTACTCTCACCTCAGTGGGTTTACGCTCGTCTATCGACCAGCGGAAATTTCCGACATTGCACATGTCATATTTGACGAATTGAGGTATACCTAGCCTTCTCCTTGGTGCCTGCTCGCGGTGCACTCAGATCTCCTGACATCTGATACAATAATTTTAAGAAACGGTCGAGCACTTCACTCTTCGACTCAGTCATTCATCCAGAGGAGAGAAGGAAACTAGTATATATTTGGGGTTAGCTGGGGAGAATCCTCTATATAAGCTTTAATTTCATCTTTGATGCTACATACGGTATCACTGCTGAGGTAAGGTACTTGATTGCAATTTCATTCAGGCCCAAACTTTAACAGGTTTTTAAATAAAAAAAAATAAAAGAAGAAAAAAAAAAAACACCCGCGAACATCTGAAGATTGGTGAAAATCAAAATGGTTTCAAGAAATGATAAAATATCAGCAACAAAAGTAAAAAAACTTTTATTTTTCAGAATCTAGTACAATATCCTAGTCTACCCTTAATCAGGTAGATAGTGGATGCTGAAGGAGTAAGCCTTATGTCACACGCCAGTCTGGACTTTGCACATATGTGAAGTGCGGTGGTTATTGTGTGATTACTGCTTGGCAGCCTATCAATCACTAATGCTTTGTGAATTCCTGACATGTCTTTTGAGTTCACAGAATTTACTCGGAAGGATATTAAATTATTCGTATATAAAATTTAGATTCCTAATATTTGGAGCACCACCAATATCGTCATTGAAACGATAGAACACCGATATTTTCTCGACGTTTCTCGCCTAGTTTTTGAGTAATCTTCGTTCTATCAAATATATGTAGCTTGTATCCGAAAACCAGGGTCGTAATTGTTTACCCTGACGACGATCTCGAGCTGATCACGTGAACTTCACGTGGCCTTCATCATGAAGGAACTATGATGTATGGCTGAAATGGAACAAAGGCGCCCTTTTCGTGACAGACAATGATCCACCTGGGTCGCACAAAGGCCAGGGAAGGGTTTTCATCGAGGGCCTGGGAACAAGAGGAAAAACAACTGGTTACGTTTATAAAACACATCAAATAGACACTGTGGGAACAGTAAAAGACAATTATGAGTTTGGCTGACATGTTTCGATTTCCAGATTTTTAAAATTCTTTTAATTTCATACATAAACGAAGGTCTCTTTCCCCCGACCCCGCATTGAGAATTTGCGTAAAAAAGAATTCAATTTCCCTTCCTATTTTCAAGTCATTTCATCGGCAAAAATAAGTTCCATGTAATTCTGCATAATTACCTAGACTCAGAACAACAGATCGATGTTAGTCTTATTGTGGTAAGTATTGCTTGTAAAACAGTTGCTTAAGAACAAAAGGGAACAGCCAAAGTGCACACTTTACTTACCTCATCAAAGTTTTTGTCCCAATCCTCATTGGTTATGACAAAGTCGACATTATCATTCATATAATCTTCTATAGTTCTGCAGAGAATGTAACAAGAGACATCAAAGATAATTCCGAGGATTGAGAAGAATTTCCGAAAAGAGGACGGTGATTCAGCTCTTTTGACGCCCACAAAAAGTGTTTCACAATCAAACAAATCCCTCACCCATTATAAGCAGTGATGTATCTTATCAACAGTCTTCTGGTCTTGCCATCAATTTCACCATACAGCATGAAATGCTTATGAGAGAAAAAATCAGGTAACAGGGGAAGGTCCTCTGAGCTTGAAATGACTTCGTCAGCAGACTCCGCCTTTCCTGCAAAAAAAAAAAAAAAAAAACGGTGGAGGTCTGGGGACATGTTTTCTAAAAATTTCTTGATGTGATTTATGACAGAAATTGGAGGAGCGTAGAGAGAGATCGGCAACTCCTGGTACATGTTAATAATGAGCCCGTCAAAAATTCTTTCTCGAAAATTGAACAACGTTCTGAGGAGAAAAACAATTTTAGTTCTGATTTTGAATTTGCTGAGATCTTGTATTGATAGGAGCCACGAGTTTAATATTTTGATTAAAAAAAAAAGGGATTCGAGGTGTTTCTTTGAAGGCCATCTTTTCCTCCCGTACCTTTTTCGTCATCAGTCGTACCGCCATATATATCTTCGCCTTCACCAGTTTCTTTTTGGATTCTACAAAGATAAAATCAATGAAATGAATACCCATAGTCAGAATGCCTGCCAATGACACCTAAAACCTCCGAAGGGATGTTCGGTTAGGGCTTTTTTCAACTACGTATCGAATTGATTGACTTGGTTTTGCATTGCTAAGCCCTGTGATTGGTCAAGAAAACTCGCTCCGCCCCCTCAACCAATCAGATGCCGTATAAAGACACAATCACGACTTGATCACGCGCGTTTTCCCGCGCTTCAATCAAGTTCTTGGTTTTCACCAAAAGCGCATTAGCTTCTTGTATTCTTGAATTATTTTTCTTTTTTCTGAATGGTCGATGAGGATAATTTTAGTCGCCTTTTTACGACACTTAATTGAAATACGCATAACCATTTCTTTCCCGCCCGGTTCTTGTTGCCATTACTGTAGTGGCTCATTTGCTTTCAGGTTCTGGTATGCTCACCTTCTTAATTCATCCTCTGTATCATGATCACTGGATGAAGTCTCTTTTGGGCTCAAAGGAGATGGAGCAGTTTCATTTTTACCACTCTTTTCCGGTTGAGGTGATTCGTCGTCAGTTGAACCACCATAAATGTCATCTTCCTCCTCTAATTTTCCGGCTGCATCTTAAAAAAAAAAATACAGAAAACAGATTTGATTGAAGAAGCCTCGGCAAAGTTACAACAAAATCTAAACCGGCATTTACAATCACCCCATTTTTAATAGTTTTCAAATACTTTTTTTCGTCGCATGTCTGTGTTTGCGAAATGTTTCAGTGCTATGCGTTACTATCATTCTTCAAAGTAGAGGTTTGTCTCTGAGAAGTGAGTCTGCGTCTACGTACCTTTCTTTTCATTTGGACCCGAGACTTCGCTTCTTCTTGCCACTAGAGTTTTGTCGCTCTCTTCGGGAGTGTCGTCTTTCTGCACGTGAACAAATTAGAGTCGTTTTCGTTCAGACCAAATAGAGCAAATTTCGATTTCATGCTTTACATAACCAATGGGCTAACTGAGGATCCAAATGTTTTGTACCACACTTGAGTTGGATACAATAGAAATATTTAGCATCGCGTTTACATGAAACGGCAAACGTCATGTTTCACGTAAACCTTTCTACTTTAGCTTCGCGTTAGTTCATGTCACCTCGGCATTTGAAGGATTTTTAACGTAAAACTTCATCTGCCCTTATACGACTTACAGGAAATAGTTTTTGGTGCCTTTCTTCCGCCGATAAAATTCTACTCTGTAAAAGAAAAAGTGAAGAAAATCTTACGTACACGGCAACCGTGAAACAGCTTATTTTCACGTAGAAACGCCAAAGCGCAACCCGCAAACGGGAAAAATGGCGGGACGTGGTTATGTGGTCACTCTTGCCCTTCACGTTTCACGTAAACGCGGTGCTAAATCTCCCTAATGATAAAAGTTCACGAGAACACGACCAGCAAATCACGAGCATCACTTATCGCACCTTTGAATTCGCATCACTTGCTGGGGCCTTCTTGTAATTCCGCTCATTTCGGTCACTTCCTGTTTTAGGAGGCGGCCGTGCTGGCTTGGCATCCTCCCCTTCACTGCTCTCATCAGATGAACTACTGTCGCCTGGTAAGTGGTAACTTACAGAAAAAAAGAAAAGTCATCAAGAACGTTAACTAATTGGGAGGAAAAGTCGATAATCTGTAAATCGGACGGAACTAGCCGGAATCGAGCGGAAGCGTCCAAATACGGACGAAAGTGGCGGAAACAGGACGGAAATCGACAAAACACTTTTTAACACTCACGAAACACAAACGCAACGCTGCATAAGGGACATCTCCCAATTTCCTGACACAAATGTTCTCGAGTCCTTAATGAAATATGTGGCACAGGAGCGGAGTTACTTACTGTCGAGTGGGCAAGCATCTGCTTTTTTTAAAACAGTCAGTTATCCACTTTTTTGTGACGATCTTTCCTTTCCCTGAAGTTTAGTGAAAAAAAAAATAGTCCAAATAAAATAAATCACATTATGACCTTTAACAAGTAAAGAATAAATCTTGTAAGTTATGTGCAGTTCAAGTCATTGCAGAAAATGAAGATTGAAAAAATTCAGGCATCAACAAGGATAAAGTCCTTAGCACCCTGCTTATGGTTACTTTAACCTTTACACCATAATATAAGTATACATATCATATATCAGATATCAGTATGGAGAGGTTCTCCATACTGATATCTTTACACTTCCATTTGTACTGAGAACGAGGAATTTGTTTCTTAATCAGGACCTAGTTTAGTTGGTAATCATTTCCTTTATTCTCATGACCTGAATGTTTGATTCAGTGGTAAGGAGAAATTAGAGGCTGCTGACGATCATGAGTCAGAAGGTTAACTTCGCATCCAAAACTCACCTGTATTTCTTAAGTCACTGACACATACTTGAGATTTAGCGTAAACAACAACTAACCTTTCACTTGATTGAACTTTGGAGTGTTGGCGAAGGCACAACTACAAAAGGAGAAACATGGGCCATAAAAATTCATTGAGTCCCTTTATGTTACACCGTGTATCTTTACGGATCTTACCATTTTCAGATTATCCTTGATTCGGAAAAGTAAAATATCGTTGAAAAGGATCCTACATTCTTATTCATGAGTGGACGGAGATGCTGTAAGAGCGTGCGCCAAAAAAGGTTCAAATTTAGAATACCTCTGGCTTATCAACCAAGTTTGAGGTCCACGCTGTAAGTTGAAAATTGAAGGCGGGCAAAAAGTGTAAGAAGTACGAGGACGAGGCTAATGCCTAAATATATATTTCTACGTTTCTATTGTAGGTCTGACGGCTTTGAAAAAAAAAATTTCTAGCTCAGTGCACCCAACAGCTTCACATGACTGACGCACGTCGATAGCCAAACGAATCATTTCGAAACCGTCGTACACCCATTAGCACGTTTTAACCCAGAATGTAAAGAAGAAGAAAGATAAACATTTTCATCTACAAAAGGTACTATTAATAGCAAAACTGCTTTGGCAACAAAACAGTTTTAAATGTCAGAGAACCGTAACCGTGCAGAAAGCAGGGTACGGCTCGCTAAGTCGACTTATCACAGCACGCCTCTTACATCAGATGAGTGCATCCTTTTCCCCAGTCCTGTCTGTACTGCGCTCCCATCTGCAATGCCTTTTCGCGAAGATTACCTCGCTCAGGGTTCACAAATCCACTCATAACAAACACTACGCCTTTCTTAAAGAAACCAAAAAACAAATGTATGGAGCAATAAGAGACCCATTAGAGCCTATAATAAACTGTTATGTTTAAGAATGAGGTCAAAGCACAAACAAGCTGAGGCGTGAAGTGCAGATTTTACAATTAAGCCTAACGTTACCATAATTTCACCAAAAGGAACAGAACTTTCGTCACGTATAGGAGAGTCTGAAAAAAAGCAGCAAAAAGTTATCTATTGCCTGGTAATTTTGTCACCGGTTTGCCTTTTCTATAAATGTTGTGGAGGTGTCAAAATGAATACAGTCGTAAAATAGGTTGTGGTTTTTCATCCTGGTAAATAACAGATCAAAAGAGAAATAAAAGCGTTTGTCTCACGATGTGGTCGCTTCAGATATGGATCGCGACCTTTCGACTGCATACTGCTGGTCTTCTTCAGACGGTCATGGTGAAACAATTTTGAAAAATTCATCTCTGATTATGTCCTTTTACCTCTTTTTTTCTTGGATGGTGGTGCTGGTTTATTATCATTTTTCCCTTTTGGTGAATCTTCATGCTTCCGTTTGGTGCTCTGAAAGACAAAAATATAAAAACTTCAATTAACAAGCGTTCACCTAGCACAATACTTCATAACGCGACTCTATCAGTATGCAAAAATCCCGCGCAATTAGTAAAAATCGAGGGCGGTTTCAAGACAGAATAGTGAAAAATTAACAATTAAATCCAAATTCCTCGAGTGGCAAGTGAACCACGGCTGGTTAATTCAACGACCGAACAGAACAAAATAATGTAAAACCTATGCGGAGGCAAAAAGATTATTTAACATAAGGAGACAGTCGTCCTGACCGCGTGAAAACGTGATTGATCAAGTAACTGAATGGAAAACTGGTGCAACTCTTTTAACCGATTACCGAGCACAGAGAAACAAACCAATTTCCAAATACTTTTAATCACTCTCAAGTAAGAACCTACCTCACTTGTTTTCCTATGAGAATACCTCTCGCCCGGTTTTGGGGAAGATCTACCACCAATTTTGTCTGCTCTGTCTCTGGCCACTGGTTGTCTGTCCGAGGCTACTGAGTGTGTCTCTCTATCCCCTGACTGTCCATCCTTTGTTGATGGGTGCCTGTGATTCTGAGCAGTGCTGGCAGCAATTGTTCTTTTGTCGACTGAAGAAATGACTGTTGATGCTGCTGCTCGAACTTCAGCTGCAGTGGACATGGATGGCGGAGAGGTTTTCTTTTGAAATTTTTTGAAAAAGAGTTTTCCAGAAGAAATTTTTTTCTCTTCAGTGTCACTATCACCTTTTAATGTAAAACGTCCAAGTCTCTTTGAAGCCTGAAATGATTTTAAGGAAATCATGATCATATTGGTCAGAGCTTTTCAAAAAAAAGTTAGCCATGTTGTGCTAAAGAATGAGCCAGGAACATGATATAAATGAACCACATTTGTCAAAAGAAGTAAGCCTATCACCAGAAAGAACATTTGAACATCAAAACATTTACTAAATCTAAGAACTACTGGCTTGACTTCAAAGACATCCTACACTAAAAAAAAATAGTTATTTAAGAGAGCTTTTATGGTTGGCAGCCCATAATAAGCATTCTTATCAAAGTGAAGCAGTGAGTTATGCTTTGACATAGGAGTAGAACTTTTTACTTTTTTTGATCTCAGGGATTTACATCTTGCAAAATTCTTGTGAAGTTCAATTTAATTTTTATTTATGGAAATCAAGATTGCATACAAGTAAGGCTATAACCTACTTTAAAAGAAGAAAATAATCCTTCACGTACTATTTCAATCTGTATTGAAAAGTCTCGCCAAGGAGCCATGCAGAGAGATGTGAAGCAAAAAGTTCTTTGTCACAGTGGTGATTTTTGATACTCACTGTCACTGGAGTATGAGGCATTGCTTCCTTTGTGGCTTGAGAGTCATCGTCCATGTCATCAGGAGGAGAATGGAGGTTTATGAAGGACAGACCATAACGTTCATTCTAAAGAATGGTGAAAAAAAAGCTATTATAACATATTGCATTTTGGAATTTTTATTGATTTTGGAATTTTTTACAGATGATTTCATTAGTTTTGCATTTTTTTCTATTTTTGTTACATTTTTTTTTCCTCTGCTGTTAAGTTAAGGTTAGGTTCTATTTCATTGCCAAAACCAACAATGTGTATTACCTTGTTAAATGGTTGGGTGCAAACCAACTTGACCCTGTCCCACTTCTGAGTTGCTACTGGTTTGGAGAGCTTATCAACACCTGATGAAGGAAGAAGAGTATTTTAAGTCTAATAATTAATTTCAAATAAAACAAATAGAATAAAAATGAAAAGCAGTAAAATCAGACAAGCTCAAAGCTACATGGGCATGGCAATCATATCCTAATTTAGTAACTGAGAAAGTAGGGTGACCATAAATCTGTAAATCACAAGAGAGATTTTGTAAGTAACTTCTCCTAACCATATCAAAACAATGTCCTGCAGACAGGTGCAGTGGTCTCCCTTATTTTAAGCATGACATGTAAAATAAATGTTTAACTGGGTAGAGCAATGACCAGCTCAACTTTTAAGATTTCCAAGTGATTTTAGGTGGTAATGAGAGGTTCTACAAGCTGTTAATTTTACTGGTTGAAAAGGAGAAAACTGCAAGTGATAAGAATAATTAAAATTATCAACTTTAAGACAGTCTGTTGATTTAGAACCAAATCATCAATTGTGTCATAAGATGTAATGTAGTATGTTTGACTGTCTTTTTACCAATTTAATGGCCCAGGCTGGATGTTGGGAGAACACGACAAACCTTTGTGAATCACCCGCCCCTGACTGGTGATTTGCAAGCTTTGGTTGTGTTCTCCCGCTATATCAGGTAGGTTATTGCACTAGTAAATCAACAGAAAAAGTGGTCTATTACTATATGTTTACCGGTGCAATAAATGATACTGAGGTTTTTGACTAAAAAAAAAGGGTGAAGTTCCCCTCTGAGAGAGGGTTACTAGAGAACAGTAGAACAATGAAATATTCTTTGCCAAACCCAAACTCTGATGCAATCAAACATGATGAATAGATAGCTCATGCTAACCAAACATCCTCACTCTATTGGTGCTGGTAAAGGATTTACTTTCAGCTGGGCTCATAAAGGACGATGCAACAAGAAGAACCTAAAAATAGTACATAAAATTCATCACATTCAAAACTTGCACCTCTGGATACAGTCATGTAATTCAATAAACTTCATATCTGGTTTAAATCTTGTATGATCTTTTAATAAAATTTTCAAAACACTTGGAAATCAATTTTCCATTATACGTTTTTTGCTGGTTTGTCTCCGATCATCCATGTCCTTTTCCCTAGCAAAGCTTCCTATCATTGGCTGCCTTTTTATCCAAACAATTGATAAACTGCAGTCATTTGAAGCATTTAAACCAAATCTAAAACTGTGCACTTGTTTTTGACTGCACAAGATGGAGTACATAGTAGTATCCAATAGAAGAAAACAAACAAACAAACAGAATGTAACAGAATAAAACTAGAGCAAAAAAATTATTTCAAAAACTTGGACTTCACCTGAAATTGTTCATCAGAGCTCCAAGAAGATCTTCCAACTAACACTTCCACAAGTGCTGAACCATTGTTACCTAGACAGTAATGATTTATGTTGAAGCAACTGAAAGTGATAAACCCTCCTCATGACTTCAATACATTGTCTACCAGACAGATGATTAAAATGAACAAACTTGATGACTGGAGGACATATTCTAAACAAACTTAGGTAGAAATGTTTGGCAGCTAACATGGAAATTAATTAAAGGACCTCTTTTAAGGATATAAACAACACCATCCCGGAAAAAGATTACAAACAAGTTCAAGCCTAGAGTTTAACGAGTGCAACAATTATATCATTTCCTACTTCTAGAAGCGACAGGTACCAACCTATGTCGATGGAATGTATCTGCGTTGCTTTCTCAAGCTATAGTGGAAAAAAAATTCAAGTCTTAAAATCATACAAGAGCATTCAAAGTGTTACTAGTCCATGCGAGCCTGCTAAGTCCTAACACAGAGAGTACAAATAACACCGACACTCAATAGGTTTGAAGTTACACAAATATCATTTTCACAAAATTTACCTCCAAAATAACAGAAGCTTGTTTCTCTCCTGGAGATGCACACCTCCATTTCCTATACGTTTCTGATTTAAGTAGGTTTTGTGCTGGTTGTGTCTAGGAATAACAAAGTTGTGAAATCAGGATTTAATTTATGAAGGGGAAGTTGTTGATTCAACTTCTAGATGTAGCTGCTTTTCACAAGTAAAGTGAAACATTTCGAACTTACCACATCTTCGCTGCTGAAGGATAACACATGCCTGGGACGAATAAGAGGCATGCCTCTATCGTTTATTTGACTGACAAATCGTCAAATTTTATAAACGCAGCAAATTTAGACGTGGTTGCTCGTTAAATGCAAAACTCACTCAGGCGTTCCTTGTTCTGCACGGTTGAGCTCTGGACTCCAGTTTTTTTACGTCATTTTCCCGCCAACTTCCTGTAGGCACACGCGCCGCTGGCTGCTCTACACGCTGCCACTACATGTGACTTTTCCGCATGCTCAACCTTCGCCAGAATCTTGCAGAAAAACCCTCTGGTGAACCACATCCCTTCTTGGAAAACTCCTTTTCTTCTATTCTACAAAAATGTCAACAAATAGACGATTTTACATAGGTAAGTGGAGGCAACTGTCCGTAAACTGGAACTAAATACATTGGCATAACAGAGCCTGTTCAGCTTGGAACGAGGTTGTTTGTTGTGACAAGCGTTCACGTGGTTTGTTCTCAGCTCCCACCCGTCTTGCTTTTAAACGAACGGCTTTATTATGTTTGAGAAGTCGCATTCATGATTTTCGCGCAATTATGTGGCTGCGAAATCTCCTTCGAATTATTTAGCTTTGTTGCCGTGTTTGTCACAGTTTCGAAATTAATTGAGACAGATAAGCCTGGAAATCACTCCATGAATTTAAAACAGCTGCAAGCACTCTAAGATGCCACAGAAAGCGTTTTTAACGGCATGAAAAGTCCATAGGTTTATTAAAAAAACACAGAGAGGATTGCAATCTTGGCCCCTAGCATGTTAATTTCTCTTTAGCTCGCAGTGAAACATGAAACTGCATACAACACTCCATATATGTGCAAACCCCTCTTTACGTGCGCTCATGCACAGCACTTCAATACGTGATGTTCACGTTACTTGAAGATTAAGTTGACTTCTTACCTCACAAAAAGGCAATGGCTTCAGCATTCCACATCACAACATTAATGTTTTCACCCTGAAGTCAGATTTAAAATGGATTTAAAAAACTCACATCCAGTGTTAACACATGCCTACAGGCTAATTTCTCATTCCATTCCATTTCAAGAATTTAAATTTGGAAATAGCATGCCTTTGAATCAAATCAGCAGACAGGTACACAAAATATTTTCAAAATACCCTTGGTATTCTATTTGAGCTTTGCATTGCAAGTGTCTGTTGTTGTCCTTTCCTTGTCATTATCCACACTTTGTTTAATTTGTAGGCAATCTCTCTTTGAAAGTGACTAAAGATGACCTCCGCCATCACTTTGGTTTAGACAGCACGCCTTACTTGAGATCAAATTCATGGATTGAATTATCTGTGGAACGTCCAGGAATGTCTCATGGGTTTGGATTCATTAATGTACCAGAGCAACTGGCAAGTAAGTTTTGAGTGTAATAGTGAGAGGTTAAGTCTGTTCACAAGCCAAGTGGTAAAATGGTACTTAATACAGTACACAGAACTTGAACTGTGCCATCACCTTGCTTGCAAACTTGATAAAACTTTGAGGCTTTATTGTATTCCAGGTCACTTACTTCAGCTGAATGGAACAAAACTTTATGACAGATTCATCAAAGTTGAACCAGCTAATACTCAAATGGGAGGTCGCAGGAGCAAAGTCTCTATTCCTTCAATGTTTCCATCTTCATATGTAATGCCAATTCCACAACTGGCTAACTATCCCTATGGAATGAACCAGTATAGTAATAACATGAAGGGTCGACGGAACAGGCAATTTCCTCAAGGGCCAAATGAAATAGTGACTGTTCCAGAAGATAAAATTTTACAGCTTATTGATGTTGGTGTCAATCTGCCAAACAAGGCGTAAGTCAAACTAACTAACTTTGTTATATGGCCAGGCAGTCCTGAGGTAAATCGCAAGTGTTCAGTTTTCAGACCAAAGATGAACTTTTTCGAATCATTTGACATTCTCTGCCAGAAAAAAATTAAAACACAGAAAATCACTTAGTAACAAAATAATAACTTCTTTGTTGAAGTAGTTTTCATTCTATTTTTTAAGGATTTAAAGTTTTATGTAAGCTATGTTTTAAAATCAACTTGACTGTTATTTTGCATTTTCACTGCAGATTTTCAAGAGATATACGAAATGTCATAGAACAAGCAGATTTAGTGGGAATAAAAAAAATGATTTTAACAGGGAACACTTTACAGATGAGTCAGTCAGCTGTTCTTCATGCTAAGGCACATCCTCATGTCTTATATGCATCTGTCGGTGTACACCCTCATTTCACAACAAAAGAATGGAATGAAAAAACAGCCAGGGAGATTAAAGAATTGGCAAAAGACCCAGTAGTCGTTGCTATTGGTGAGGTTGGTTTGGACTTCCATAGAAATTATTCAGATGAAAAGGCACAAGTTGAAGCATTTACAGAACAGGTAAGCCCTTGGGTATTTAGTTCATTGAAATTGTGGACAAAACCAGCAATAACGATTTCTTTTTGATAACACAACAGGTTGAAATTGCTTGTGAGGTTCAGAAACCTCTCTTAGCGCATGAGCGGGCATCGCACCAGAAGTTTATTGAGGTGTTGAGTCACTTCAGTGGCAGGTTGCCTTCAATTGTGATTCACTGTTTCACTGGTAGTGTCTCTGAAATGAGTGCCTATGTTGCCATGGGATTTTACATTGGAATTTGTGGCTTTATTTGCAAAGGTTAGTTGAACTGAGTTTCTTTTGAGGGCACTGACTAGTTTATCCGAAAGTCTATACCTGAGCTGAATGGCCCACAAGGGAGCTTATCTTAGTCTCCATGAAATGAAGCAACCAGCAGTTTTGTTACTCCCTTTGGGCGAAGGCTTTTTCAAGCATCTATTTACATTATTGCATAGAGAGAGGTGCTGTGAGAGTGATTTGTCTTACCCAAGAACTCAGCAAAATGACCTGGCTCAGTTAAGAACCCAAACCCTTAGACCTGGAGTTAACCATTAGGCCACCATGCCTCCTTCCAGTAAATCCTTACTTGTGAGAGTTAACCCTTGTGAATTTGATTATCTGATACTTCAAATTCCCTCACCTTCTTGAAAAAAAAGAGAAAAAAGAAAAACTTATATATTTTTGTTTCTTATAGGGTCATTTTCTTCAATACTTTAACTTCTTTTAATTTTTGCGATATGATGACATTATTAGTTGTCTTACCCTGAGAATATAACATTATATACTTGCATTAATCCCATGGTAATAATTTTCTTTTGCTTTTGGCTAAAAACAGGAGAAAAAGTAAACAAAGATCTTTAGTTTACCCACCCAAAAAGGAATAACTAAAAACTTTTTCCATGGTTGCAGACAGTCCAGGCAAAGCATTAAGAGATGCTCTTAAAGAAGGTGTTTTACCACTAGACAGGATTCTTCTCGAAAGTGATGCTCCTTATATGATTCCAAATGCTCCTGAGAAGGAGTTGGACGATGTATGCAAATCACTTCTTAAAAGGTGTCAGCCAGGACGGAATGAGCCTTGTACTCTTCCTATTGTGGCCCACACTGTTGCAAAATGTCTTGGGGTTGATGCTGAAGAGGTAGCACGAGCATCAACTGAAAATGCAAGGCGGGTTTTTGACCTGAAGTTACCTGTTCCTACCACACAACCTGCACCCACTGCCATTGGGTCTGAATAAATGCTGCATTGTACAAAGATGATAAAAACTACTGCACTTAGTCTAAGTATATAACATTTATCTATCTCTTTCAGAATGAACATTATGATACATGTAGTCATGCTTAGACAGTTGGTTATTATCTATGCAGGAAGTATTGGTAGTAAAGGCTCTTCCCTTCTTAATTAAAGCAGAATTAAGTCATTATTCATGCTAAACCTGCTGCCAGACCTTCAGAGAAGTTTTCACTGGTGGTACCTGCTTTACAATTCCCCCAACTTAATATTTTTTTTGTCTTAAAAATGCCATTTGTTGTCTAAAAAATCCAATCAGACATGGAAGTGGAAAGGAAGTATTTGAAAGATTAGTAATCTGTTACTTTACCAGGTCATTTTTGACAGAGTAAAGCGAAAATGCAAGACGAAGTCAGGAGTTATGCTGACTGATTATTGTGCAATAGAATTAACCCTTTAACTCCCTGATTAAATTTGTATTTCTCCTTACTGTCAACCATACAATTTTTATGTTCAGAGAATTTAGTATTGGATCAACCAATTATCCATAAAGTTATATTTTTCTTTATTCTCATCACTTATCTGATTGATATTGTAATGATAATTTAAGGAGAAATTCTGTCTTGGTCACTCATGGGAGTCACAGGGTTAATGCAGGGTCTCAATGATTATTGCAACACGTTTTAAATTTATCCTCATTTATAGCCAAGCTAAGGAATATTTTGACCCATCAATAGGTTAAATATAAACAGTTACAATTTTGACAGAGTTAAAAAGTACAATTGAAGAGTATATTCAAAAGTTAACTGAAAACTATAGATAATAATGTTTCAAAGATGTTTAATATAATGTTTTGTTTATTTACAAAAGTTAAAAAGTTGAAAAGAAAGAAAAAGCACCATCTACAGAATGCAGTTAACCATCTTTTCAGTCTTGTAGAGCTAGAATACTTCTTAAGGTGTCAGGATTTTGCTTTTTTCTACAGACAGTTGTGTTTGCTAATGTACTGTGTATTCCATCCAAGCAGATATTTAAGTAGCATCCATACAAAGGGTGTTTTTGTTAAATATGAAAAGAAAGCAACCATTAAACTTTGGTGTCGGTTTTAAATCTTGGCTTACTTAATCTATTATCTCTATTATTGTCAGTGGCATGTGAATCCAAAGAGGCTGAATTGTTACTCTTGTTACCTCTGGTTACTGCAAAGTAAGTTGCTTTGTTAAAAAAAAAATGTGAAATAATTATTTTTATCACAGGTATTAAACATTGTTGATATTTATAGTGAGAGTTGAATTTTATAGATAAGCAACATGGTGTAATTTTTCTCAACAGATTTGTATGCTTTTGAGGGTTTTTGTTTTTTTCTGTGCCTACTGTTAGAGTTGTTTGCTCCATGATTTATCTCCCCTCCTTTTGAATATAGTGGAAAACTGAATCTCTAGTTTTTTTCAGTGAAAATTTTTTTTTAGTTAGGACATTTGGATGAAACTGAAATTTTTAAATTATGTCTGATATTGCAAAGAGAAGATCCAAAGCATCCCTATATTAGAAACATTGAGTGTTCCCTAAAAAATAAAATGCCCCTTTGGAATTTGAAGTGGTGGAAGATTCCATAGTGTGTCTTTACTCAGGAATGATCTCAATTTCCATTATAGTAGGTGTTTATTTCATCAAAAATGCAAATTAATTACAGCATACAACAAAAGGGTCTAAACATGGCTGCTTAAAATTCTAACTTTCTTAAGATGGATTGGACAAAAGATACATCAACAAAGCCTTCTCCATATCCATGTGGTAACCTTTTACATCCTAACATCAGTCTGCAGATTCTCCATACTGTTCCCATATGTTATCTAGGGTGTTGATGAGGAGACTTTGTTTAACAATCAAAAGCATCTTTAGTTGGTGATTATTTCCTTTATTCTGGTGTTAATGATTGATTCAGGGATGACATTGAAAGGGAAAATAAGATGCAAGTCACTCTTGGGAGTCAAAGTGTGGATAGAATGCTATACAGAAGAGCAACTTTAAATTAAGTTTTTAAACCATCTTTAGTTTGTCTTTTCAAAAGATAAAACTCATTAGCTAAAAGATGTTTGTGAACTCTTACCTGTTTCCAATGTTTGGTCATTTTTTTTTTAAATTTGTGTTTGGCATTATAGTGTGAATTTGAATTGGCTTAAATAACTTCTTCAAAACCGTAACAGAAATGTTGTACATGCCAGTACCAACGCTGGCAGTTAAATGTTGAAAATACATCTCTTATTTTCTTCCATTAAACACAAGAAGTTAACTTTAATTTTCACTTAAGATCAGTAAAAGTTTTCTTACATATCTCTTGACAAATGCACAATAATTAGGTTTGAAGTTCTCAAAACACCAATGAAAACTTTGAAACACAGGGGTACATCTAGTGGGGAAAACAAAAGGTCTAACTTCTCATTAACCTTGATGTTCAGTTCTTAAAGTGAGAATCCGTCAGAGGCAATCTTAGAAACGTTGCCTTCTGCTCTAGCCACGTGGTTTAGTGGTCACCAGTTATTTTCTAAAAAGGCTCTTGGGATCGCTGAGGGTTCAAATTCGGTGCTGATGGGTTATAAGCAAAACCCTACAAAACAAATCAATTAAATTAGTAAAAGACCCTTCACTAACTTAGGCTTTAGATTTAGATAAAACTGTCATCTTTTTTTGTGTTGTAACCCTTTTATCAGTTGCTCTTGGTACCTTACGGCTTAACATCAATATGCATATTCTCCTTACTGTTCTCTATACATTACCTTTTGTACTGACAGGTAGAATGTGCTTCATAGTTAATAGATCCGTTAGTTACCGATCATTTCTTTAATTCTCATGACCTAAAATGTTTGATTCGGCATTCATTCTGCAAGATAAATATGCGGCTAGTCACTGCTAGGTGTTAAAAGGTAAGTATTACCTGAGAGTAAGGTGCAATGTAGTTAGGAGAATCCATTGGTGGATAACCCAAGTACCACTTTGGCTGCTCTGGGATCACCATTCTGTGAAACCCCTGGGGATTGATGGTGACGTTAGGTGGGGCACCAGGACTCAAATTCTGCATCCGTGGGGAGCAGTGTAGGTAACCAAAGTAAGGAAGGGGTGGATTAGACAGGTTTGTGCATTCAGGGAAATGTCTTGACTGCTCTTTTGGTAAGCCAGGAGAACTCCGTTTGGTATCCAAAACCCCTCCCGTGTTTATTGTTTTCGGCAGATAGCTCACTGTGGAGGTTGGATCATATCCTGAGAATGATTAAAAAGAAACACCATCTATGTTAACAACCGAAGTCTAACAAGGGTAATGAATCAGTTGATCACCACGTGTCTACGACTCAGATTCACCCTATTTCTTTTGAAATTCTTCAGTCTATGTAAAGTCTGAAGTCGATTGCCAGCCGCTTGTCGCAAAGCTTTCTCTGTGTCTCTTCTTTCTTTTTTTCCCTTTTTCATTTACCATGTTATAAAACTAACTGCAACTGTTGGCGGTGTTGTTTTTCAGCTTGTTAGCGACATATCATTCCTAGCAGCCAAAAGTCTCGTCAAAATCTCATTAAAAATTAAAGTGAATTGAAATTAATGTTCGTCATTCTGCTAAGTTTAGTTAGTTTGTTTCTTTTTTTTTACTGTGAACTTGAGAAAAGAGACAAAATACGAATGATTTTTATCTGCATTGGAGAGTTTTTGTCAGTGTCCAGACAGCTCGGCCTCAGTACGTGCCCACACTGGATAATGATAACGAACGGTCGAAAGTTCATAGAGCACAAAGCAAAGACCATTCATAAATCGTTACTCTTGTTTGCGATGCGAATATTTTATTGTTAACATTTGATTTAGATCGCACGTTTTAATGAGTGATTTGGATCGATTAACAATTTGATTTGAGCTGATGACCAGCAATTAATGAATACCTTTTTTTGAAAGGGAATGGATAAGCAAACGCATTTTTCTCTTCAATTATATTGTCCATGTCGCATCGTGTAAATGCTGTTTTCTTTTCAGCAGGATGTTTACACTTAACCTGTACTTTTGCTAGTCAGTACCTTATTTTCAATTTTTTTTGGAGCATGATTTATAAGAAAAGAACTCCAAAGTAACTTAACTCATTACCAACACATATCAACTGTAAATAACGAACCATTTCCTTGTGAGAGCGAAGTGAGGTGGGCATCCGCTTTGGCAGGTTCAATAAAGGGTTCCTTCATGTTTTTTTTCTCGGCAACATCTGCCTGTTTAGTTTTCTTTGCAGTTTTTTTCTTCTTGGACGATTTCTCTCTGACTCCCTCTGTTTGACTTTCCGGTTTCATCGAAACCAAGCGTCTCTCCAAAATTAAAATACAATGCTTGCAGTTGCACATCTTGTAGGGGCATACATTTCTATGGCCCTTCAAAGGTACGGGGTATATACCGTGGTTACGACAGCGCGTGCATTTGGGCTTCTGCCTTGAATCCGATCCTTTGTCTGAACAGGAGGATTTGGAGAGCATGATATTGGCCACTTACAGTTAGTGCAGAGAAGAAATATCACACCGACGAATCTTGTAGGAGGAATGAACAGAACCACGAGACAAAGCTTTGAAATAGCACTTTCAAAATTTGATTGACAGTTTGCAGCGGTTGTTTCGACCTGAAGGTTCCCAGAAGTACTCCAAAATTGGACGAACTTTAGACCTCTGAGGTCAGTGTTAAAGATTCCATCAGCAACATGAAGGCACATAATACTTAACGTTTTCTATTTCTAATTATTTTTAATAAAAATTTTATTCAGTTGATCTCTTTTGGTAAACAACTCCTTATTTGGTGAAAGGAAGCCCTTTCACTGCTTGTGGTGCAGGGTACAAATTGATGTTTTTCTTAAATTGCTCGTTGTGTAAGTAGATGCGTTCATGAGCTCAACCATTACACAAACACGATTCTTTAAAGGGAAAGTTCTATACCTTTTGAACTGACCGAGAAAAGTTTCCGGTGATAGCACCTTACGCCAAAAACGTACTTAGACAGATAAGACTCGTGTCTGTTACCACAAGATCGGCAGAATTGAGACTGCAAAACAATTAAATTAAGTTTGCAAGCGAGATGGTTTTCGCTCAGGGATCGTTGTTTTAACCTTATAAATATAATATTTGACGGAGTTACCTAAACTATGATCGTAATGGAACGACTTAAAAATTTTTTTAAAATCATTTCCATAAACAACATTTTTATTTACACCTTTGAGTAGTCGGCTACCTCGATAAGTTTCATTGAAATTGAGTTTGTTTCAGAAAGTTCTCAGCAGCTCTATCACTTTTCGTGGCAAATCTTCGAAAATTTCTACATAATTTTAACTAATTCGCTTCAAACCTCTTTAGATCAACAAGGCAGGTTAGAAGGCGTAGACACTAATGACGTCACAGACAGTTACTGGTTCACCTTTACCTGTCGTTTTTCTGTCAAGTTTTTTTTTTATACGGTGATAAAAAATTCAGGTAGGTATTACATTTTTTCGAGCGGGAAAAAAGTTAGCCAGCGTTCCTTTCCCCTGCAATTTGTTTTCAACCCAGCGAAGCCTGCACCTTAGCGATTGCGATAACACTATACTTTCTGACTGACCTTTCAACTCAGGAAAAACGTTACAAAAAGATAGTAAAGTAATGTTTTCCAAAGGTGTATCATTCTAAACTCCTCTAGCTGTTTCCACCTTTGGGTAGTAAACATAGAGTGCACGCCAAGCACTATGACTACGTTCTTCAATTGCTGAAAAACGTTGCCAGTTGTTGAGACTGACCCGTGGGGAATTAGAAACAATTTAATGCTGTCTCTGTTGACAGTGATAGTTCTCTAGAAATCATCAAGTCTCTGCACCTATAGTCTATTCTCTGAGCCCCAAAAAATAAAGAGAACCATCTGTTCACATTGTGATGCTAAACCGGGTTGTATCTGTATGCCACTTCGGCCCGCTCCTCTGGAAGAAAACAGCCCGATCTGTGTGACAATACTGACACTGGGGAAAAAATCAAACGCACTTTCTTTTACAATAATAATTTTATTTGGAAGACTGCAAGTAAATCCTTGAAACAAGTTCCGTGCATAAATCAAGTCGTTCCGAGATGCAAAACAATTTGTAGAAAAGAACAAAAAGTGGTCACTTTAGTGATATGGCGTCTTTCCCCGCCGTGTCATATCGGGTGTTTTCTCGGACAGGTAAACTGTTGACGACGAGCGTGCCTCGCATGGTCATCGTAAAAATGAAGAGAAAGAATGAAAATTACTTAAAGAACAAACTTTGTCCATGAGAGATGGCAAAGATCGCACTTCATGCGTGAAATAACTTTACCCTTCCTTCCCCTTGTGCGCAACCCATACAGGCTTCGACTTGTCACGCGTCACAATAGAGTTATCTTTCAATAGAGTACAGTATAGGGTAAAAAAAGTCGCTTCTTTTTTCTTTCTCCTCTTTTGGATTCATTTCTTCTTCTTTTTGCTCTTTTTTCTGGAAGGTGATCTTGAGCGGGATCTCGATCGCTTCTTTCGGGACGAGTTTCTCTTAGAAGGTGAGCCACTTCGTGACCTGGAACGTTTACGCCTCTGCTTGCTGCCGGGAGAGCGACTTCGGGATCGGGACCTTGCTCGCCCGCGGGATGAGCTCCGGCTGCGGGATCGCGATCTTGACCGTTTGGAATTCGAAGGCGAAGGTGTGCGTGACTCGTAATGCTTCAAAGACTAAGAACAGAAAAAAAGAAATTATTAGGCGGGTGTTCAATAAACAAGGCTGGCGGGTCAATGTTCGTTTCAAAATCCACTGAAATTTTTTTTCAAGAATCTTCACGCCAAAGTATCAGAACCTGTAGCGAGGTAGTCAAGGGCGATCCGCTCCTCTCGGGAGATCTCGAGGTCGAACGACTCTCAGAGGACTGGGACCGCCGAGTTCGCTTTTTGGCAGAAGGGGACTTAGATCGACTCCGAGACTTCTTCCGGCGAGAGTCGGATGGTGAATTTGTGTGGCTGCTTCCTTTCTTCTTCTTATCTTTTACTTCTTTTGGTTCAATAGCCTAATAAATAGAAGTAGTAAGAGACTGAGGTTGAAATCTAAAATTGCCAAGAAGAGAGAAAAAATGTGATGAAGTGGGTAGAGTTGTTTGCTATATGAGGGCATCACTCACTTCCAGTAACTTGGCCCTGAACACATCACACTGTTGAGCGATGTCGCTCGCTCCTTTTGCTTCCAGTTTCTGGGCATACGTTGCAACTTTGAGTTCGATTTCCCGAAGCTTTTTCCGTCTGCTTTCGTCAATTTCCGCTACTCGAGGGGTCTCTGCGGAGGCAGCTGAAGGCTCCTCGGGTCTTTTCGGAGAATCGTCTTTGATGGCGGGTCTAAACGAACGTATCATGAAAGTCCTTAATTAAATCTTATCAATTTGAAAGCGAGGCTGGCTTTTTTTGCGCCAAAATACATAAGACCTCTCCTATGAAAAGAATATGATTTGGAACCTCATCCCTCGTGTGCATATTACTCACTCTGGTAAAGGCTCCCGCTCTTCAACCGTCTCCCATTCAGGTCGATCCCATTTTGACGCAACGTGAGGAACATCTGAAAGAAATAAATGATACAGAAAAATGAGAATGGGATTGTAAGGGAGTCCCTGTGCATCAGAGAATGAGTCAAAAAGGAAATATAACTATAAACCGACGGAAAATGGTCAGGCAGACTTCTTTAGAGAAGAGTTTCTCTGGTAGGGATTGTCCAAATCAGCAAGTCTATCAACTTAACCGTGCAAAAAATGCATTAATTATTATTATTATTATTATTATTATTATTATTATTATTATTATCATTGTCATCATCGTTATCATCATCATCATTATCATTATTATTATTATTATTATTATCATCATCATCATTACCATTATTATTACTGCCAGCTCACTACTACTCGTTTAAATCACTAAATACAATTTTGCCGAAACAATATAAACTGTCTTTAATCTAATATGAACACTGGTAGCCTAGACAACTGACAACAACTTGTCAAAATCGCTTTGAAGCTAAAGGTGAACATTATATTAATTATTTTTAATAATGAAGAAGAAACATGGAAACGCAGGAAAAAGTACAAAAATCTCGTGAAATCCTGACCTTTATCTCGCGACTTGTCGGAACTCTTTTTGCCGTCCACTGAGGTAAGGAAAAAAAGAGGTCACGTGTTTTTAACAAATTCTCCGAAGTAACAATATAAGAATTGTATAACAGACAGTAAGGAGAATTACTAGCGAGATCTTGGAAGTGAAACATTTAATAATCCACTTACTCGGCTTTCCGTCAATATCATCACTGGATAGAGGAACTCCGTCGATATCGGTCTGTTTAATCGGGAAGCCATCCATATCGCTTGATCTGATTGGGACGCCATCCACGTCACTTGACTTGATGGGCAGACCGTCAATGTCGAGTGGTTTTCCGTCCAGATCGGCCTTGCTTTCAGTAAAAGCCTCTTCGGTAGCCTGGAGTAGAACAAACATCAATAAATGACAAAAGGTGGACTCTTTATCACTAAGTGACTTGCATCAATTTTCTACTCTCAGTGTCATCCCTGAATCAAACAATTAAGGTCAAGGGAACAAGGAAATGATTTCCAATTAAGCTCTTGATTGTTACACAAATTCTCCCAGATGGTACCAAAGCAAATATACGGAGAACATTATGGAGAGTATGCGTACTGTGAAGGTGTAAATTGATTCTCACGGAGCTTGGACCCAGACCTCTCGTTCGGAATCTTAGACAATTTAATTACCAAAAATGTAAAAACCTAAGGAATGAATGTCAGCAGACTTGTGTAAGGTTTGTACAAAGTTTACCTCTGGTTGACTCGGTCTTTCGTTGTTACCCAAAAACACGTTCTCCAAATCAAACAAAAAATCGGGAGTATACACAGCCCAGTCCATCCACGCTGCAAGACAGCGAAGAACTTGTTTCTGAAAATAAAAATAATATAAATTTTTATTTTTTTCCATGTCGTCCACTGGTCAATGATCATACCAAACAACATGCCAGTCTAACTGTACAAGGCAAGCTTTCTTAGTTCTCTATGGCGTTTCATTACTTGCCTGATTTAGGGTTTCAAAGGAAAAGACTGAAGGGTTGTAAAAACATAATTCATGTAAACTCACCTTGAAGTTTTCTGCTTTCATACGAGCATTTATAGCTTTGAAAGAGACACTTAAGTGACCAAATATGTCTGGGAGGAGAGTCTGAAATCTGAAAAGGAAATTGTAAATATCTCATTCTAAAGTACATTTGCGAGCAAAATTTAATCTTTCTTTTTAATACACGGGAGAAGGACATTTATGTTCCTACAGAGAAGATGAACAAGGTTCCTTACCCTTTTCTGTAATAGGACACATTTGGTACTTTGACAGAGCAGTTGTGCAGAATGTCTGACACCAGGTACAGCCTTGCGACCTACAGAGGCAAATGTCACTCAGATTCAGCACAAAAATGATGAAGAAAACTGGAATGGATGAAGACTTTGAAGTCAAACACAAGTAGGCTTGTTACTCCTCTCTAAAGTAAAGTTATTCCCTTCTCAAGTAACTGATGGTAAATTCTACGTGGGACTTGAGCTCACAATAAGATCTTCATAGTTTAAAATTGTCTCTTCTTCTTGGGACAACCATTTTCTCCTCTCTCGTGGAACACACACATCCAATTCACCCTACATAGTGGAAATGTTGGCATTCTACTTACCTTAACTGGCAGAGGGGTCTGCAAAATTGACAGTGACTCAGCAATGCATTCAACAACCTGAGTGAACAGAGTAAAGAGACTTAATAAAACTTTGCATATGTGAAAAAAAAAATGTAAAATATAGTTAGGACCAAATTAGAGCATCAATTTACTGGGCATAATTTATTATTTCCAGTAATTACAAGTATTTGGTCATTCTCTGGTCAAAATTAGACTACAATGGGTTGCTATTGTTACTATTGTTACTAACCCTAACCCTAAAACCCTAAGCCTTTCGACAAAATAGAAAAGTTAGTATTTTCCTTAACGTAAGGAATTTGGTGATGTGCCAAGAAAAAAGGAAAAACTTTAGATAGTTCTGAATCATTCTTTCCAAAAACTCACTTGAAACAACAACTTACTAATTTGTCATTTTTTCTCTTTTAAATAATACACAAAGACAGATTGTGGATATAGACAAAATAATATTTCACACTCTTTTAAACAGCTGATGCCTATTTGGATCAATCATGAGAGAAAAACCATAGCATAATTTCTAATTTACCTCCTCTGCACAGTCTGCATGATCAACACAAAACACCATACATCTGGAAATTTTTATCCTTTCTGGTGTTAAATCCCTCAGCATGTCTTCCAACCTGTCGCGCTGCCTGCAACCACAAAATTTTCCCAAAAATAGATTTCTACTTTATACCAAAACAAATTCACCACATTTTTCAAACCAAAACTCTTTTGCTTTTGCCCTACCCCTCCCCTGTCACTTCTCTATTGATGTATCCCTTATTTCAAGATTACCAGAAAAAATTACAAGTATAACGCAACTTAATTGTCTACTCTGTCCTTGTTGTACACATGTGCCAGAAAATCTTATTCTGTGTCATCAAAAGAGCCAGGCATTGCATCTGTATACACGTCTCAGTTTTGTGAAACATAAACAATTGATTAATCATGATTGTTGTCAGAGATTGAAAAATATTACTTCAAAAGACAAAACGCCACTGATAAATGCAACATCCATATGCTAAAAATCAAATATGTGCCCCATGAGGTGTACAGTTCTACTCAAAGTAGGTTGACAGGCTCAACTTAAAACTCTATATTTAAAACCATCAAGAATTGTGTATTGAGACTCAAGAATCAGATATCAAGGATCGAGACACTCAAAGAACTTTACAAGAATCGTGATCCACAGTTTTGAGGAAACTATTTAATTCTCCCACACATAGCAACAGCTACAAACAAAGCACTTGGCACTGCTTCTCTTTTGTATAAGGAGATAAAATAAAGTTTTCCATGATCCTAGGCCTTATACTGTCAGATGGGCAGAGATCTTACCTGTTGGATAGAGAACACTTCCTACTACTTGGTGTTGTGGATACTGATGCAGTATGACTACTGCTGTGACTGCTACTTGAGCTATGTGATGATGATGGTGCAGTTGTTGATGTCTGTGACGTTGATGGTGCAATGGGTGTTTCTACTTGAGGCACAGGTTGTTTATTGGCATTAAAAGCTGCTGCACTCATGGTGTACTGATGACACTGAGGTGGTTTCCACAAAGAGCCATTATTAAACATTCTAAATTTTTCTGTCCGCCATTTTGTAGGGGAATCACCCTGTAAGTGAATTGAAACAAAAAGAAGTATTGTGATTGAATGTTGGAAAAAAAAAAAAAAAAAAACTTAGAGGGTTGAGGAACAGCCAATCAAAGAAAAGGAAATACCAAAAGCAGCCAATGAACACGCAAAGAATAAACAAGCAAGAACATTGCTTATACAGAGCAAACCAGAACAAACCTGGAGAATGGAAAACAGCTTCCACCGATAGTAGATATGTTCTGGACAATGATTGTCAAACAAGAACCTACAGACAGAGATTCAGAAAACAACAAATTTAACCCTTTCAACCCCTGAAGTGATTAATATGTAACTTCTCCTTATAATATCCATACATTATTCCACAAACAGGTAATGGGAATACTCCAAATTATCAGGTAGAAGTTGTTACCTTGATCTAACACCAAATTCTCAGAACTAATTTATAAGGAAATATGTGACAGCCAGAGGGGAGAATTAACAATATGATCTTGAAGGGTAACAAAAGAACAAGTTTGCGTGGACACATCTTCAATTTCAAGATGATTAAGGAATATCAGTTTTGCAAAACAGAAAAGCAATAAAAGAAGTGCAAAAAAATACAAAAAAGGAATAAAAATGAGTACTATGGATGAACAGGAATGATGTTATACTCAATGACAAATTATGAAACTGCAATAATTTGAGCTGAATTTCCAAGACATGTGAGCTGTAATTCAGAAGATAATATTAAATCACCTGTACATTGGGTTGTTCAGTTCCTTGTTCATGATCATGGCCTCAAACATGGGTCCCTCACGCACGACAAATTCAACCATACGGTGTACGAGGCACAGGAGGTTCCTGTGGGAATTACAGTGGTTACCACAACAACAAACAACATGTGAAAGTTAGTGACTATCACTGTGAAATCAAACATGGTAAGATGAACATCTTCACCTCAAAGCTGATTAAAAAAAGTGAGTTTTTTTCTCTATGGAACTGAATGCATCCTACATGTAGAGCTAATTAAATATGGCTAATTTTTCAGATTGTGTGAAAAAGCACACAAATGAAGAAAACATAGGAAATGGTTTACAAGTACTTTCTAAAGAATTAAGAATAGTTTCCCATGGGGCAACTTATTTTAAATGACTTTGGCAAACAAGGCACAGAAACCTTGAAGCACTCAAGCAAAAGCTTCCCAGCAAAAACACCACTCAACTAAATAAATGTTTATATGATACAAAACAAAAGAAAAAAAGTCCTTAAAAATGGCTTGAGCAAGCCACTAAACTTAAAGTATTACTTCTAGATCTGACAAGGTGGTGCTACACAACAAATTCCAAACATTTAAGAATATACAAAGCTGTTAAGACTTGTTAAATACAATTTTATGAAATTGGAAGAGATTGTTGTAGGCATGTATAAAATACTTGTGGCACTCAACTTTGAGGAACATAATGGTGTTACAGAGATTATAGAGAGTAAAGAACATAATGTTTATATTTTTTGGTTGCAGTTAGATTTTAATCATATTACATATTGTTTAATTCACCAAAAATGCCAAAAAGGAATCAAAAATGGAAGAAGCAAGAAAAAACTTTGTATTAGATGTACAGTGTACACCTGTACAGAGGCTTTCTAAATCAAATAACAGGGTGTAAATAATCTACAAAACAACAAAAATGTACAGACATCATATGGATGATGTGTAATATTTATCAAGCCTGCCATGGAGAGGTCACTCAAGAAACATACCAGTAGCCAGTGATTATTCCACAAGGGAATGAAAAAACAACAGTGAATTTTCATAGAAAAGGTACCTTTCCGTCGGGATTACAACTTTCACGACCGCATTGGCTAAGGTCTAAGAGACAATTGCCAAAGACTTTGTGAGTATTAAACAAAACAGCTAATAAGATGTAACCTACAGTTAACATAAATACAAATTGTGAATCTGTAACAGCTGATTGGAATGTAAGTTAAAGGGTGCATGCATGCTCTGTGCTCTCCATTTTTGATAAATTCAAAATACTTGCCCCAAGAATTTCAAATAAACATGAAATATGTGGAGAAAAGACAAGAGAATTGTTCACTATGTCACAAAAATATTTTTTTTCTTGATTTAGCAGTTTTTTTAACACAAAAAAGGAACACCATGAAGATATACTTTCGTTAATTAGAAAATAGTTCAAAAGAAACAATTCTTACATCACAAGAAAAAATCAAGACTCACAGGAAAAAACCTGACGATGAGTTGGTCCCAAGAAAAAGTTTTATATGGTTTTTGGTTTAGAATAAAAAAAAAAAGAGGACTTTTTCCTTTTATTCAACTTACAGTATTCTCACAAAGGCACAGACAGAGATAACAATACAATAATTAATAATTATATATTAATAAATGAATATGTAAAACTTATATACTGACTGCACATTACAAATGGCAGAACCACTTTGTACATGTAATAAGAAATATCATGCATTAAATATTCATACATGGGAAAAAAACAATTACAGAGGAGTTATGAACATGTAAGTATTGCGATTCCCTAGGCTACTTCATACAAACTCTGAATTCATGGATAAACCATTATCTGAAGCTCACCTCCTTATTAAAACCATTTGCATCAAGATTGCGCTTGCCTTCCTCAGCGCCCCCCTGTGGGGGAGGAGCACTGGAGTAGTCATCTTTCTTTTTATCAGGTTGGGCATTAAAAGGCAACCCTGATTGGGGTGGTGGGGTAGTGTCTTCTTGCATCTCTGGGGGAATATAGATTGGGTGGGGTGGAAGGGGAACACTTTTTCCCCAACCTAGTTTCATCTCATAGGACATGACTTCCTTCCCTGTGATCAGAAGTAAAAGAAATCATAAACCAAAAACGGTTTTTAGTGACAACAATGTTTTCAAAAGGGGTGCTTTGTTAACATAGTATTGAGCTCTTTTGTAACAGCCAATAATCATTAAAACATTAGAGTGATGAGAAAGAATAAAGTTATCTCTTATCTCTTGACAAAATTTCAGAGAAACTTATAGTACAGTAAATAAAATAAGAGAGGTGGTAAGTTTTGGGCTTGAATCTCAGACCTTCAGATTCTACACTTCAATGCTCTACCACTGAGCCACAGAGACTCTACCATGAGCAAGGTCTATTATGAGGTTCATATATATAAACAGAATACCAGTTAAGTGTGGAATCCAAAGGTCTGAGATTGGATTCCTCATGGGGACTCAGAATTTTTTCTTTGTTCCACGCTTGTGACTGGACAAAAAACATCTTTCTCTATAGAGTGTAGTTTTGCATGAAATGGGAAGGGGAGGGGGAGGGGGAGGGGGAGGGGGAGGGGGAGGGGGAGGGGGAGGGGGAGGGGGAGGGGGAGGGGGAGGGGGAGGTGGGTGGGTTTAAATCAGAAATGATTATTAAGATACATTGTTCTCAAGAATACATGTTCTTTAAGAATTTGAATGTTTGCTTTAAACCCAAAACCTTCAGCTCTGAGATGAAGAAAATCCCTGTGAAATTAAATATTTTTGATAAAATCTAACCTTTTAGAGCATTAAGAGCTTTTTCTCCATCCTTTCTCCTCATGTAAGCAACAAAACCACAATTTCTGTTGCGAGCCTTCTCCTCCTCAGTCCTAGGCCACATGATTTTAACACTGGCCAAAGGTCCATACTTGCCAAACAGCCGCATTAACATCTCCTCTGTCATCTAACAAATGAAGAAACAGCATAAGGGTGAATCATACAGACCTTTTGAAACTAGGACCAGTTCTAGCTTTGGATTATCTTTTCAGTAACATACTCTAACAATGTTCTTCATGAAGCTTCATAAAACTCTTTATGAGCAACAATGCTAATAAGATTATTGCTTTTTTATATAAATCAGGCCTGTCTTGATTGAGAAATGATAAAATGGCTTCACAAAAACATATCTTAACCCTTTAACTCCTGTAGGAGTGATTAGCATCTAATTTCTCTAAACCCCTGAATCACTCATTAGGGTCAAGAGACTATAAGGAAATGATCACTAACTAATGAAGTCCTGGATTGTTAAACAATTTCTCCCTGTCATCACCTTAGAAATGTGTAGAGAAAAGTATGGAGAATTAACTTACTGCTGGATTGATGTTTCCGATGTAAAGATTTGTTGTGTTGGGATCTCCAGTATCATGTGATCCATATGAATAACCTTCCTCTACAAATATAAACAAATCAATTACTGGTTGTAATTCATTGGGAATGAAGGAAGCAACATGTAAGTTTCTGATCCTTGTCACATGTTTTGTCTTGAATATAAAGGAGAAATTCACAATGACAGCCACAGACCAAAGATAAATGGAACCAATCCTGTTAAATTTAAAATTTTTTTCTGAACTTCTAAATTGATCTAAATTTGGTAACTATATACTTTATCACCCAAAACTATTAGTCCATACCCTTGGAAGGTGCAAGAAGAGATGGTGCCATATTTTCTAAGACCTCTCTAGGAATATCAGCTAAATCACCCTTCTTGATCTTGTGCCTTATCTCCCGTTCCTTCTGTTGTCTGAACAAAAAGAGACAAAAAATCATAAAAGCATACATGCCTGTAAGAATAAATACAATTACTCTCACATACATTTAACAATAACTTTATTTACCTTTTTAATTCTTCCTTAAACAGTTCTAAATTGCTCTTCTTCTTTTCTTTCTCTTTGCCTTTTTTCTTAACAGACTCCTGAAAAAAAGAACAGAAAATGCAAAACATTTGATTGCCAGTGGAGAGTACAGTACTGCTCAGATATATGTTAACTACACAGGGAAGGTAAGACATGCATATACAATTTTTATGTGCACAGGGACAAAAAAATGCACAACTTTTTTGCCTTTGTTATTCAGTGCTATAAGTTTCCTATGTGTTGCACTGCACATTTCCATGTACTGTAGCATAATGCAACAAGCAATATGGTACATAACATTCCTCTGACAATTAAAGTACTGTTAACACTCGTGGGAGGAGAGATGCACTGTGGAGAATCCATCTCTTGCCCAAAGATAACCAACACTTCAACTCCCATGAGTGACCAAGAGAGAATTTCTCTTTTCCATATCAATGTAATATCAAGCAGACAAGTGATAAGAATAAAGAAAAATAGCGATTAGGGGGATTTTTAGTTAATCCAATACCAAATTCTCCAAACTAACATCACAAGAATTATATGGCAGATAGTAAGGAGAATTGCTAATGAGATCTTCAGAGTGAAAGGGTTATGCTAGCCACTAGACCACTATACACAAAATTAAAACTGAATACACACCACTTTGGGAGCTACCAATTCAGTCTTGATTTTCTCTTCCATAACAGTAGCAGATATCTTTGCCATTGGCTTGTATAGAGCTCCAGCCTGCGCCGAAGCAGTCTCCTCTGTAAAACATTCACAAACATCAGCAACAAAATCGAACAACCTCAGCAATTAAAATACATATCAAACAACTCCTACCTACAAAATAGTGAAGAAAATCGAAGTGGGAGGAAAAGAAACATTAAGATAAATTCTTCACTTTACCCTTTAACTCCCAGAAGTAATTAACTGTAACTTCTTCCTATAGCATCCATATACACTGTGTCATCCAGCAAATTGGTATAGAGAATACTCAAACTTATAAGTTACAAGATATTATATTGATCTCACTGGTAGTGAGAAAACTCAAACTTATCAAGTATAAGATATTATATTGATCCAACATCAAATTCTCCTAACCAACTCACAAGGAAATGTATAGCAGCCAGAGGAGAGAATTAACAATCCAATCTTGGGAGTTAGAGGGTTAACAAATTTGATTGAACAAAAGAAATGACTAAGAGAACATGTATATTCATGTACATGAACAAGAAAAACAGTACCATGAATTATAGCGTAGCCAATTAGATATTACATATTATAACTGGAGTAAAATTAGACACAAAATAACAATTATGATTTTATAAATTTATTGATTAAAGTATAAAGTATCCTCTTGCATCAAAATGTTCTTTAAGTGTCTATGAAATACTCTTTTAAATTTATCTTTAGGTAGAGGACAATGACAGATAAATAAGTCCACTTTTTATTTGGAATAATAGCTACATGAATCAGTTTTGAAAAAATTTTACCTTTTGTTTCTGGGTTGATTGTATTGCCGCGCACAAAAGTCTTCCCAGCCACCCGAGCATCTTCAAATGAAGCAACAAAATCTGCAAACACTTCAGCACACTCTGATTCTGCTTTCTGAAAACAGAGACAATTATAACTTTGACAAAGTATTCAAGAACTGAAATTAAAACTTTCCTATTACAAGAGCTATTTTAACATTGCTAATCCAGGCAGTTAGCAGGACACTTGTCCTGAATATTGCTAATAAATGGTCTTATCAGTCAACTGATTTGTCAAAAAGTTAGCTGAAGATCAGAGCATCCAAATAACACATTAACACGAGAAAGGGACGTGGATTTTTCTCTATCCCCTTGCAACACATGATTCACAGCTTCCTTCAATCTAATATAACCTCCCCTCTTTTCAGAAACCCTTGTGAACAAAACAAACTTGAAACCTGTGGAATTTTTTGTATGATTCCTGTGAACTTCACCAAACTGAAAACGTCTGATAATGCATGCTGCACGAAATGCAACTTGCTTGATTTGCTACCCACCACAGGGATTGCAAAATATCCAAAAAGACAACCATCTCAGGAGCATGCTCAACAAACACATGAAAATTTTGAACCAAACACATGGAGAGGCCAAATACAACAAATAGTCAGGTAAATGTAACATTACCCCTGAAGGAGATTAAAACAACTGGATCGATTAAATACGTACATTACCAGAGTTGACAATATAGCTCTTTCTAATGCTACCTTCAAGGGCTTTTTAAAAATCACTCACTTTCCATTCCTGATCAACAAACTCTTATATATCCTTAAACATCTTGTCATAAAATCTTACACTATGCACCATATGAACATTTACACATAGCCTCTTCATTTCTAAAACATCCTTCAAATGTCAAGTTCCATTAAAAAATACACATGCAAAATCTGGCTTTCAGTTGCAGCGTCTTAAATCTCTAGTAAATCGTACCGACAATTTTTCTGCTTTCTTACGATCTTGGATATTCTACAGTACAAAACCACAATTAAGTGAGACCTTTTTCTTCTCATCAGAATCTAGCTTTGATCTAGCGGGTTTCTTCAGTCCAGCGTTCATCATTCCAACAGAGAAGGACTTCAACTTGCTCTCAGAAATTGTCTGCAAGGAATACATCCATTGCAAAGCGTTACTTTGACGATGAAACGTCGATATCTTGAATTCCAAATCAATTGCTAAGTAAAACGAGAGAACAGATGTTAAATTTCAGCTTACCTTCATAGATCCTGGGGTTAACCCTTCTGGGGTCAAACCCCACGGCAGATTCTTCTCAGGCTCTGATTTTTTCCCAGCCATTACATGTTGGATTGTGGTTGAGAATCGACCCGACGTGCTTTGTTCTAAAAGATGACTACGCATGACCGAAGCAACCAATACCTTTACAAAACAATAATTAGGTAAAAATTTACGACAATGACATGTAGTGGCCCGGCTAGCTCAGTCGGTAGAGCATGAGACTCTTAATCTCAGGGTCGTGGGTTCGAGCCCCACGTTGGGCGCTAATCTTTTCAATTCTCTTTTTCTTTTTTTTTCGGTTTCCAAATCTTAGTCTTCGAGCATTTTTCTCCCTTTGGCAGATTATTTCAAAGGACTGGAAAGTAAAAAACTTAACAATTTAACCATCGCTGCTTGGTTGTGGGCCCAAAAAAGCTCAATACAATCACCGGTGGAGTCTCGAATAACAAAACTTTGATTTCCTTGCTAAGGATTTCCTAACAGTAGACAGTGAAATCGCTTGGCTCATACGTACGTTTCTCTTTTCCATCCCTACCCCCATTCTCACTGGTCACTTTTTTTGTGCGTTTTCGTTTCTTTTCTTTTTCCTTTTTGGCTCGTTTTCGTCCATGCACTCGCGCGCCTCACGTTTCCTTCGCTTGAGTAAGACTCAATCACGCACGTTTACGTTAAGAAAAACCGACCTTGATCATGTCTTTATGATCCTTTATTTTTCCACAGTGCTTTAACTCAACAAGGAGATTGCTATTTCCTTGATTATACAACTCGCCCAAACGCTCTTATTTCATTAAAGCTGTTCTCTCAGCTTTCAAGATCAGCGAATAATAACCTAAACAAGAGAATTTTGTTCAATAATTTCATGTTTGTCTCTTATTAAAACTGCTTGCAACTGACGATTCGGCGAGTAACATTTCACTGATATGCAAAAAGGGAATAGAAGTGCTCTCATTTAACAGCTTGAAGTGCAGGTCTGTCGGGTAAAAAGGAACTAAACCCACGATCAGCGCCGGGCGTGTATCTGAAAATCTGCAGAAAAAAAAATCATGCTGTGTATTTTAAACATCATTATTTTATTTGTAACAAATGCAAAAAAAGTTTGATAGGGAAAGATACCTTAGGCACTCTACACTTTCTCTATTACGGTTACTGGTCACTTCGCTGACATATCAACTCGTAACAACCAATTTGCCAACACTATTAGTCAACTTGCAGATGTACCTTTGGTTAACTCTCAGACACCACCTTAATAATAAGTCCAAAACTTAACAAAAGAGGGTTGACCGGGTATGTCAGTTAAATGATTGTGGATGTTGGCAAGGTACTGACCACAGATGTCAGCGAAGTTACCAGTAGGTCACAAAGTTGAACATTCTTATCATCATTACTTGCACTACCGATATGCATCAAACCATTGGTCACCTTACATGGGCGCAACATTCAAAAACACATTCCCAATAAATTAACTTGCCTTTTCTTTACAGAATCCATAATGATTTTACTGGCTTTTCTTGTCATATCACAGAATAAATGAAAATAATACAGTTTCTGGCACTGCAAGAAATAAACAACACTAACCTTTTAATCTGTGTCAATATCTATTAATTGCTACTGTGTTAGCTTCTATTAACGCACAGAAGCCTTTCATGATAACTAGCCTTGCAAAAGTTGAGTCAGTCTACTAAACTAAAATTCATTGTTTTGATTCACCTTTTCAAACAATGAGATGACTGTTTTAGGAGCTACTGTCAAAGGGCCTCCTTTAGCAATAATGCACACTCGTTGAAGATGTTTTAATTCTCCAAGTGACAGTAAGAATGACTCATTGATCCTAAATGCTTTCTGTTGAAATCTAGGAAACAAAATAAGATTTTCCAACTATTATCAGCATGAAGTTCTAAACACTGTTAAGCCATTAAGGTCATGAGAATAAAAGAAATGATCACCAAATAAAGAAGCTCTTGATTATTTAATGAATTCTCCTTGTCTGCACCTTAGCAAATGTAAAGAGAACAATATGGAGAATGTGCATACTGATTTTAGGCTGTAAAGGGTGAAATAGGATTTAATGCCCCTTGCCCCAAAAACAAGAACAAGGAGGGACTGAAAACCTGAACCCCTAAAATGGCTTGCCTGCAAATTCCCTTGTTTTGTCAGGCAATCTGGCAAGAGTTGGACAAAGACATGTTAATTTATGCTTGTATATCTCCCAATGATCTTATGCTCCATCCTTGAATAGAAGTGTTTCAATAGATACATTTCCCTGTTGGTGGTAAAACTTTTACATAAGAGTTCACCTGAAATCTCGAAGTTGATGACAACAAGAAAGTGCCTGTTGCAGAAGTGCTACATTCCCTGAATGGCTGAGATTCTCAAGGTTTGCAAGGGATAGAAATTGAAGATTGCTGCAGTTCTGTGCGATGGTAACTAAGAATTTCAAACTTCCTTTTGTATATGGCACTAAAAAGTAGCAATTGAAATTATAGTATTATTAACTGAAAATCTTAAATGATCAGGTTACACTTTAATTAAGGATTTGCTTACTTGTGATATTACATTTGAAAATTTGGAAATAAAATTATCCTCAGGATGTCTACTAAAGACACCACATTAGATATTTCACATGATTATGAACCTACTTTAACATGATTAAGAACCTAGTGCTGTCCTAATGTTTTCTAAGCATGGTTTTAACATAGATTTTTGACAAATCCTTTTCAACTAACATTAAAACCAGGCTTTTAGACAGTATAAATTTTGGGTGAAGATTGAAATAAAGTTGAAAGCTCTGTAAATGTTAAGTCCTAAACTTTCATGCATTTACTATTTGGTACTTCATGTACCAGTGGCCTTTACATGCATAAATTGAGCAACAAAACAAATTAGTTCTTAGAGGTTTCCACTTAGAAGACTGTTGAGATCACTTCATGGGAATACACTATTAACAATTATCATTTTTTTCCAAGTTTGTGAATAATGGAAAAATATCTATTTTTATTAACACAATTGGCAGTAATGGTTCTATCTGATTGGCCAGTTTGCCATTGTTGATAAGAGCGCAGAGAACCCTGCTCACATCAATGTGTCATGCAATGCCTTTATCAGCTCTCAAACATGGATAACTTAAACATTTTGACAACGATATTCTGGTAAAAAACAAATCCACAGTGGCTAAGGTGTGGTCTGTGCTCTTTTGGACAACAATGTTCGTCATCACAATGGTCAAAATATTGTGGTCTCACAAGGCACAGCCAAGTTAGTCTGCAACATTTTGACCACTGCAATGAAAAATATCATGGTCAGTAAGAGTGCAGACCATGCTATGCCACTGTCGATTTGCTTTTTATCACTGACAATATCAACCTCAAAATTTGCAAACCCCAGAACTGATTAGCATGTTAATCAGTCCTGGGAGTTAAGGAGCTACACCTAATTTGAGTCCTATCTGAGGAACAAACCTGAAAGAGTAAGCCTTTGCAGGTGTTTCCAGTTGGCAATTGGCAGGAGACTGTCAAATGTACCCCTTCTTGCATCACATGTTGGTCTGGATGGTGAAAAAAAATGGTAATAGTAAGGATTAATGTTATCAAAAGCCTGCCATCACTAAACAAGCTGACAGGGTTTGCCTTGCAGGCATAATCATAGGAAAAGAAATGGTGCTCATATTTGGAATGCCAAAGAGTAAATATGAAAACAATTGAGTCAAGAGCTCTGTACATGGTGCTCACAAAGTATGCCTTTTCCATTTTCTAACCATGTGTTAGTGTGATTCTGAAATAAACAGCAACTTACTGGTACAAGGTTGGACGGTAGCTAAGCTCTCTGTCATGACGTGAGGGAAACCAAAGTTCAAAGTCTGTCATTCCAGTGCATTCTTGGGTAAGAAAAACAAAATGGTTCTGCAATTTGGTGGCTGGGTCAGTGCTTGACTGAGAGTTTTTAAGATTCTGTCCATGACATACTCTTCTGTTTGCCTTGAGTATACTTCCTTTAGAACTAGTCTTTGCACCTTCTGTGTCATCACTTGAGACTTGATGTGTCACACATGTGCAGAGGCTGAGAGAAACCAGATGGGTGAATTTTGAGATGACTTTGATGCAACTGTTTGATTCTTCCTGGGATGTTTGATCATAATGTACTCCATTGAGGTTCAACTCAGCCATTTTCGGACACAATAAAGCCAGTGATTCCAGTCCTTGAATCTTCAATAAAAATATATCAATTTGTCAAAAAATGACAATAGAAGCAGCATTAACACCTCACTTCCTCAAAAATGTATCTGTGATGAGAGTTTAATGATTAAGAAAATCAAATTTTTCCCTGAACTCCTAGAAGTGATTAACATGTTACTTCCTTGTACAAAATTCACACATTATTAGCAAATAAGTAATGAGAGTACTAATAAACTTGTTGGGTAGAAGTTATCATCTTGATCTCACACCAAATTCTCATATCCTTTCATACAAGGAAATGTGTGACAGCTAGAGGGGAGATAAACAATCAGATCTTGGGAGTTAAATTAAATCCTTTAACTCCCAAGATATAATTGTTAACTCTCCCTTTTAGCTGCTACACATCTCCTTGTAAATTAGTTGGAAGAATTGGCTGTTAGATTAAGATATAAACTTCTACCTGATAAGTTTGAGTATTCCCTTTACCTGTTTGCTAGATAATGTATTATTATTATAGGGAGAAGTTACATTTTAATCACTTCTGGGAGTTAAAGGGTTAAAGAGAAAACAGACTCACTGGTGTGAAGCAATCTGAGCAATTTTGTAAGTTGAGAATCTCCAAGTTTGGTGAAGAAGTTGCGATGATTTGAAGAAAATGGCCAGAAATGACAAAACCAGAAAGATTCAAATACACCAGTGCCTGCCACTGCATACTAAGAATTGTCATAAGACAATCTACATCATATTCGTTTAAAGCTAAGGCCCCCAACTTCAAGTTGACAATAGATGACCTGTTTTCCACAGTTTTCATAAATTTTTCACAAATGTCACGGTTTCTGTCAAGAAATTGAAAACTGGAGGGTACAATAAATGTATGGAGAGTTTCACTTTCCAACCCATGATTGATTGACTTCCTTGCTTCTCCAATAACACTGAGACCTGCAAAATCAATTTCTGTCTCTCTTCTGCAAAACTGGATTTCACTTCCTTCAATGGAAAGTTTGGGACAATGGGACCTGTAACTACCTGATGCATCAATCCACTGCAAGGTAAATGCCTTCAAATGAAGTTCACTGCAAATAATCGGAATTCCCTGATTCACAATGAGGGCGGTCACATAAATGTTTGGAAGCCGGATTGTCAGACTATCCAAACCTCTAAAAGCTTCTGAAAGTCCACTGCAGAAAGAGAGCAATAATCCATGGAATACCCCTAAGGTATATCCCTCCAAATGAGAGCCTATGGGTAAATCCTTTTCATTCATAGACCATGCAAGCGTTTTAAGGTTAGCATTGAGTTTTAAAAGAGAACAAAGTGTTTTTTTGGTAACACTACAACCAAGTAAGTTGAGAGATGTTAATTTTCGGCACTTTTGCAGTGTACTGGAAAGAAGAGCTCCTTTAATCCAATAGCATTCTTGTAGATTCAGCTCTTGTAGTGAGTGTTTAAACTTGCTGATGTAGTTGCAGATGAAACCGGAGGATAGATGTTGCTTCCCATGAAAGTTGACGCACCTGAAAACAAAAGATGCGCACAAAATTGAACTTACTGCTGTAATAGAAGTAAAAGTTAATTTATTAATTATGAGGAGTTTTGGTCCTCTCGAGCTACTTCGTTAGCGTTAAATAACCTGTGAAGTTGAGGGATTATTGCAAGTTTACGCCAGCAGCGGTTCACTCTTGACAAAGAAATAAGCTCCAATGGTTCAATGTTTTGAAATATCAAAAGCAACACTTCTTCCGGAAGATACTCCATCTTGGATTGTTTCGCTGAAAACAATACTTCACGTAATGGACATGTAATATCCTTAATAGTTTAGAAGTGTTTCTCCCAGATTCTCACGGTCATCATGGCGGCCTTGTCAAGCGAGGTGATCGCGCAAAGTTTTTCAATTACTAGCAAGCGCCGTTGTAAGGAAAAGTGATGTCTGTTGTTGCTCATGTTACTGATGCAGGTGAGCCACCTGAAGCCTGTAAAGTTGAAAATGTGAAAGACTGTTCAGTTCTTTCTCAAAACACTACATCTGATCCAGAAAATGAAGAGGCGATATTAATAGAGGAGGCAACAAGTGGTGTAGTCGAGAACAATGATGTCACACAGAAGATCAAAGTTCTTACGGAACATCAGATTTCTATGGATTTTGAGCACGATGTTAGTCGAAATGAATATGATCAAGATAAAACATGTGATAAAAACTTGTTAAACTCAAAATTGAGTGTTCAGAAAGAGGGCTCTAATTATGTTTGCGAGCTTAATAGTAGGAGCACTCAAGAACAAACGTCTCAAGATCAGGAAGAAATGGACGAGATCCGCGAGAACTATTTTCATCAAGAAGAAAAGGAAGGTGTTAATGATTCAAAACCAAAAAGTTGCGGCGAGGAAGCCGATGACACCATAGAAGGAATGGAATCAGATGATACTCACAGGTACCAAATGTTTTATTTGTCACTTATTTACCAGTCTTGTGTACTGCATCAATCAGTCCTGGCTCCGGAGAGCACTTTGATTGGTTGATAGCTATGTCATATCTCGTATTCTGTCTTGCTCTGTGTGACATGAAGTGATGAGGAGGAGTGCTACTCTTCAAGTGTGGTATGCTATTCAATAGCAGGTAACTTTCCCACCACCCACCACCCACCCCCCCTCCTCTTCTTGCAATTTATCATGAATCCCTGAAGGTTTTCCAATGCCCATCTAAAGGGGTAGATCTGGGCATACTTGAAAGGGAGGGGGGGGGGCTCTAAACTTTGATAAAATACTCCCTTACAAGTAGTAATATGTAAGAATTCTGGATTCAGACAAATAATGAAAAGAAAAAAAACCCACAGTTCCAATGGGGGAGGGGTGAGAGGGAGAAAGACTGAACCCTTCCCCTCCCAATCCTCCATTGCATTTATAGTCTACAACAGAGAAAGGCTCAAAGAGAGATGTTTTGATCCATGGTTTAGCATGGTGACCACCATGTTTCTCCTAAATTATACCCTCCATCAATGAATAACAAGAAATGATGAGTCAGTTCCTTTCCTTGAATAGAGCTACAATGAATTACAAAAGTAGATGAGACATGTTACCACAACAAGAGATAATTGATCTCCATGTGATCCAGCATAAGGTATCCCCCCATTTCCCCCTTTGCATTGTCAGTGGCGATTAAAGCAGTACCCCGTAAAAAACTTCAATTAACAACATTATATTGGGTAAGGGGCAGCTTTTAGTTTTTTTTTTGCACTAGATTTGTTACTGGCCATCTGGAAAAGTTGGTAAATGCACTTTTTCCTCAAGGTGTGTCAACATTTTTGCAACTAGTTGTAGCTTGGCTTTACCTGATTTTAGAAAGGAAAAAAATGCATTTTTTTCTCCTTCAGGTACTTTGCAGTTCATTATAACTTTAATATTGTACCACAACAAGTAACAGGAGCTTGGGAAGACTTCAGTAGCTCAGCTTCAAACTTTCTCAAGGGCTGCAAATGGTAAGCATGGTCAAGGGGAGAGGAATTCCATTCTAATGGTGTGATATACAGACAGTGCTCCTCAACTATTCTTGGACATTCTAAGTCCTATATGGATGTGTTGTATGATTCTTGAATAAAACTGAATGATATACTCTGAATTATTTAATCTTTGAAGCAATTAGTAGCTGGTATAGCTGTCAGTCTGAAGTGTATCTTGTTGTCCTTAGTGTTAATGCCAGTCTATCACAAATTAGTTAGGGGGATAAGTTGCTAAAGAAACTGTGGTGCTGCATCAGTGTGAGAGTATAACAAGGTAATTTAGTATTTTTTTAACTGAGGTGATAATGGAAATTGACCACCATAAAGAGTTTCAAAGCTGATGTTTCAAACTTCAGCCCTTTATCAGAGTGAATAGAGGAATTGTTGGTTGTGTGTGTGTTTATACACAGAAAATATAAACACACAGATAACCCACAATTCCTCCATTCACTCTGATGTAGGGCTGATACTTAAAACATCCACTTTGAAACTTGTTACAGTGGCCAATGTATGTTATCAACTCAGCTGATAATACTAAATTGCCCATCACAAATTAGATTGGTAACCCTTCAGTCTGTCATGCAGTTTTTTTTTAGCAATTTGCTGATATCCAATTATACTTTCAGGTAGAGAGAGGCATTTTGAGATAAAAATTTATCATCTAAAAACACGATGCTGTTATTAGGTTAGGGTTGAGTTTGATCAACAGCTGCCATGTGGAAAATGAGCTTGTGCTCCTCCCCCAAAAAGAGGGTGGAATGAAGAGTGCACTCAAGGGAGTTGTAGAAATTTGGTTGGAACAGAACTCCAGCCTGCACCCAGTGATCCTGAGTCTATGTCTTTTTATGATAATTATTCAGCCATTACATATATCTCCCTAATTTACTGTGTTCTTATTTTCATTTTTGTGTTCTTATCTAAGGTCTCCTGATGGTGCGTGTTTACTGACAAACAGTGATGACAACACCCTCAGGATATTTAACCTTCCTACAGAATTGTACAGTGGGAATGCTGTGCAAGGTTTATCAGAAATGGTATTTAATAATATGTTATTTTTGTCTTTATATGGATATAAGTTGTTCTCAACAATGACACAACTTACACTTACTTTTCCACAGCCAAAGTATACATATTACATACATATATTTTTTTTATTTATTATTATGAATACAAGTTGTTCTCAACAATGAAACAACTGATACTTACTTTTCCACAGCCAAAATATACATACATACATATATTTTTTTGATTTTTAATGAATAAACCCCTTTCTAGGAAAAGTATTTTTAGTAGTGGTGGTAAAAAAATTATTGTGTATTAACTGCTTTGCTTTATACCTTATATAAAACTTTGGAAATTAATCACAATAATTATTGTTGAATAATGAAAACATACCCACTTGACATTCTTGTTTTTCTTTAAGGTATCAGTGTTACAAATGCAGGAGGGAGAGACAGTTTATGACTACTGTTGGTATCCATTTATGTCATCCCTTGATCCTGACACTTGCTGGTATGATTCTAGTCACTTGAAAGCATGACATAAGTATGAGTCAGAATGCATGTCAGGGAGCCTTGTTTCCTATAGGGAAAAATGTTAGTGGTTATTGTCTAAATTAATTTGTTTCAATTCATAATTAGGATTTTCTTGATTATGTACTTTTCTTTGCATGTGTAAGAGGTAATGCTTTGTGAGGGTGGGTTGGGGTGCACAGTCAGATTGAAATTTTCATAGATGGATCTGAGGCCCTCATGAGGTGTACCTCAAGATGTATGGTTAATAAAATTTATCCACCCTATTCAAGTGAACCAAAGGCCTAGGATATACCAGCTAACTTTTTTTATTCAAAGGCACGAGATTTCTATCCACAATGTTAACAACTGATATTATTATTCTGATATTATTTGTGTGTTTATATAAGTTAAACACACTTTTCTAAAGATTTCTCTCAATTAAGGCTTTGATAGTTCAACTATTCTGCTGAGTCTTCAGCAAGTCAATCAGCCATCACAAGCTATTTTGGAACCAAAGTTTGCAATCTTGGGGGTCTACAATGTTCTTGCTAAGATGAGACAGTTGCCTTATAAAGCCTTTAGTCTTGATTTTATGTAAACATAAAACTCAGGTTTACAGCTCTGAATAAATTAGATCTTGATAATTATGTCATCACAGTTTCCTGAGCAGCAGCCGTGACCATCCTCTCCACATGTGGGATGCTTTTACAGGAGCAATAAGATGCACCTACAGAACTTACAATCACTTGGTAAATGATAGTTCATGTCAATAACTATTTCCTCTGTTAAATGAGGAAAGGGGGTAATTTTCTAAAGCAACTGTGGTGCTGTGTTGGTGAGAGAGTATAAAAGGGGAAATTTAGTATAATCAACTGAGTTGATAACATAAATTGGCCACCATTAAGAGTTTGAAAGCAACATGTAACTCTGGAAAAGTCTGCTTTGAAACTCTTGCATTGTCCCCTTTGTAAAATTGATAGTACTTGAACATAGCATTTTTTGAGAAAAAATTGATGTATTAAAATCTATAATTTCTTTCTCCCTTGGTATTTCAATTGAGACAAATAAAAGGTTATGTTTTTATCATTTAAATTTTTTCTGCTAGGATGAGGTGGTTTCAGCAAATTGTGTGTCATTCAACCTGGATGGCAGTCAAATCTATTGCGGCTTCAACAAGATGGTCAGAGTTTTTGATACAACAAGACCTGGGAGAGACTTTCAGGAAAGACAAACCACAGGTCTATACTGTGTATTGTATTTTAGTCACTGTCAGTGACAACTTTGTTTAGCAATGTATAGTGTAATATAACCTTACTTATACCAAGATTCTTGATAGAGAAAAAAGTGGTTGTATCATTTTAGTGAAGTTCTGCAATGATGTGAAGCCTTCAAGAGCTTTTTAGGGAGCACTTTGGTTTAGGGTCTATTTGTTATTAAACTCTTGCTCATGGTGTGTTGAAAGACTTCTATTAAAAAGCATTTTGGAACTCAGATTCTCTGCTGAAGGCTACTGACACCTTTAGATCAGATTTTCCATACTGAAAATGCATAAATATAATGCCATTTTTTGCAGTTAAAAAGGAAGGCCAGGGTGGAATCATCTCCTGTATTGCATTCAGTCCTGACAGTTCTGGAATGTATGCTTTGGGATCTTACTCAAAGTCAGGTACTATGATTTTATGAAAAAATGAAATTACAGGCTGGAATGAATTGTCTGAGTAAGGAAACTTGCCTTTAAGTGTAATCCCAGGCATAGGTAATAATTATTCATTTCAAATAATCAAAAGTTTTTTCCTTGTTTGCCAGTTGGTGTTTACTCCGATACAGATGGTGAGCTAATTTTTCTACTCCAAGGACAGCAGGGTGGAATCACCCATGTTATGTTCTCTCCTGATGGGACAAAGATCTACAGTGGTGGCAGGAAGGTACTGATTAGTTTGCCCTTAAATGTTAACTTGTTGTCCATTTTCCACATACACACCCAATAAAATAGCATAATTAGAAATGTAAACATGTTCTATTTCTTCCATGCACCTGTTTATTTCCACAGGATAATGAAATTCTTTGTTGGGATGTAAGAAATCCTGGAAAAGTTCTGTACTCCATGATACGCTCAGTGGATACAAATCAGAGAGTTTATTTTGACATTGACAGGTACCATCATAATAATAATCTTGACAAAGTGTAAGAATATCTTGCTTCTTGTTTCCTAGATCTTGCTCAGCTGTTTCCCACCTGTAGTGAATGCACTGGTAAATTTCTAGACAGTTACTCGTACCATACAATTTATTCAAAACCAGTGGTTTCTGAAACATGATTAACTTACATTACACTACAACCAACTACCAACAACAATAACTATGATTACAAAGTGAAACATCAAACAGCAAAGACAAAGCAAAACGTACCTGATGGTTTGGATGAAGAGAGTACATGAAATGCTGCAAAGAAACAATGAAAGGACCACAAACTGAATAACATACTGTTCTTTTTCATGCCAAAATTTAAATATATACATACGGGTGTAGGGACTGAAGCCTAGTTGGAAGGTAAACCGCTGCCCCTGAATTTGTTGTTACTCCACCCTTTCATAGCAAAACATCCTCACTAAGACATAAACAGACTTCAGCAACACCTTGCACTCAAATGGTTTGAATTCAAACTGGTACCCAAGCTAAATGAAATCAGAGAGGCTGATGATGAAAGTGGCAGCTGTTTGTGATCTGCAGGTTGTGCTTCCTGCCCTTTGGGTTGTATTTGAGGGCATTGTGCATGTATAGTCAGGTTACTGAGTTTGTTTCAAAATGGTGCCTTATATAGCTGAATTATTACCACATTTAAAGACAATTCTTGAAAGGTTAAGGTACTCGACTTTGGAATACCAATATTGGATGAAAAGACTTGTTTCTTTGGATATGTGATAATGGCAGAGAAAACAAATTTAGTGTTTCTGCAGCATATCTCTTGTTTATCATTTTTACTTTCTGCGGTTTCCTTACCTGTCTCCTGACCCCATCCCTTCCCCCCCCCCCCCACTTGTTCTCCTCATTCTGAACCTTGTTTGAAAATTTTTTGATACAGATCTGGGCAATACATAATTTCTGGAAATGGTGATGGTATTGTCACTGTCTGGGATTCAACTACTTCCCCAGTTGATGATAGCTCAACAACAGAAGCTATATTACAACCTGTCATGACATTTGTTGGACATGGAGACTTGATAAATGGAGCCTGGTATCTATTGATTTTAAATACTTCCAAATTGATAATCATTACAAACATGATCCTTTGTACCAACTGTAGATATCCTAGAGTAAAATTGATACAAGTTTTGGCAGGTTTTTTTTTTTTTTTTCCAATTTCATTGCATTTTTCAGGCCAAAAAAAGGTGGTGATATTAAATAAATGAAACTTTGGAAAGCATGCAAATAGAGGATGCCTTTTAAAGTTTTTATTTATTTTTTTTTAAATTTAAAAAGTGGTTTTAATTTTCAGCAATTCTTTTGGTTAGAGGTTTACTTCAATCTATCAATTGAAATTGTTTTCCTTTTTAACAGTTTCCATCCCAGTCTCCCTCTTCTGGCCACAACCTCAGGACAACGTCACTTTGAAGAGCCTGGGAATGACAGTGATGATGAAAATGCAATAGACCAAGAAATGAAGATTCAAGGTGATAACTCACTGCGAATCTGGGCAGCTGGTGAACAGGAAGTGACTGTTGAAGTGGGTTAACAAATTAATAGAGTACCACGGGTAATGTCAGTAAATAATGTCTCTTTTCAAGGGAGCATACACAGTATGGTATGATATGGATATGGATGTACAAGGAGTGCTTTAAGGTGACAATGGAAGGAAAAAGATAGGGAAATAATGACGAGTAGTACAAATTTGTGACCAAAGGGACTAACATGTCTCATGGTGGATCTCAAGTTGACTTAACCAAACATGAAAGCATACTAAAACAGATGGCTTCACAGCATTGTCTAGTGAAAACTTTGACAAAAAAAATGTTAGGCTGAGTGAGGAAATTACCATAACCTTCCTTGCATCAAACATTTCCCCAAGGACTAAAGAAATAAAATTTTGTTTCTGTATTATCAAGGACATCAGGTAGAGTGGTGTAGGTTCATGATTATATACTGCTATTGTTATTGTAATAAATACTCAAACAACGAAAAGAGACTAAAGGATTTTTTGATATTACAACGAAGTACATAAAACTATTTGTTTCTGTTGGTTAATACTCTTGGTAGAACATCAGTTGTACTTAATATAAATTGTCAAATTCTTGGTTTTATTCTAAGAGGCTCCCTAACCCTTTCAATTCTAAGATCAAGACATCACTTCTCTTTATTGCCTGCGGTACATTTTCTTTCACTTCTTACTCTAAGAACTTTTTATGTAATCAAACATGACACTTGCAATTGGTGTATTTTTTTCTCTCTTCTCATCACCATACTGTTTCAAAATATATTGATATCAAAAGGCGAAATTCCTTTTGATCATGTTGGAAAATGAAAGGGATAACTGTATTAAGAATTGTAAAAATTTGTGTCAGCTTCCAAGCTCTAATTCTTGGATTTCCTTTATGAGTGATGCCTCTGCTGCCATCTTATCAAGCTGTAAGAAGTCAAAGGAAACTGTAGTCAGTTGTTATTAAAAAATTATAAAATAACTACATTAATGCAGTGACATTTTCAGCCAATGTAGAGTTGTCCATGGGGAGGATGAAGATCCATAAGGGCTAAAACCTGAATACCTTTCATAAAAACCATCATTCAAGTGCCTCAAGTTATTCTGCTTACTTTGATAATATTTTATTCAATAATCTATCCCATAATCCATAGCAGACCTGATTTTTTTCCAGTGTTTTTCCAGATCTCTGTTGCTCCTTCAGGTCTTCAATCTGACGCAATTTCTGAGCAGAAAATGAAGTTAAAAAAGATTCAGCAATCATTATGAGGGTTGTATTCCCAAAAATTGGTCAAGGACCCTATTCAGAAGTGGCAGCAATTTTTTACTTCTTTTTTTTTTTCATTGTAAATAATTGTATTATACAAACCACAGAAAATAATACCAATTCAATCGATTCTGATGTATGAGAGTATTCTTCACTACTTTCTGTCATAGCCTGGACCTCCTATTAAGATGAGTAACCTACTTGTAGGTAAATTTAGACAGGTAGACAATATTGATGATCATTATGAAATTATTATTGTGTCTAATATGGAAATCTTCATTGATTGATTGATTCCCATTTTTGGTGATGTGTTTGTTCAAATTTTTTTGTTGAAGGTATTCTTTTTGATTAATTGACAACACAGAACACATTTTAGTGATTTTGTGTTTTCTTGTGTTGGCTGTGGGATAAAGTGATATTTTACCTTTTTCAAATTTCTTAGCTTCTTTTCTTTCTCTGGTGGAAGAGTTGTATCAGCTACTGGTGGTGATGCTGGTGATGATGGAGGAAGTTTTGACCTCACTGCCTGAAACATTAATATCCAAGCTTGATGTTGTTGAACAGTTGTATATGTTGTGCCCCCAATGATGATTGTATGCCTTGCTACCCAAACTAAAAAACTGGCAGGCATATGGACAAATAGATCAAAGGAAGGACAGGAAGAGGGAGGTGGACAGACAGAGAAGCAGACAGACAAGCAGATAGACAGGAAGACAGACAGACAGAGAGGTAGACAGACCAACAGACAGACAGAGAGGCTGAAAGAGGCAGATAGACAAACAAACAAGCAGATAGAAAGACAGGCAGATAGACAAACAGATAGAGAGGCAGACAGACCAACAAACAGATGGACAGAAAGAGAGGCTGACATATGCAGACAGACAAACAGAAAGGCAGATGGACAGACAAGTAGAGAAGCAGACAGACAGAAAAACAGACAGGCTCACTTCTTAGCCAACCAAAAAGATGACATGTAAATTGGCAAATGTACACTTAGATAGAGAAGGAGCAGGGTTAACAGATTGACTAATTGCCTGACTGAACTACTATACATGATAAATGTACAGATGGAGATTCACAAAGATGTCTTGTCCATCAGTTGTACTTCATTTCAGCATTTTAATTCACTTTTATCCATGATGTGACTGATGAATGGAAAAATGATCACCTCAATTGGGGTTTGAATTAATAACTGATCAGGATTAAGGGGATTTTCAGGGCTCATCTGGTCAGTGTTTATAGCAGTTGTGAAATGCTGAAGTTGGACAGACTACCTCCTGAGTAGCAACTTCCTGTTCTTGCTTTGCTCTTGCTTTGGCCTCTCTTTTTTTCTTATTTTTAGCTGCTGATTTTGAGATTTCCTGGCCTTCCTTTGGCTTCATATTTTCTGCAGGTTCATTCTCATGCTGAAATGAAATTAAGAATTCAAAATAAATATTCTGCTCTCAAGCTTAACAGCCCACTCCATAGGCCAGAATATATACCGCTTTCCATAATGTAAAGATATTAAGAGTATTGTTGCTAGTCCCATGGTCCATTGCAGGTTACTTCCCACCACCCCACCCTACCTCACCCACATTTCTTCAGGTTTCCCTGAATGTTTGCCAGTATCCATCTATACTCCTTGGTGTGGAGAGAGGCTCTGAGAGAGTTTGACCCTTTACTTCCAAACATCAGTGTGTATATTCTCCATACTGTTCTCTATACATTTTTTAAGGTGCAGACAAGGAGAATTAGCTTAATGATCCAGAGCTTCTGTAGTTGTTGATAATTTCGATTATTCTCATGACTTTCGTGTGTGATTCAGTGGTGATATTGTAAGGAGAAATTAGATGTTAGTCATTCTTAGGGATTAAAGCTTTTGACCCAGAGTCCACCATATTAACCATGATGTCACCATGTCTCCCACACTATTATCAACCCTTTACACCCTAACATCAATATCTATTTTCTCTATACTCTTCTCTATACATTTCCTCTAGTACTGACAAGGAGAATTTGTTTAGCAATCAAAGCTTCTTTGGTTGGTGATCATTTCCTTTATTCTCATAATCTTAATGAATGATTCAGCTGTATTACTGCAGGAGAAATTAGGTGCTAATCACTCTCGGGGTTTAAAAGGGTTAATGATAGAATAATCACAACATGGAGATCTCTTCAAAGATATTCAGACTAGAACAAATTGTCTCACCACTTTTACTGAAGGTGCCAATCCTCTGAGACCAGGAGGTCGATAAACATCTTTAGCTGGAGAGATAAATACCTGGATGTAATATATATACTTAACCCTTTCACTCCCACAATCTGATAGTCAATTCTCCCCTCTATCCACCACACATTTCCTTGTAAATAAGTTATGAGAATTTGGTGTTAGATTGAGATAACAACTTTACCTGATAAGTTTGAATATTCTCATGACCTGTTTGCTGGATAATGTTCTGATATTATAGGGAGAAGTTACATGTTAATCACTTTTGGGAGTTAAAGGGTTAACACTTGATTTGGCACAATTGTCAGTTTTATTGTGAAGGTTTTATAAAATCTAAGATGACATATTTAATTTTTTCACACTGACTTTTCTGTTGTTCTTGTGTCGTGGCAGACACCGCAGCACTGTAGTCAATAGTTGGCTCCTTAAACTTTCCATCTGGAACAGGTTGCCACTTAACCTGCCAAAAAAAATTGACATAAGAATCCAAAAAAATTAAGAGGATTCAGTGTTTTTTCAATTGCATAAATCATGGCGTACATTAACAGTGAAAGATGTTTTACCTCCCAAAGTTCACTAACTCTTCTTTCATCTAACAGCTTTCCTGTATAATGCCACAGTTTGTACCTGAAAATAAACAGCGGTTGAAGACAAGTGGAAAAGTACAATTTAGGCTAAGTTAGATAACAACATCACAAAAATGTTAGCTAAAGGGCACATAAAATCAATTGTTTGAACTCAACAACAGTATCAGTGAGATCCTGTTTTGGAACAGTTAACCCTTAAATTCAAACTTACCCATTTCCTTCTCTGAGCCTTGGAGATGTTGTTGCAGTCAAAATATGTTCACCATCTGGACACCATTCAAAGTATGTAGAGTCACTTGCCTGTAAAATGAACATTGCCAAGGAGGTAACTATGGGTTACATGTTTATCAACAGGAGTAGTGAGAGCAGAGCAAACAAGGATAAACACAGATTGTCAATCTCAGATTAAAATTCTATATATATATAAAAAAAAAAAAGAAATCAATGAAAAGTTGAATGATAATTCTTTTCCTAAATCAAAATTACCTGAGGTTTGCTAATTAGCTTAAAATCTTTTCTACTCCACATTTCCTGGCAAAGAAAAAGAGAGAAAAACATTCATCCAAGAAATGCCTCTTTTCTCTAACTTTTTATTATTCTGTAACTGACAAGAAATTCAGAATAAAATTTTAAAAATTGTTTTCTAAAAACTTAGACACTGGTTTTACCCCAGTTCTGTAGTTGCTATTAACTTTACAAAGACTACATGATCAACTTACCAACTGGCCTCTAAGATTTCCAAACCCAGCCAGGCAGATAAGTATGATAAGTTAAGACCAGCAACAAAAGGTATCATCAAACAACTTTAATTAAATTCAGAATGAATGCAAAGGGTGGTAGCACTCTTCTGTTTGTCCAGGATTGATGGTCAGACTCAGTTTCAATTTGACATTTAAGAAAGACAAAGTAAGGACTCAGGAAAGCCACATAACAGCTGCAGCAATAATTTTTAACTTAGTAACAATAATTATGGCCTATAGTAGTTATGTTAAAAATTGTCAAATAGAAATATCAATTCAAAATTACAGATTTTCCAGATATTCTGGAGAGCATGTCTCTTTTAAGGATATTATTTCCATGAGGGTTGTAAAAGACGTCGTTACGTGGTCCAGTCCCAAAGTCAAACAAGGATTCACATTTTATATTAAATAATGTTGCCTTGGCTGGCATGACTGATTCAGAAGTAAAAATCAAACAACATCAAGTCAAGGAAGATAAATTAAAAAACAACAACAACAATAATAATAACAAAACAAGCACTGAAGTCATATATCAAAATAATTTGTCATCTGATTCTTAATACAAATAACAAGCAATAAATTAAAGAATTTTAAAAAGTGAAAAGTGTAAACTGATTTCCACTGACTGAGGAACAAAAGAAGTGGAACATTTTTCTTACACATATCTGGGAGTCTGGGTGCCAATGTGCAGGGGTCTAGTCACATAATTAGTTGTAATTGACCAGTTTTTCTGTTGCTGTTTGCAGTTGCCTGACCTCCAACCTACCCATCCTTCAACCTGGGTAGTTTTAATGTCAACATCAATTACTTCTCTCTTTTCATTGTTGCAAAGCCTTGGTCAGCCAAGAGTTTTCTTTGTGGCAGTTAGTTGCTCAGTGGCTAGTTTGTTCAAGTGTGCCATGGCACTGAAGTCTGAAGAATTCATTCAGTGGTAAAGAAATTCTAGAAAGAAAAGGATACAGCCATACACCACACAGAATTCCTTTGAGTTTGGACTCCATTGAACTGAGTATATTGGTCCTCTTTTAGCTGATTTAGTAAAACAATTGATATGCATAAACTTAAACAATTCCTACACAGTACAATTAATTGAAATAATTGTATAGTAAAATTATGCCAGTCCTTAAGAGATTACTACCTATGATTTGTCCAATAGGTTTTTTGGTAAATGCTAGCGGCAACTGTTGATATGGATGCTCTATTAATGCCATTTTTTAAAATTGCATTTGACATCCTTGCTGCATGCAAATTCACACATGATTGGCAAAAGCGTTTTCAACAACTCTCACTCTGTAAAATAAATATAAATTAATTTAATAAATTACCTAACTGCACCATACTGCTTTCTCCAGAAGTACTGATATAATGCAGTGTTTGTTCACCATAATACGAGGCACCTGTTGTGTCAACATCTGTTGTTGTTACAACAAGCACAGCAGAGCCTAAGAAAAAAGAAGACAGTCAGATGCAATGCTGTAATAAATGTGAACTGTTTATTCTCAGCTTGCCTTATTTACAATAAACTGAATAACTTGATAATCATGATGAAATGCCCACCAAAAAAAACATAGAATCAGAAAAAAAAAAGGAAAAAGAAAATAGGAAACAGTTATTTTAAGCTCATTCACAATGAATGAACCAGCTTCCACCATCCTATAATTTAATGCATAAAATACAGCACAAACCTTTCTTGTTCCACATCAATTTCACTCTATCTGCCTTGAAAAAGCTTTTATTGGCTAGAACAGAAGCAGGATTGTCAAAATTTGGGTGTCTAAATAATCGCACATACGATGGTGCACCCTGATGAGATAAAAACAGATGTTTAGTTATGTACCAGCAATTTATTTTTTTATTTGCACAGAAGAATTCCCAGCAACTAAAATTCCTTAATTTGATGTTTTTAACAGTTCAAAATGTGCAGAATTCAGAGACAAAACACAGCACACCCACCTTTGAACCAGGAACATAAGCTGCCACAGTAAATGGAGGGGGACCTGGAGAGAGCTCAAAATCTGAGATTCCTTGAAGCCTCAGTTTGGTTGCAATTGAAGCTACAAAACATGATAAACAAAACAACACAGCTTAGTTGTCAGATAAGAAAAGATAGTAAGGGGGGTGTAAAACAAATCAGAGTTCCTCCACCAGTTTTTACAGGTCAGTGCTCTACCACTGAGCTTCAAATATCTCGCTGTGTACCAGATTCATATATAACAATCATACTGCATACTACTAAGGGTGAACATTTCTGAAAGCATCATATGTAAATTACATAGAACAAGAAAAATGGTAAAACTGTGACTTATGTAATCCAATAAAGTAAGATGTTGCTTATTTTGTGATGAGTATGAAACAAAGACAAAATATTCTTAAGAAAACACACAGATAATCAAACTTTCAAAACTCAACTCAGTCTAAAGATTTTATATCTATGATCAGTTTTTAAGGTTGTTCCCCAAAACTGATTTTGTGCTGAACTAATGTGTACTTACTGAAATCTGCTTCGTGAAAGCAGTGAATCTCATTGTTAACAGATCGAGCACAGACTGACTCATCTTCACTCCACTTTGGTTGCCTGGTAAAGAAGCAATGATTGGTGCTTAAGCTTCACTATAACTTTCATTGAGAAGTATGAATAACCAAGCAGACTACTCAAGGCATAATAATATTGATGTTGATCAGAACTTGCAAGAACACTGATCAGGGAAGATTACAAAAATTGAATGTTCCCCTGCATCTTAAATGATTTCCTTCACAATTGTCATAGTCAACTAATTTACAGAGTCAATAATCCTTGGAAACCTTCCTTTGTGACAAAATTATCTTTAAAAAACTTGGCCCATCAATTTTGGAAACCTGTAAACAAACACTTATGCCTTTTTGCCCCAACCATTCTACCAAGAAAAGGATTCATTCATGCTTAGAGAAGTGTGGTTTTAATCAGTCTTCATATACTAGTTATTAAATAACATACATGAACAGGCATTTCTGCCAGGTTTTTTCTTATATATACCAGGGAACCCAGAAATTAATTTGAAACATACAATAACCTATCTGTAAACTTTGTTTATCTAAATAAACTGTTAAAATCAGTGAAGTTACTGGCAAAAGAAAAATTAAAGAAAGAACTCCAGAAAGCTGGAAAGACCAAATCCTGTAAAACTAACCAAGTGTCCTTCTTCTTCTGTGAAAATCCAGCAACTAATCTTCCAGCCTGAAGATTCCAGATTTCAAGGTTGTTTACTCCTGCAGACTGATCTTTACTTGCTGTTTCGCATGAAAATAATAACAAAATCAGTTCAGCAATGCCCACAATTTAACCTTACCAATGAAAGAAAAGAGACTTGCAAAGCATAATTTTCCAAAAAAATTACTTTAAGGAATGAAAAAAAAGAGACATAGGCAAATGGGTGTTACCTTGATACAAGACCAACTTTTCAAAATAGGCTGATTGGAAATCACCATCATGATAATACTATTTTATACTATCAGGGTGTAATTCAAGTCTTTAGCTTTGTGCCTGAAAGCAATTCAGGGCCATGTTCGACGGCTAGAGGATAGCATTCCGTATGTTCAAGAAATCTTTGAAGCATCAATAATTTATAGTAAATCAGGTGGGGCAAATGGAAGACATAGTCAGAATGGCTCAATATCAGTATCTGGGCAACTGCTCACCTACCCCTCCCCTAACTCAACAACAGTCCATTGACAACAACTCAAGGTTAATGTTGAGTTAGGAGAGGGGTAGGTGGGCAGTTGCCCAGATACTGATATTGATCCGTATGAATCAAGGTAAAGTAAAGGGAAAAGTTTGGCCACTGCAACTAACCTGTGTACTGTTCCCATATTGACAGGTGAGTGGCTTTAGGAGAGAAGTCCAAACACTGAGTTTTCTCTTTAGGAATACGGCATACTAAACTGAACTTGGACGTGTCTACAACTATTACACTGCAAAATAATAATTAAGTATCAAAAACAAATAAAAAGATCTCTTAAAAGACAATCAGATTGGGAAACAGACTGGCTGAAAGACAAATTACCAATGAAACTAAATCAAAATTTATGAGTTATTTATTTATCCATTGGAGACATTATCTGCTCTTTAAACAACTAGGCCCTAGGGTAAATAGGTACCAACAAAATGTTAGGGAGGCCTGATGAAATTTTGGGCAGGAGGGGAGGGCTAATGGTGGCATCCCATCCAGGGGCCAGGGGGAGTAGTGATAAGCCTAGTCACTTAATGCTGAGAAAATGGAGATACACTCTTACTGGATTGGGGGGAGGGACAGGGGCTAACCTTGCAGTAGACTGACATCCCATCCAGGGGCCAGGGGGAGTAGTGATACACCTAGTCACTTAATGCTGAGGAAACTGAGATAAGCTCTGGCTGGATTGAGGGTACAGAGAGGGGCTAACCTTGCAATAGACTGACATCCCATCCAGGGGCCAGGGGGAGTAGTGATACACCTAGTCACTTAATGCTGAGGAAACTGAGATAAGCTCTGGCTGGACTGGCCTCTTGGCTCAGGTAAAAACTTAACCCTTTCTTTTTAATCCAAAAAAAAAATTGTACCAGGCAAGTGAGAAGCAATACAATTTATTTTAATTTCTACTTACATGGTACTTACACCAAACTATGATTACCTAAAGACAATTTCCTGTGGTATCTGTTAATCTCCTTCACCATCCCTTTCAATGGTAATTGTTTTAACATGTGACAAAAGGAAAATAATACTCAAGAAAACGATCTTTACCTTTGGCCATTACACCAAGTAAAGAGAGACCCATCAGGACTAAAGGTCATTGCCCTGCATCGAGGAGAGTTGTCACTAAAATAAACAAATGAGAAATGCTTACAACTCAGCGCAAGAAGAGGTTATGAATTCTGTACTCAAGAACGGGAGGTCACGCATGAAGTTTTAATTTTTTATTCCTCTCAAGGAAATAAGCAGAAACACTTTTGCAAGATAAAAGCTGACATTTTTCCTTTTACATAGCCTTTGGTGGATTTCCTCTTTCAGGTAAAAAACGAGGTTATGACCATATTTAGTCACGAGGCCCATTTAATTTCATTCAAGAGAAACACCACACTCGCATTTAATTTTACAGTTCGATCAGAGCTGTACATTTGGTTCGCCAATGCAGTGGCGCTTCGGAATTTTTGTGTATATCGATGAGAAAATCTAAAAGATCTGTCCAATTGCAAACCGAGCCTTATCTTGGATAGAAAATACTTGCTGTAACCAGCAGGTAAGCTGTTGAGTTGTTGTAGCTTACCTTCCAAAGTCCTCGTGTTGCCTAAACTTTGGCGGGCCATGAACAATAGATATTCCGTCCGATCCTCTGACTGAAATGAAAAAAAACATTTCTGATGAAATCACTCTGATTTTACATAGCTATATAATTTAATTTCAAGATATTTTCCCGAGAAATTTTGTGAAAACTTTTTTTACCCGCAAAAAGAGCTCTCGTGGCCGCCATGTTAGCCCTAGCTCGACGAGAGAAATTGGAAACGAACCTTTTTGAGAACGAGGTCATTGGTGTCCAGTTTTTTTCGGAAAGTCACGCGATGAAGGAAGTGGAGCTATGTGGCAGTGAACGTCGAGATGAATAAGAATTTCATGATCGGATGAATATAATGGAAGCTTGTGGATTGGGAATTTTATGTTGCTTGAGGCGATATCATCAACCCAGGAATTCACAGCCCAGAGAGCTTCCTCAAGTGCAGCTAGACACAGGGCATATGGGTGAGTGATTGCAACACCGAGTGATTTGTGAAAGAGCTTGCCTGTTTTCACACTAGCACATATGAATTTATCGCTTGAGTAATTCTATTGGATTTGTTTTAGGAAATGAGGTCGTCATTGTGAAATCCGGTAAAAGAATATGCGGCTCTGGGGCAGCTTTAGCGAATGCGGCGATCCTTCAAAATAAATGCTACTTTGAGATGAAAATACAATCTGGAGGTGCGTTACTTTGGAATGTTACTTTGCGATCAATATATAATACTCTCGATTTCTCAGCCGCAAAAATTATATAGTTTTTATCCTAAACTTACATACATGCCCCTTCTTTCCTATCGTTTCTTATGTGTAATAATTTTAAAAAATTCAAAATTACGAACTTGTCGATCGGCTCAACTAAAATCCGCTGATTTAGACGGGTTACACAAAATGTTTGTTTCAAAGGATCATTTAGCGAACTAAGGAAACGATATTTGTCAAGTTTAGAGTAATTCATGTTGGTCAAAATCAGTTGGTTTTTGAGCAAAATCAGATAAAATTTCCGCACAGCCCCATACTACATTATGCATTCAGTTCTCGGATAGAGAAAACAATGACAAAAACAATACACTGCCACTGGGAAAATAGATTTGTTTGACTATAGTATAGCGTTGTGCGGAAATTTTACCCATGTTTTTGATACAGATAAGTGACTTGACTCCTTATATTGAGGGCATGTGCACCAATTGTCACTCTAAATCATGTAAATTTGTATAAACTAACCACATCTGTGATGGAATATTATCACTTTTATCTAAATAATTGTAAATTCGTTAATATTTCAAATATCAGTTTTTCTTGGAACTAAGTGATATTAAATTAATAAATAGTGCAGATTTTCTTCAGATTCTTATTATAGACCTTCCCAATTTTCAAAATGATTATAAATTTTTAAATAGACTTTTAACACTGGTAGCATCCCTGTTTTAATTTTCTTTTTATTTTGTGTTTGAAATGTTCTTTTAGGGTCCACAATTAGCTAACATATAGCTAAATACTCTGACACTTAAATAAAGTTAATTGACAAGTTTTTGATTGAAGTGGAAGTCTCCAATACCCACCTAATCCTACAAGAGCAATGGAAAATGAAAAAAGTGCACCTTGCGGGTCATGACTGATTTATACATGTATGCTATATATTATCTGACATTCACTTTTTACTTCCTATTGGTGTATAAAATATAATATGCATTTTGACTTTTTTACCTGTTATGGACCTGTTCAGATGGAGCTGGGAGACCCCTGGTAGGTGGGGTAACCTACCTGTCTATATAGTCTGTAATTTTATCTAAAACATTGCTTGATAGGTTGGGTAACCCCAACCAGGTGGGTTGCCTGGTTGCTGGGTAGGGTAACCCAGTCAGCCACATCACAATCTGCTATGTAAACTTCTCAAGGTGGGGTAACCCGCCTAGTGGGAGTCAAGTTCAAGTTATATTTACAAACATGCCAAGAACCTCACTGGGTGATCCTAGGGTTGTAAGATTATATGTAAAAGTAGGCTATTTTTCAATCATGGCTATGTGGGTTACCTAATCTACCTAGGGTCCCTCACCTTCACGTAAAGAGGCTCTAAATGTCAGAGTACAGACACATGCCTGTTAAATGAAATTATCAGAAGGACTATGTTAAGTTGTATTTCTTTTTGTTAGGTGCATGGGGTGTTGGACTTGCAACCAAAAGATGTGATTTAAACAAGATACCATTAGGAAATAATTCAGAAAGTTGGGTCCTTAGGTCTGATGGCACTGTAGCTCACAATGGAACTGTAAGACACAGACTGAGAGAAATACCAGAAGAAGGAGACATGATTGTAAGTCTGTCTGTAAACTAATTCATGATACTCAGGGGGGGGGGGGGGGCCAGGGTGGTTTTTGGGTGCTCCTGTCCTCCCCTTTCCTCCTTGTGTGTTTTTTTTTGTTTTTTTTTTCAAGTCAGTAACATACAAATCTTATAATTTGAGTTTGCAAAGAGGTGTCAATTGCAAGAATTTATGTGGCATTAATTTTTCACTTGTGCTTGGTTCCCCTTATTTGTCAATTCATCTTACTGCATCAATATGAGCCTGCTGAAGAAGAAAAGTAGTATAAGCTTCCTCTTGTAAGACACACAGAAAGTGCTAACTTTGAAAAATATAAGCTAAACTCAGTGGTCAAATGTTGCACATGCACAAGTGGATCAGTTTTTAAGTTGCATGCCAATTTGTCATGCAAAATTTTTAAAGCAATACACACAAAAAAAATTACTATCATACAAACTATGCGAAAGAAAATTAAAAATGTTCATAGAAATTGGTAAAAAGGAAACCACAGTGGGGAAAAGGAAAACTTGAGACTTCTCTAACACAAAGCATATTGAATTACAGGCATCCTTTACCTTTACAGACATTTGACCACTGTTTTTACTGGCCATGCCCTCATTATCTTTAATATTGCAATTTTATAGTAAACATATCATTATTATCAATAACAAAATTAAATCTTTACCCAAGATCAGCACTGGCTCACTAAATTAAATAGGACTGGTATGCGCATGGGACTTGCTAAATCAGTGGATTTTGGCCCAGCTCAACTTATGGAGTTGATTGCGATTTTGTTTCAGGCCTGTACCTATGACCATGTAGAGCTTAATTTCTATCACAATGGAAAACATTTGCACTGTCCTATAACGGGTATGAAAGGAACAGTATACCCAGTATTTTATGGTAGGTATTAATTTGACACAGCCTTACCACTAACAATGAGAATTATTAGACCTCTCAGTCCTCAGAGCCATAGTATCAGCCTTTTTTAAGGTTGGAAACAAAAATACCAGACCTATGATTAATTAAAAGCATTTTTATGGTTGGCATGTACAAAAACACTCATGCAAGGTTAAGGAGAATTAGTAGCACTGTGAAAACACTTTATGCTAGGTTTCTTTGGAGATCTTCCTTTTAAGCCCTACTTAAAAAAGTGTGTATCACCATCTTGCAAAGTTATTTTATTTATAAAGAATTTTAACAGCTCTGTTGATTGACTGTTGTATAATTAACTAGACTGGTGTGTGGAATAAAGCTCCAGGTGACTTTTGATCAACACTAACTTCTCCCTATGTTTCACAAGGGAATATCAGACAATTTAAACAGAAAATCTGGCAGTCAATCAGAAAGCACCTCTGATTCTTTCTATTAACCCCTTCTTTTGAGTTCATGGAAAGAAATGACAGGTCTTGGTCCCTATTAGTAGTCCAGACAGCCATTATCCATTATATGTCTGCTCTTTTAATTTTAAGATGCAAGTGGTGCTTCATTTTTTTTTTAATCCTGTTTTCTTGCAGTTGACGATGGTTCAATCCTTGATGTTAGTTTCAGTGAATTTGTTTACCATGCTCCAGAGGGATTTCAGAAGATTATGTTTGAGAAAAATCTTCTATGACCCATTGCTAAATGGGTTGCATTAGAATTGTACCTAAAATAATCAATTATCTCATCACAAAATATTGTTGTGGTTTGAAATGTTTCAAGTCAAAATGACTTTAAACTAGGTTCATTCATATTTTCTATTGTTCCAAGTAGATTACTATAATATTATTATTCAATAAAGAAAGAAACAAATAAACCTAGTTTGAATTCATTTTAACCTGAATTTCAATCCAACCTATAATATCATAAAACTTTGTTCAGTGTGATGAATGATTTCAATGCTCCAGTACAAAATTCTAGTATCTTGTAGAGTTTAATTGAATTAGAAGGTTATGTCACAGGATATGAATTTCTAATAATAACTAGAAAGTAAAATCCATGGAAAAAGGAAGACTTAACATTGATGATTTATAACATAGAGCTGGTTATTTATACAAGGTCTAACCCAAACCATGGTTTTACACAATCAGTGTGCCATAGGCTTTCCCTAGAATAGGAGAGGGTTGATTTCATTTTAAAAGAAATGTCCTTCAATTGTTAACATTTGGCTCTCTTGACACTGTTCACAAAATAAATGTTCAGATAAAGGTCCAGCTAAATTGAGGATTGTTTAGGACACAGTGTTGTTGAAGAACAGCTGAGCTTTGTTTAAATAACCAGCCAATGCAGTTTTCTTGAAGCCAATATTCTTTGTTAGTATTTTGTTTTACTATTATGAAGTTTAATTGATGATATCTGACAAGTTATATAACAAATCTGACCAATTCTATACAGACCAGGCATGTAATTCATGTCTCAATTTTTTACCATACAATAACAAGCAATATATTCAGACAGATAAAGATTTCAAAAGATGTTCACTACTTAAGTGAGAAAATGTATAGCAGTGTGTAGAGTTGAGAGAGTAGTTATGAGTCTAAAAGAATGAAATAACAGGAAGGTATATAATTAATTTTTTTCTCTTCTTCCGCCAATATTGAAATTTTAACTCCTCAGAATGGGATATTTTTCTTATAGTCACATAGTCACATAGCCAGAATGTAATTCAGTTTCTTCTTGTTTTTTATCAAATTGATATGTGTGGACCAATATTCTAACCAAGCTTTTTTCCTATGCTTCTGAGTATTCAAAGGTATATAGAGTTTTTCTAACATACAATATTATATAGGGTGCCTAACTAAGGGCATCTTGTAATCTCTGAATTATTTTTTTTGCCATCTGAAGCACTTTGTATAATCATTGTCAACCATTTTAACCCTTTAACTCCCAAGATCTTATTAGTAATTCTCCTAACTGTCTGCCATATGGTTCTTTTTATGTTAGTTTGGAGAATTTGGCATTGGATCACTTTATAATCCCCTGACTGATATTTTTCTTAATTCTCATTACATGTAAGGAGAAATTCTGTCTTGGTCACTCATGGGAGTTAAAGGGTGAAGAAAAAGTGTTGGAGCTTTTAACTATGTTGAGTGAGTGAGGGTAACTCTTTAAGACTAGTAATAAATCTATTCAAGAAAATTGTGGTTAATAGATTATAGTTTGTGTATAAGCTTTGATTGAAAGTTAGTCCACCAAAGCCTCAGCGGAGTAAAATTAACTTTTCAATTTATTAGCCTAGGGGTGTGACTTTCCTCTGTTCCACCCCTTGATCAAATGTCTTTTTCTCTCAGGCCAAATTACTTTGTCAGGCTCAATTGGCCAACCTGTAACAGGCCGTCATCAACAGGGAATGGAGGGGTAACCGCTTAATACTGCAAGTTGACCACTGCAAACAAGTTCTACAGGAAAAAAGCCTTATTAAAAAATAGGCAGTCTAAGACTGCACGTGGCTACTGATATGGCACAATTTATAGCATTGAAAACAAACTAGACGTTGTATAATGATGCTAGAAGGTAGTGTTGCAAAAGATTTGTATTCACATGCAAAACAGAAAACCTGCCACATCCCAAGTATTTATGAGTACCCTGGTCCACAGGAGAAAGATGATTTAAGAATATTGTGACTAATTGAAATTCTACCAATAATTAAATAGTAACAAATTATCAGTCATTATGGCAACAATAGAAATATAATAATAATTAAAAAGGGGCTTGCTCCAGAGCTTCGCGTTTCCTATCTAATCAAGGCTCCAATCAATAATGATTAAGCAATGCTTCTATACATTTTGCACGTTCACTAAAAGTAATTTTCTTATTTTGTTGCGATTCCATTTTTGTGCGACTTTTGTTTCATACAACAAGGCATTCCTCGTTTAAGGAAATTCTGTCATTCCACCTTTTCACCGTTTTATCATTTCACTCAATAGGGTCACCTTGTAAACTGAAGGTGTCGTATTTCGCTGTTTGCTCGCTTCGCAAATTTAGCGGCTTTCTTGAGCATAACTCGCTGATTCAAACGTTAAAATGCTCTCTTTTCAAAGAAAAGAAAGTTTCCGCACAGTTTCCACGATGTGCGGATCACACCTATTTAGATATTTCTGCGATTAAAAGTTTTGACTTAGATTACGCATCGGTGGTGCTACTGTGAAATTATTTTGAGATGGTTATCGTCTCAGGAAGAACTGAAAAAATTACATCTTCGGATCTACGGGGAATAATTCGTTGATTCAAACAGTAAATTGGTTACTCTTCAAAGAAAGATTATTTACTGAATGAACTTAGATAATTGGCAATCTTTCTACCTTCTTCTTCTTCTTCTGAAAGGCATCTGCCGGTTGATTGTCTAAGTCCCGATGGGGAACAGAAATTTCATGACGTCATTAACACTCTCCGCTATTATCACGGTATTTGTAGTTAAAGCTCTCTTATCCTCCCGCCAAGAATCAATCTGGCGCCAAGTAAACAGTTAATCACAGCTCCCCTCTGCACCCCTTGAACAACTCATGACATCCAGTTAAAGGGATTTGGCGCCGCGTGCTCTTCACATGCTACGGAAATTTTTGGCAACTCGAAGCGAAGAGCTACAACTAAATGAGGCGGCAAAAATAATTTTATATGGTTTGAGTTCTTATTGCTACCAATCAAAGCAAGTGATAGTCAATGTGAACCAGTTTTGAGGACTCATTCCTGGGCGGAAATTCTTGCCTCATCATTATGTTATCCAACCTTACAGTCTACAGACTATTTCTTTCATCACGTCTCCCACTGACGTTAAAAAAAGAAGTCTTTGACCTGCATCACACCCTTGTGTGTTGGCGTCTAAGTAAGAAATACAAATCTTTTTTGAAGTAAATACCACAGAAAAATGGTGATACCTCGTTGCTTAGAATTTAGCAGGCTTCAAGCTGCAAAATAACCAACATTAGCACCCTGGGTTTGACTGCTGAAGTTAAATTAAGTCCACTGGGCTTCCACACTGAATTTTAATAGGAAAGAAGAACGGTAAGTGTGTGGAAATTAGCTCAAGGCGGGGGTGGATGATTGAAGGTCAAGCGTATCGTCTGAAACAACACTTCTGCATCCGTCTTAATTTAGTAGTCTGATTTCTGTTGTTAGGTAAACAAGTAAACGTAACATAAACCATCGCCTTTTTGACAACTGAAATTTTCAAAGAGCCAATCAAACAAAAGTCCGGTATCTCATTAAATATACTATGATCGAATAACCAGTTCATTTGAACTGAGGAAAATCAGTATTCAAGCGAAAATAAGAGAATCACCAAAAATGTCAATGGAAAAATTATTAGACTATTTGGAGCCAAAAACTTTCAACAAAATTCACTATGTAGCAGTGGTTTTTTGGATCGTGACTGGTGTCATCTTCCTTGCTGTATTCGCCGACATGGAAAACAGCGAACCCAGGTTTGATTTCCGCTGTGGGGCAGCGAAAAGTGAAACCATCGACCTCGTCCGGGGAAAATGTTACGAGAAATACCAGGAGCAGTACAACAAATTCGCTTTGCCTGTCTATGGCTTCGTAATCATGAATTTCGTCCTTATTATATTTGTATGTGTTATCTACTCCCAAATAGTAAGACCAACAGTCAATCGACTGTCGCGAAGCATTCGTAACGGTGATCCAGAGAGACAGTCGCGCGACCAAGAGAACGCATTATCAATGGGATACAAGCTTTTTATCGCTTACTACTGTCAACTATCCATAAGACTTGTTTTAGGAGTTGTTTTCATCATCCTACAAACTCAGTTGCTTTATCCTTTGAAGTTTTCCTCCAATTTTCACTGTTATTTAACCGATGGAACCAATCAGCCAAGAAATTCATCTGATTTACACGACTGTCACAATCAAGGAGCGGTAAGGAAAAACTCCTGGATGCGCGGTGTCCTTATAGTGAATGGAATCGTTGTCGTTGGCATTCTTATTGAAATCATCTACATTTCTTTGCGGGCATGCAAAGAAAGGGATTTCATGCAAAACTCAAAGTTTCAAACATCTCATCTAAATCCTCCCGAAGAATCTCAGCAGCAAGAAAGAACACAACTTGTAACAAACATCGCACATGAACCTCAGCAGCAAGAGGAAAGAAGAGAACATGAAATAAACATCCCACAAGAACTTCACCGGGTAGAGGAAAGTAAAGACCATGAGACGAACATCCCACATTTGCCGAGAGGGCCTAAACAACTCTTAAAACCATCGCTTCAGGAATTCATCCACAATACAAAGAAAATGATTATAGACGACACTTATCAACCTCCACAACTCCGGTCGCTTTTTCCAAGTCCTCCTGGCAAAGGACACCCACCTAAACATTTGACTCTGGATCAGATTTACACAAACCTTGTTGTTGTACCTGACATGGCTGAATATGACTTTACGGAAGACAGACGGAAGAATTTGGAAATCTACGCCAGGTCGGGCGGGAAAAACGAAACACCGAAAGGGCCAGAGGACATTCTTACTCACGAAAACAAAAACATTTTGATTGTCGGTCGTCCCGGAATCGGAAAGACTCTTTGTTGTGCAAAAATTCTCAGAGACTGGGCATCTAACAAAGTATTCCATCAAACACCCGATAACAAAATCCACTTCGATGCTGCTTTCTTCGTCAAATTCAGAACATTCAACGCTGCAACCGACCTTAGCCTCAGGGAGCTACTGACCCGCTCCACATACTCACCCAGGAATGAGTTGGATGAGGAAGTCTGGAATTACATCCTAAAAAACCCCCAGAAAGTTCTCCTTATTTTCGATGGAATTGATGAGTTTAAATTTAACTCAGAGATCAGCAAGAAAGATAATGAACCTCAGTTCAGAAACAGCGTCGATGAGAAGATGCCGCTCTCTGCTCTTTATGCCAAGCTTGCGACTGGGAATCTTCTTAACGGAGCAGCCGTTTTGACAACCACAAGACCTACAGCTCTGTCATGCATCGAAAGTATTCCTTTTGACAAAATCTTTGAAATCCTTGGCTTTTCACCCGAACAAGTCAAAGAGTACGTAACCAAATTTGCTGGAGAAGACGAGGAAGCAGGCGAAACAGTAATGCGACACATCACCAGCAACATCAATATTTTATCTCTCTGTTACATTCCTGCGAGTTGCTTCATCATTTGCTCAAGTCTCTTTAAAATGGTGAAGTTCTACGGTTCTAAAAGTCTTTACCTACCATCAAGTTTAACAGACATTTACGAGAAAGCCGTGAAAATATTCTACTTAAGACACAACGAAGAATTTCGAAATAAACATTTTACTCGCGAAGACTTTGAATCAAATGATCTGCCCCCTGAAGAAGAAAAGAAATTGGAGAAACTGGAAAAAATGGCATTTGAAGGAATTAAAGAAGGAAGGCTAATCTTTGGAGGGAACGAAGTACGCGGAGTGAGAGACAGCGCTCTATTTCACCGCTTACCCGACCGTGAAATTGACTCGTATCATAGAGAAGAACAGTTCTGTTTCATTCACCTTACAATGCAGGAGTTTTTCGCTGCGAGGCACCTGACAAACATGAGTGAAACAGAATTAAGGAACTTTGTTTCCGAGAACATCAAGGAGGGCAAATGGCAGCTGGTTTTTCAGTTTCTAGCAGGATTAATGAAGAATAAAAATCACCTACCAAGCGAAATTATCACTGACCTTCTTCCTGTGGAAACTGAAGAAAAAAACCCACTCAGCAAAGAACAGTGGCCAGAGAATGAAGAGGAAAGGGAAGTAACCTGCTGGCCGACTATGGACGAACAACATTTAGCAATAACAGTAATTAAGTGTTTAAACGAAAATAGTAGAATGAAGTTAGAAGCACAGAGAAAACTTCAACAAATTAATTTTAATTGTTTAAATTTTCCTTTATGTTTGCTCACAGCTGTTGATTGCTCTTCGTTAGTAAACGTAATTAATGTTCAGCAAATTTCACATTTAGAGTTGACTCGTAATAACATCGGTCCATTAGGTTGCTATGAGATTTGTAAATTGTTAAAATCTCAACTGAGCTGGTTAAACCTCGAAAAGAATCAATTGACAGATGAAGCAGCAAAGTATTTAGCTGAAGCCATCAAAAACAACTGTCAGCTTCACACGTTAGCCCTCTCAAGAAATAACATCTCACACATCGGAACACAGCACTTGGCTGAAGCCATCAGCAACAACAACTGTCAACTACGCGCGTTAGACCTCTCCAGAAATAACATCTCACATATTGGAGCACAGCACTTAGCTGAAGCCATCAACGACAAAAACTGTCAACTACGCACGTTAAACCTCACAAGAAATAACATCTCAGACATTGGAGCACAGCACTTGGCTAAAGCCATCAACAACAACAACTGCCAGCTACGCACGTTAAACCTCAAAGCAAATGACATCTCAGACATTGGAGCACAGCACTTGGCTGAAGCCATCAACAACAACAACAACTGTCAGCTACGCTTGTTAATGCTCCATGAAAATATCTTCTCAGACATTGGAGAACAGCTCTTGGCTGAAGCCATCATTAACAACAACAACAGCTGTCAGCTACGCTTGTTCATGCTCCAAGAAAATTTCATCTCAGACATTGCAGAACAGTTCGTGACTGACATCATCAACACCTGGCAGATAGGCACGTAAAACCTCTTATTCAATAAAAGCATCACAGAAGCAGGTAATCAAAAGGCACGTAATTTATTAGCCATGAGTCAGTCTAATTGTAAGCTATATCTTTATGCCTCAGCAAATCCAATTAAAAACTAAAAATAAATTATTTGAACCACTTACTATCCAAAATAATCGTGAGGTAACCAGCTCATGAAAAGCAAACTAAATCTGTGAAGCACTCAGAGCAGCGAGATTATTTGAACCAGATCGAAATGAAGAAAAATGAACCGATGAACATGTTTATTGAGAACAAAGGATGTCAAATTTTTTTAATAACGAACCAATAATATTGAAGTAAAAACACAAAGCTTACTGCAGAGAGAGAACAAACAAACCTAAGACCTCTCAGGAAACTTTGTCATTTTATGATTGGTTAGTTTCTTTCCTAAATTTTCTCCATGCTTCTGTACGTTTTAATGGTTTCGTTGGAGATGTATAGTGTAATTTTTTCTTCGTTTGAAGTGAACCGGTTCAAGTAGTTTCACACTTCAGGCAAAATATCGAAAAAAGAATTATAACCAAATTGTAACTCAAATCATCACGCTTTCAAAGACAGAAGGCCTTTTTGTAGTTGATTGGTGTAAGATTTGTATCACATTCAAACAATTTGTTTTAGGGATGTTTCTGCGTTTCTTGTAAATATTAATGTAATTTTTGGACATATTTAGGGGCTGTTACTCGTTCAATATAATGAAATGTTGTAGAGTTGCAGATCAAAATCTGAACAGGAATCATCAGACTTGAATAGTTATGATTTTAATTAACCAGTTATTGTTAGTAGAGTAAGACCTCCCTAATTTGTCATTGTAGAATAAATTTTGTAAACCAATTTCAACTTTGTGCTGTGATATATTTAGCCCCAATTGTTAGACACAACTTGGAAGCTATGGGGAGGGTGTGGCTTTTTCAGTATCAGTCAGAATTTATCAATTTACCAGAGACTGCCTCAAGGTGAGGATATGAAGCATCCCTCGAAAAAGCTGTTACTCCATCTTAAATTAAACCATTTTCTCCTCCTTTTTTTAACCCAGAACAAAGCACCATGTCTCGAACCAGCAGTAAAATACCTTAGGAAGTGTAAAATGCAAGTGACATGAAATCAATGTGACATATCTCCTTGAGTAGGTTAATGGCCAGTTTAAGGACATCTATTAATCTTTTTTAAAGCAAGATTTATGAAATCAGTGGACCTCAACCCACACAAAAATTAAGTAAGAGAAAAGAAATAAGAGAAAAGAAATTAATCCCATAGGCAAAAGAATGGGAAGAGGAGGCAATGAAACCTCACAAAGATTTCTACTTGTTGCAGTTAAGAAAAAACATAACACTTGAGACTTCTTCTCATCTTTTTTTTAACACTTTCATTCCCAGTTTTCATGATTTTTGCAAGACTTTGGAATCAAAATGTAACTTTCCTCATTTTCCAAAGAATGCTTTTGATCTCCACAAACCTCTTTGAAAAAGCAAGTGATTAGAATTTCTGTTTCCAAACACTTTTACTGAACATATCTTTTAATCTCTCTTAGGAAACCCTTTAATTCTCATAAATGACAAAGACAGAATTTCTCCTTAAAATGTCAATACAACATCAAGCAAACAAGTAATGAGAAAAAGAAAATTTCCACAAGGGCAATATTAGGTGATCCAATACCAAATTCTTTGAGCTAACATCATAACAATTGTATGGCAGACAGTAAGGAGATTACTAATGAGAAGTTGGGAAACTTGCATTGTAAAGATTAAAGTGATTGGATGACGTCCAATAAAGTGTAGAGGTTTTCTCAGTCTCGGTTGGTTTTTCTAAAAAGTTTGTCAGAGTTTTATGGAAAAAGGACCGCAATAAAGCTGCAGGAAAATGTGATGCTGACGTAAGTTGATTAGTTAGTTGAACATGACAGAAGATTTTTTGCGGTATGCGCACAAACAGACAAACCTTCGTGATGAAAATTGTAATGTTATAATTCACAATCAATTTAAAGTGACAAAGTAGTATGGGAAGGAGTCAACTTGCAAGTGTTCTGTTCCTGCTGAGTAAAATGCGACACTTGCATAAACTTGAGTGTAGGAAAGTCGGCTGAATTCCTATGCACAGATTTATTCGAAAGTTATTCGTCAAGTCTGAATTGTGAAATTGTTACAACTATGGCAGTGAAGCACCGGCAGTGGACAGGGTGCTTAACACCATATACTTCGAAAAGTAGAACGATCAGCTTCGAAGAGAAAAATTCCACCTGTGGAATGGGAAGGGGAGAATGTCCCAATTTCTTCAATCGCACTCATACGGGGTGAAGTATCTTTTTCTGGCAACAATACAGAAGGACCGAGATTTTTCACGCCAAAGTTGCTTTTCCATGGCCTGGCGTATTGAGACTGAAGTCTCCTCCTCTGGATTTCACGAACGTCTCATATCTGAAAGACAAAACCAAAATAAAAAAAACAATGATTTCAAAATGAATCCATCCTTTCTTTCATGACTCTCTTCCAAAATGGTAGATGAAGATGACCATAAGAGGGTTTACTAAGCCTTTGTCAACTTCACTCCATTAACGAAATCTCGTGTGTAACGTCACACACCAACATTTGAAATCAGTTACTAGTGTCTGAGGTGAGACAGTGTCCAAAATCAAACACCAGTGTCTGAGGTGAGGCACTAGTGTCCAAAATCAAACACCAGTGTCTGAGGTGAGACACTAATGTCCAAAATCAAACACCAGTGTCTGAGGTGAGACACTAATGTCCAAAATCAAACACCAGTGTCTGAGGTGAGGCACTAATGTCCAAAATCAAACACCAGTGTCTGAGGTGAGACACTAATGTCCAAAATCAAAAACAGTGTCTGAGGTGAGACACTAATGTCCAAAATCAAACACCAGTGTCTGAGGTGAGACACTAATGTCCAAAATCAAACACCAGTGTCTGAGGTGAGACACTAGTGTCCAAAATCAAACACCAGTGTCTGAGGTGAGACACTAGTGTCCAAAATCACACACCAGTGTCTGAGGTGAGACACTAGTGTCCAAAATCAAACACCAGTGTCTGAGGTGAGACACTTGTGTCCAAAATCAAACACCAGTGTCCAAAATCAAACACCAGTGTCTGAGGTGAGACACTAATGTCCAAAATCAAACACCAGTGTCTGAGGTGAGACACTAGTGTCCAAAATCAAACACCAGTGTCTGAGGTGAGACACTAGTGTCCAAAATCAAACACCAGTGTCTGAGGTGAGACACTAGTGTCCAAAATCAAACACCAGTGTCTGAGGTGAGACACCAATGTCCAAAATCAAACACCAGTGTCTGAGGTGAGACACTAATGTCCAAAATCAAACACCAGTGTCTGAGGTGAGACACTAGTGTCCAAAATCAAACACCAGTGTCTAACATCGGACACTAGTGTCTAAATCAGACACAAGTATCCGAAATTGGACACCACCGTCCAAAATCGGACACTAGTGTTGAAAATCAGACCCCAGTGTCTAAAATCGGACACTAATGTTTAAGAGTGGACGGGATGGTGTTTGATTTTAGACACTGGTATTCTAGTTATTATTTCTTATCACTGTTGCCATGCGGCTATAAATTTATATGAAAGGTGTGTTTTTCTAAACCGCTGGAGCTCAAGCAAGACTCAACCGTTATAATGGACATACATGGCCTGGTATCTGCGTCTTTCACTGTCTGATACAGATGGACCAGCCGCTGATGCCGCTTGGAACAAATCTGATTGGTTGATTTGTATTCCAAACGTCACCTCATTCTCTGCTGAATTAGATTGTAATGCCTGAAAACACAAAAAACGGTGTTGGAATTTATATCAAAGAAAATTTAATTTTTTTTTCATTGGTGCATTAAAAGCTATTAAACCTAACCCAGACTATGCCTAAACAAAAATGAAATAAAAGATAATATCTAGGAGGCAGTGAAGGAAAACAACTGCTGAGAGAAGTCAACCGAAATATTGTTCAATAATTACTTAAAAAAACAAGTCAGTGAATACACAGCAATAAGCACGTAGGTTCAGAATGCACGCACTATCAATAAGAAAAAAAGAAGATGGAGTGATTTTATTCCATTTGAAGTTTCATGGGTCCACTCTGTGTTACTTTCTGATGAAGTTTCTTTTGACAATTTTTTTATGTCGCAAGGGAATATGACATGGCAGTTTTAGTGACAAAATATTACTGCTGAACATGCCGGCTAGCAAGAAATATAAGCGCTCTTGTATATGCGAATAATAGATGAAATCTTCCCATCAATTAAATCTTTACCTTCCTTTTGCTCTTTCTGTGTTGTAAATTCTTGTGGAGAGTTGTAACCTGGTAAGTTAAAAAAAAACTTCGTGGGTAGATTGACAGACAGGGAGGGGGTTTTCACAAGTTTATACAGGGTTTTGTCACAGGTAATGCATCGAGACAAAAAAATCAGCCTTAATTCTCCCAACATTGCCCATGCAATCCAAGGGAATCTCCTACATCCCTCGTCATCATCAAACTTTTCTGGTTTCTGATTACCTCTGCGGTAACCATAGATTAATTCTGAACTATGTTAACGCAGTCTATTATTTGAAAATCAAAACGAAACCATGCTTTTTAAAATGATTTCTCATCATCATTTTTCATTTTTCCAAATTTCCTCGGAAAAGAAAGAGTAATGTCTTTCGGAAAAAAAGAAACTAAAAGCATAAATTTCGTACAAACTGTTTCGCTTCATGAATTCAAAGGGAATACTGCCTGAAAACCCGTAAGCTGGAGTTTGAAGTAAGAGAAGGGAAGGTTTCACACTCATGGGTTCTAAAAACATTTAAAGGTAAGCCAAGTTGTTTTATTATCATTAAAGCATCACATTCTGTTGACCAAGGGGCGGATCAAATCTACCTTAGGACCCTCCTTAGTCATGCATTTCTGCAACATGGAGTACAGCAGTAACAGAACCCTACCTCTGAATGAAGTTTTGTCAGCTCTTCCGTTGATAGCT